GCGCCACCGCCCTCGCCCACCGCGAGATTGCGCGTGTCGAGGCCGCGCAGGGCCGCGCCGACCGGCACGCCGTGCACCGCGAGCGCGCCGTCCTGGCAGCCGACGCGGCCGCCGCCGCCGAGGCGGGGGCCCTGAGCCCGCCGCCCCTGACCAACGGCCGGCCGCTGTTCCACGAGTCGGACGAGATTGAGCGCCTCAACCGCGTCTGGGCCCGCCAGGAATCGCTGCGGCTGCGCGCCGGCTCCGAGGACGCCAAGGTGTACGACGGCGTCAAGTACGAGCGCAAGCCGACCGGGCCGTTTATGGGAAAGCTCGTCTCGCAGGGCACAATCATAACGATTGACGGCGAGGACTATGTCGAGTACCGCGTGCTCACCAAGCCGTCCTTTTTCTAAACATTTTTTCTTTTTGTTGTTTCTTCTCATACGGGTCCACAGTCGAATTCAGCGATATTGCATGAGTATAATATCTGGCGTAGTTCTTTTGTTTCACATCTTCTTTTGCTACTGTTTCATGGAAGTTTTTCTTTGGTTGTCTGCCTTTTTTTTTTGTCATCTTCTACAATGGAAAGCGCGAGCTTTGGCTTGCTTTGTTTCTTGTTCTCCGGGTCATTTCTTTTTTCCTTGTTTCTCATCTTCTCCGTATCTGGGCAAAAAAAATGGATGTTGGAAGCTTCAGAGGGGGAGATATACCAAGGGTTTGCTGCGGCTACAACTATGCTGCCAAAATAATCATCATTTGTTTTTCTTTTTTCTTCTCCCTTATTGCAAAGAATTGGCTCGTTGTGGAAATATCCTGTCGCGGTTACAGGGATGAAGGCTGGACTGGACGTGAGGGAAGTCTGCCTGTTGCTTGCATAGATGCTCGATGAGCTATTTTTTCTTCTCGGAATGAATTGGTTCGCGTTTCATTGTTCAAGATGTAGCCTTTTTTCTCTTTTTTTTGCTGTTGAAATCACATTCATGGCAAACCCCAGTTGTCTTTTCATGATGCCAAATAGTCATCATATTCGCTGGGGAGCTAGTCATAACTTTTGGCTACATGGCCATGCTACCGCTCCAACGTCTCCTCCTTCGATGAGAATACGTGCTTAATACGAACGCGGAAAGGTTATCGCGATGGCATCTGATTTCCAATCCATACGAGCGGAATGTGGATTCCGCCGGAAGCTGCCCCGCACTTTCGCGGGATGGCCTCCCGTCCAAAGTATAAATCAACGAGAGCCCTGGTTTATTGAACAATTGATTTCATTAAACAATTGACCCCAATTCCCGTCCCAATCAACCGTCCCAAACCGAACAATGTCCCATCTCAAGTACTACGCATACCCCGGCGTCGGCGTCCGGAACCAGACCAATTTCAAGTACAGCCAAGCTGTACGAGTCGGCCAGCGAATCGAGGTCGCCGGGCAGGGTACGTCTTATACAGGAACTTTTTTCCTTTAAATTCGGTCTGATTTTGACAACGCTGGGGTTCGGGCTTCAGGTGGCTGGAACCCCGAGACGGGCGAGTTCTTCAAGGAAATCAACGCGCAAATCGACCAGGCGTTTCGCAACGTCGACCTGGCGCTGCGCGACGCCGGCGGCAAGGGCTGGGCGCAGGTGTACCGCATCAACTCGTACCACGTGCCCATCAACGACGAGGCCGTCGCCGCCATGGTCCGCAACTTCAAGGCCTGGCTGCCGGACCACGAGCCCCTCTGGACCTGCGTCGGCGTGACGCGCCTCGCAGAGGACGACATGAGGGTCGAGATTGAGGTCGTCGCGCACGACCCGGACGCGTCGGACAAGTCGTGAAGGGACTGCCGAGAGGCAAAAAAGATCAAGGTGAAGAAGGAAGTAACCGCGGGCATCAAGTCTTTGTCATGGCGGATGGAAAACCTCGCGGCCCTACAGTTCAGTGAAGCGCGTGTACATCTGGGTGCAGTTTAGTTCAAATACACAATGTGTCGATTTTGCTTTGCCTCCTACGTATCGGCTAGGTAAAGATGATGTGGTTTTACTTAGTTTCTAAAGAGAGGGGGGAGAATGCCAGCCAATTGGAAATATTACTGAATTAATAAAATCATTATGAATCTCGTCTGCCAACACACACATGTGCTGTTGCATGTACAGTCTGGATGATCAACGCCGAAATAGTTCTCCCAAAACTCTACAAACGCCAGTAAAACACTCCTTTGCCAACACATGTGCTGTTGCGTGTACAGTCTGGATGGTCAACGCCGAAAATAGACTCCCCAACCCCCACAAACGCCAGTAAAACACTCCTCTGCCCAACCCTGCCAGCCAACCACTCCAATCACCATCGCAGCTTAAACCTGGACAGCGAGAACCGACGCACAGAGTCGCCCTCGAGCGCCTCAAGCGACTGTTCCGATGACTTGCGGGACCACCTCGACCGTCCCGCCTCCCGCGGTGACACCACCGGCACGCTCTTCTCCCCTGCGCCGCCGTCGCCGAGCGCCGTCGTCTTGATGTAGTTCATGTTGCTCGGCGCGAGCCGCGCGTTGACAATCTCCGCCGGGACCGGCTCCGTGTGCGCGTCGCCCAGCTCGCACAGCCGCTGCAGGCTCCGGGCGCGAGACTCGGTTAGTGGGCTCGTGGGCGCGTCGTCGCTCGTCGAGGAGCTCGTGGGGGACAGGGACGCGCCGTGACTGTAGTCGGCGCTTCCACGGCTGTGCGTAGAGGAGGACGAGGAGCTGTTGCTGACGTTCGAGGTGGGTGGCGGCGGGTTGGTGGTGTGCAGCTTCGCGAGCCACTGCCGCGTTTGGCTGAGATCCATGTCTGCGGGGGCCATAATGATGATGTTGATGATTTTTATGTTGTTGTTTAATTTTCGCTTCTCACGGGACAAAGATAAAAATAAGCGAGTCTGGAATGCTTGCTGATAAACATGAAGTGATGAGGTGTACTGCCAGTTTTAAGGGCAATAGAAAGAGAGAGAGAGTTCCCGACCAAGCAAGCGCCACCCACGAACGTGCCTTCTACACGCGAAATAAAAAGAAAAGGTTCTTTCCCCAGCTACCAGGACGTCAGGCTTTGCAAACCACTAGCGCTCACGTCAATTTGGCGTGTAGGCTAAGGTTTAGACGCGTTGGACGAAAGCCGGAAACTCTCTTCACGAACTTGTCAGGTACTTACTATTAGATGGCTCTCGCCCTAGTATCGAAATGTGTTAGATAGCTTGCAAAGGTTCGGAACGTTCCAGGCAACAAGCCACACGGACAGAGCAACCCGTGGCAAGAAAGGCAAAGTCTAGAAATCCAAATCTGGTAGTTGTATGAATATGAGCTAATATGGTGCGTTTTTTTTTGGCTGCTGTATTTTTCTTCTTGACTCTGTTAATATAGACGCAGTCCTCGTTATGACGTCTCGGTTGTGGCCCCTGCCGACTCTCCCGTGGTAAGGCCCTTGCGGATGGCCAAGACACTGTCGACAATGACCGCATCAATCCCTTGCTTCACTTGGCGCTGTATTCCAACAAGTTAGCCAGTGGCGCTCTTCAAAATAGGAGCCTTGCCTTCAAGAGCAAAGGGGAACACGAACCTGGACCATGATGGAGTCATTGTTTAATGTGCCGTAACTGACACACACTAACCCATTCTCTTTGACAACCTTGACCAGACGAGGGCTGTTGATGAGCGGTTCCGCGGCAGATACGATACCCAGTAGGTTCCAGTGGCTGGCAAACCGAATAGCCTCCTGCAGCGACGAGGCGCGAATATCGGAGACGGGACTGCAGCCGGCATCGGTAAGGAACAAGATGGGAATCGATGGCTGCTTGTAGCTCAGGCCCAGACAGATATCGGGGTTGAACGAGCTAAAGATGATGTGCCGCTCCCCGGCGAGCTCGTACACCTTGGAGAGCACAGTGTCGCAGAAAGAGTTGAGCTCAACGGCATATGTATCCATGTCATGCTCCTCCGTCTCATGTAGCATCGGGTACTTCATCTCAATGTTGAAGCCAATGTGATCCGGCAGTTTGCGGAACAGATCCTCCAGCGTAGCAAACGGCGCTTGAATAAAGTTGCCGCGCGAGTTTGCCTTGAAGCCCTTTTCCTTAAAATCGCGCGTGTGCTTCATGCGTTCGTCCATTTCCCCGTAGCTGGACCCAGTCCCAGCAAAGCCCATCGAGTGCGAGCGCTTTGGTGCAAAGCTGCTACTGCGGGCACGAGAGCCAGTAGGATGAGAATCGGCATGCTTGCTCCGCTCTTCCGCTCGGTGGCGCGTTTCAGGGTTGATGTGCAAAAACTGCTCGAGAGTGAGCGTGTGCACGGGAGCGTCGATGCCTGTCTCGCTGACAAGAAAGTCGTGGTAGATGACGGGGACGTGGTCCTTGGTGAGCTGCACGTCGAATTCGACGTATTGGGCTCCCAGATTAGCGGCGGCGATGAAGGACGGAATCGTGTTCTCGCCAAGTTGCAGAGACTTGTTGGAGCTGGCATTTTTTCCGAGGCCACGGTGACCGATGAGCATAGTCGTCTCCATTTTCTTCCAGTACGTTTGGCGCGATGTAATCTCCATGTTTGGGTGGTGGAAAGGCGTAATGACGTGGAAGTTGAAGTTGACGGTTCCAATGACGTCAAAGCTGCTCGACATGATGGGAACACACACATCACCTTGCAGGTTCATGCGGCCAGAGCCCATGGTAGGCTTGACGGACGAAAGAAGGGCCACAGCACGTCCAACTTTGGCTTTTTGGTTGCCGGAATATGTGGGCACAATGTCAAACATGAGCTTCACCTTTGCGGCATCGCCTGTGGTAAAGACGACGGGCTCGGTGGCGATGCCTTCATGTACAGGCAAATCGATAATAGTGGCGTCGCCGATTGCTCCAGTGGCAGAGACAACAACTGACAGTGCTGTATCGAGTTGCGTGCTGTGCGCCTCAGTCAGCGGGATGCTGTCGAGGTTGACTGCCTCTGTTGTCTTGCGGAGGTCCATAGAACCAAGGCTGACCAGAACCAAGCTCTCGTTCCGAAGATAGCGATGGCCAAACGTCTTGACGGACTCAACGGGACGAACCTGGCTGTTGGCAACGCTTCCGTTCGACCGACGACCATCAATTGACGAGGCCTCGGGTGGGCTGGCAGACAGTCCCTGCTCAGCCGGACGTTTGGGCGCTTCCTCGGTTACCTCCTCGGTATAAGAGCCAAGGAGTCGGGCAATATCCATGTGGCCGCGGAGAGCAGCGTGCTCCTTTGCCATCCAACCGGACGCATCAGGCTTGGAGAGCTGCGCGCCAGCCTCAATGAGGAGTTGTACAACATCGAGCGAGCCGTCCACGGCAGCAACATGTAGCGGTGCCCAAGAGTAAGAGTTCTCAGTCAGCTCCATGTCTGGCTTTTGAGAATCGGTCCCCTTGAGAATGATCTCGGCGCACTCGCGGTGGTTGAAGCGAGCAGCCACGTGGAGAGCGGTTTCGCCAGTCTTGTCGCGCCAGTTGATATCGACACCAGCGTCGAGAAGCATTTGCACAATGACCCAGTAGTTTGCCTTGGTCGCGAGAGCCAGAACAGCGCCAGATTTTCCAACCCGCTTTCGTATCGCAGGCTTCGCGTCACTACTGCCTTGCCAATTCTCGCCCTGCAACAGGCTCTTCGTGGTGAGAGGGTGGCCGCCGATGACGCTCAGATGCAGAGGAGCATAACCCTCGCTGTCCTGCCACTCGGCGGCGTCGATCCCATCACTGACATCGAACTGGTTCCATTCCTGCATGCGGGCCATGAGAATTTGACAGAGTACAACAAAACCAGCCTGTGCAGCATAGTGCAGAGGCATGCGACCGAAAGAGTCGCGAGTTCGTAAAGATATGCGCTGTTCAGGCTTGAGGTTGTCGAGGAGGAACACCAGTAGCTGAACAGTTTCATCATCCTTTTCGAGAAGCTGCGATTCCTTTGTGTTGATGGCCTTGATCGGAACAGCGGCCGAGACGGCGGGTTGCAGGTGTCGGGTAGAGAACTGCGTGCCAGCGGGGACGGGTCGATCGTCGATATTGGATGCAGATTTCGTTCTCCCAATGTGAATAATAAGTCGGTGAATGCAGTTCCGGCCGTTGATGTCATCAGGCTCGTCGAGATGCTTGATAAGTCCCAGCAGTAGCACGATGCACTTCTTTGCGCGAGCAGAAATGGACCTTTGGAGCAAGTTCAGCATCAGTGTTTGCGAGGCAGGCTCAGACGGAGTGACGGTGGAATGAATGCCGTCGTTGAGGCCGTTGTCATCATCGGCGCGCACTGCTTGGTCGAGGATATCGAGTTGTGCCTGGGGAAGGTTGAGCATGGCCTTGGTAGAGGCACGACCCAGAGAGCGGGCGGAGCGATCCGACTTGGCGTCGTCAAAGTTTTGGGCGTCGCTCAGAGCAGAGAGCCAGCGGTTGATCTCGACGAGAAGACGAGAGGTGCCGCCGTCCTTGGCAAAGGGCTTGGTGTCGACCTTTGTGGAAATGTAGCTATTCTGGGCAGCAATGCCAGGCACTTTTTTATCGAGCTTCTTGGTAATCTTGACAAAGCCGCGGCGATTGATCTCGCCAAACCACTGAATATTGCGCAAGAGGGTGCGCAGCTCGAGCAGCGCGCCCATGACTTCTTCCACCTCATCCTCGTCGAGGGTGGCGACGACATCGGGGATGCGGCCGTAGCGGTCTTGGAGGAGGCTGAGGCGGCGGCATGCCGAGGCGAATTTCTTGTTGTAAAAAGAGTCGACGTCTTCGAGATTGCGATCAAGGGCGAAGAAGAGCTCTGCAGAGAGAAGAATCGGGTTAGGTCACACGGGGGGGGGATGGAGCGAACATCCCCCCTTCGTCGAGCAAAGACATAATCAGAGGCATCAGGGACGAGGCCGCCCACCTGCAGGATCCACTGTGATTCCCTCCTTTGCCTTTACGGAAGCAGCTTTGACGAGTTTCTTGAGGCCCTTATAGTTGATGTATGAGGCTGCCCATTCGGGGACCTGGTTGCGTGGGAGGCTTTGGAGAGAGAGGTGGCTTGTTAGTGTCTAGTGTCTGGCGGTGTGCAGCAAGTGCGGAAGGGGGGCAACAGCTGGTGGCAGTCGCAGTGGTGCACTCACTTTCGCCCAAACTTCATGTTGGCGATAATGACACGACAGCGCAGCTAATTGACGTTGATTCATTCACAAGCTGGCTCTGGGGGGGGTGTGCAGCGAGGCTCTGGCAAGCTGCAGGGGCGCGCAGGGAGCTGCTTTAGAGGGTGCTGTGGCGATGCGACTGAGAGCAGCCCTGTCTCTAGGCTGTAGAGTAGGTCCAGGAACAGAGTCGCAAAGGGCCGGGCAGGGCGACTGGTGATATTAATAATAAAGAAAAGAGCAGCGATGAAGTGACAAGCAAGGCAATGTCCCGCGTGACCACGTATTGGTACACTATCAAAGGGTTGGGTCCAGGCGCATGCGAAGCTGCACAGGTTCGGCTTTTAGTTAGGTAGGTACACAGGCGGGGAGCCGCGTTGAATGAAAGCTGCGTGGCGGCGACAAGTTGGAGCTTTCAATCTTGAATCGAATCGCGCTTCCTCCAACCAGCTTGCGCCACGGCCAGGTATGCAGCGACCGAGCAAGATGTAAGCGATGTCTCAGAAGCTCGTTGCTCGTTGAGCCGGGGTTTATTAGCTTGCAGCTGGCCGCCGCCGATAGTCGGTGGGCGTTTTCTTAGGTAATTATCGGTATGGCACAACGACGGCACTAACAAGAGACGAGTGTCAGAGTACGAGTGCAGAGTGCAGAACGCGCAACGCGGGAAGCCACCTGAAGAATGACAAGAAAAGAAAAGATCGCGGTCCAACGGTCCGGTATTTTTTATTATTAGTAACGACCTTGTACCAGCACTTTTTGCGCCACCAACACTCGTGCCACTCCACAGCTTTCTCTCCACAATGTTGGCAGGTTGCCCCACGCTTTCACACGCCGACAAGTGACAGCGAGGACAAGGCGAGAGGGGGAAAAAGAAAAAATAGAAACAGGCTGGGCAAGCCAAAGGAAGAGGGGAAAACTCAGACGAAGCAGATCGCCAGGAAAAAGGGTCGTACAAGTGACAAATGGACAGTCACTCCCGGCGAGCCATTGGCTCGTTGCTAAAGCGCCACGCTGTGTTGTTTGTTATCTCTTTGCCCTCCTTGCCTCCTTGAACGGGCTACTGAAAGCCCAAGTTACACGGCCATGCGCCTTGGAATCCTTGACAAAGAACAGTCATTTATTACTTGCTTTTGAACACCCTCTCTTGAGTTGAGTTTCGTAGCTCCTTCGCTTGCACAGTCTCGAGCCACGCCTACCCATAGCTTGCCACCGTGCCCGGCCCGCGCCCCATGACTGGTCCGGCGCCCAGAATCTAGGTACGTCATTCACCTTGTCTACTTGGAACTCACCCCGACACTCAATATTCGTCCTGCTTCTATGCTTCTATGCTTCTGTTCATAGTTGCGCTTCACTGAAAAAGCGACGCCGTCTTTAAATCAGAATCCTTTCTGTTTTCACATACTATTACACACCACTCACTCACTACTGTACACCTCCCTCTGACTCTCGCAATTCTCCAACGGATTTCGTGTCAAAAAAAAAAAAGATATGCTCGCTATATTATTCTCATGTACAAGCCCGTCACATTGCGGGTTGGCTTTCTCTCCTATGCGGTGCCCAATCCAACATGCTCTGTCATGGGATGGGGTCGCGCAACCAACTGCCTGTTCCAGTGCATCGGCAACTCGCCATCAAAAGCCACACCCTGTGCCGCAGCGATTCTCTGGCTGAAGCATATCCGCGGCTTTTCGGCAGTCTGCACTGGCCTCTTCACTGTTGCCTTCTCTTCCGTTGGCTGCTCTCGACTTGGCATCAGCTTCCGAAATTCCTGGCTCAACTGTTCCGATCGTTGCAGAGCCTGTGAACCAATGTGGATAGCACAATCCTCGCGAAATTCTTGCGAATGATCGGCGTTCAGAAGCTTGCTCTCGATCGATGTTGTAACCTTGCGCACCTTGACGTATTCCTTCCAAAGACTCTCCAGTTGTAGCATTCTGCTCTTGCTCGAGTCGAAATTGTGCAAAAAGCTCTTAGCTTCCAAAAGGATGCCCGTGCTATTCAGCGTATTAATTAAGCCCGATAGTCCGTCTTCAGAAATTCGGAGACGCCGGGCAGATAAAGATAACTCTCTACCACGTGGACCGATTCCGCACAGGTCCAGTAGCTGGTGCACTCGATTGACCAGATGCAGTCCATCCTCATAGCTCTCAACCATGATGAATCGCCATTGCTGCCCATACGAGCTCATACCGCGTATCAACTGCACGCTGGCCGACCAATCCAGTGCAGAAACGCATTCATCCAGTAGTTGCCGTATCACCTTGCTGCCTATGGCAACCCCAGACTTGAGACAGCCCACAAATAGCAGAGCTGCCTGCTCCAGCAGCCTGAAGCGCAACAGGCCTCTCATCATCTCTTCTACCAGTTCCTGGTTGAGAGGCAAGTGCTCCATGATGAACTCGCCGGTTTGTGTTTTTGACGCTCGGTTCGTCATTGCCCAGGCTTGCTCGAAATTGCGCTGTAATGAGTCTTGGTGCCTTCGTCGCATCTTGGCACCAACTTTATCATCCAATCCTGTTATCCGCGCCACATTGAGCAGAAAAGGTCCCGGGGTATTCATGAGCTTGTTGTGGTTCAAAATGGCCACGAAAGTCGATTGCGTAGGTCGAATGTAGCGGCCATAGAAGAAGGAGTAGATGACATGGTCCGACAAGGCAGACAGTCCATGCTGGTCGAACCCCGAGATTAGGGTGTTGTATGTATGTATATCCGGTACATGCGAAGATATCATCATATTATAACAAATACGGCCGATTTTCTCTTTCGGCGGCATGGAAGCTGCAAGAATTTTGCGGAGACTTTCGTTAAGCTTCTGGGTCATGTTCCGCGCTCCCTCGGGATCAAGAGATCGAAAAGTATAACCGGCGTGGTTACTGCGTAGTAATTCTGTAGCTTGCGTAAAACTCCGGCTCTCTTTATTTGTTCGGTCCATTCGATCTGCTTCCTCGAGGAGGGCATTGACCAAGCGCAGGAATCGCGAGGTTTCGTGTCGGAGGTGTGTCTCGGTGCGCGCCCCCGGAGCGGAGCAGTGCTCACTTTCGTTGTAAATTGCCAGCTCCAGAGCGGTATAATCAATACATTGCCCCTGCTGGAGCATCGATTGGCTTGGGCAATCGTAGTATTCCTTGCGAAGACAATCCGTGACGCTCGACGCGGCAACAGTTGCCGGGAAGTGGACGTTCTTTCTGTATGGACGTTCGTTGTATATTTGTTTCATGGCTTTCCACAGTATGTCCATTTGCTTGGGGGTGAATCCAGCGGGATTGGTGCCATGTAGAGAGGGTAGAAGTTTGCCCTGCTCCTTGAGCTCGGCAAGCTCCTGTTTCGCCTCCTCCAATTGCTTGTCCAATTCTTTTCGTCTTTCATCCTTTCTTATCGAGTCGATAATGGCGGCGGATGCAAACATGGAGCTATAGCATGCTGTGAATATTTCGGTCAAAGTTGCTTTGCGGCGACCGGCAGCTGTGGTTGTCCTTCTTCCCAAAGCATTCACCGCCGTGCTACAGGCGCGGCAGCCACAACGGTGAGCCTGGCTGGCTCTATTCCACAGTGACTGCATAGCGTCCGCATGATACGTCGAATTGGATGTAATCGAGTGCGCTGGGCGTTGTGTGACGTTTTCTTGGGCCGTGTAAATTGCATGGACCGAGGGAAGTCACAAATGGCGCGAGGTTCGCCGTTGAGTCATGTGATCTGGTGAGCTACAAAATACTTTGCTTGACCCCACCACGACGACCCAATTGGTCAGCCGATTGGAAGGAGCTAAAGATCAGCGGCTCTGTCTCTGACAAAGTAGACTTTCAAAGTGAGGAAAAACATATCACGCAGTATTTTGAAAGTACAGCAAATATTTCATCATGTTTACCCTCCTTCTCACCGCAGAACTGACAGGGTAGGTTGCAGGATACGGTCCCTGGGCTCTGTTGTCATTACTTACACTTTTAAGCGTCACGAACCTGCGTCCTTTGGACACTGAGGAGAACCCGTTCTGGTACATGTTCAAGGTCCAGTGCACTTCTTGCCGAGAAATTCATAACAACTATGTCGGCGTCAACCGATTTGTAAGACTACGGGCCCGGTACCCATCATGAAAGTGACTGACGAAAAGGGCAGGAAACGAACGAGATAAGCGGCAGCCGTGGCGAGGCCAACTTTGTGTGGAGATGCAAGAACTGCAAGGTATGAAGTCTTCGAAACAGCCTTTTGGATTTGTTTTACTTATACCTGATTAGAGGGAAAGTACTGCAACCGTGACAGCCGCCGCTATCCCGTACGAGCAACATGAACCGGCCAAGGCACAAAATATTATCGAGTTTGACTGTCGAGGTCTTGAGTTCACCGAGTTCAAAGCAGAGGTGGGTTTACCCTCGAACTTGTTTGCTTCAGCAACCTTGTGGACCATTGACTGACTCGATCATAACTAGGGTGAGTGGCTTGCCGATGGCATCGAATCGCGCTCCAAGTTCAGCGGCATCGAGCTGATCGACGCGGAATGGTACGACTACGATGAAAAGGCAGGAGAAGAAGTCAGTATCAAGGATGTCTCATGGGAAATTCGCAGGGCATAGATGTCTCCAGTAATTAGCATTGTAAAGGAATTCTCGGTGATGGATTGGTTGTCGTGGCATATGAGGCGTTGAATTGAGAGCCGTTATTGGCACACCCCACAAAGACTGTGCTCACCCCCAATTTTTTTTGGCAACCTCGAAAACTTGGGCAACTATCCCTATTTTCAACTACAGGCCAGTTTTATGGTTTTATGAGCATCAATATGGCAGCAGTAGATCCTCTGTCGAGGGCGAATTTTCTTTCCAATGCCGCTCACCTTTTACGAGATGCAGCGCCAGAGACGTCTGCGCACCTAATGAGCGAATGTGCAGATCATATTTCCAGGCAAGGCTCCTCCTTCTCCGACATTTATCGACAGCACGTCTGCACGGCCTGCGGCCACATCATGATCCCGGGGCAAGCGACAGAACTCAAACTTGAGGCCCAAAAAGTCTCCCGCAAAAAGGGCCTGTCTCGTAAAAGGGGCGTGGCTGCTACACCAACAGGGCCATGCAAAACTTTGACTTGCGGTCACTGCAAAAGCACCACGAGAATTAGGTTACCTGTACCTGAAAAGGTCAACCGCTCCAAGGCACCGAAAATATTGGCCGCCTCCATCTCCAGACCAGCTGTCGAGAAACCAAAGTCGACGACCAATGCCAGCAGCAAGAAGCGCGCAAAGAATCGCAAGGCAGGCCTGCAAGCGCTTTTGTCATCGCAGCAGAAACCCTCTGGTGGGCTGAGCTTGGCCAGCTTTATGAAGTGAGGGTGAAAAAGCGCCGGTCTTATTCTGTTTTGGCTACAACAACAACAGCGTTACTTGCTATTCTCAAGTCTTGGTCAAACCTCTACCTACCTCGCCTTGTCTATCCACAAGCAGCCCGAATGTTCTAGGTGCGACCAGCTGCTGAAATCTGGGGTCCAGCGCCACCATGACATAACGCCGCCAAAATCTGCCCCTCCAAAAAAACTTCAGAGCCCCTCCATCGCCATCCAGAGAGTTGCGACAGCACTTTATTTTCTAACAAACCTCCCTTAAGAATCTGCACAATACTCATAATGGCTGCGGAGGAGCAAAAGGTCCAGGACCCATCCGAGTTCTTTCAGTCCATCGGTTCTAAGGTTGAAGGCCTTGCGCCAAAGGCGAATGGCGAGCCCGACGAGGACGATGACTTCAAGCCTATCAACGAAATCGAATCGCTTTGCATGAACTGCCACGACAATGTGAGCTCCTGTGCCAAAATTAATATCAATCATCGCTAACATCGCTAACAACACGATAGGGTATCACAAAGATTCTCCTCACTTCCATTCCGTACTTTCGCGAAGTGATCATCATGTCCTTCAGCTGCGAGCACTGCGGCTTTCAGAACAACGAAATCCAGCCGGCCGGAACGATCCAACCCAAGGGCGCACACTTCGAACTACGACTGACAGACCTGGACGACTTTAACCGTCAGGTCATCAAGTCTGACTCCGCCGTTGTCAAGTTTATTGAGCTTGACCTCGAAATTCCCGCCGGTCGCGGCCAGCTCAGCAATGTGGAGGGCCTCCTCACCACTGCCATCGACGATCTCGAGATTGGCCTGGAAGCACGCAAAGAGCAGGCGCCAGAAGTATACACCAAGCTCGTTGAAATCATCGCCAAGGGTCGCGCTATGCTTGCTGGAGAGTCCTTCCCCTTCCGCGTTTACGTCGACGACCCTTCTGGCAACTCCTTCATTGCACCGAAACTCAAGGACGGTGTCGGCAAGTGGGCGAAGCGTGAATATGCTCGCACATCTGAGCAGAACGCTGCCCTTGGTCTGGCTGATAGCGATGTCAGCGCAGCTGTTGCCGCCAACGTGGGCGGCATGAGCAACCCGGGCTTGACTGATGATGGCGAAATTATCCCTGACGAGGTTTACAACTTCCCCGCTACTTGTCCTGGGTGTATGCACGCTTGTATTACCCATATGAAGATGGTTGATATCCCTCACTTCCAGCAGGTTGTCCTCATGTCTACTGTATGCGACGACTGCGGCTACCGCTCAAACGACATCAAGACCGGCGGTGCGATTCCCGAACAGGGCGAGGTCATTACTCTCACCGTCGAAGACGAAATTGATCTTGCACGCGATATTCTCAAGAGCGAGTCATGCGGGCTCGAGTGCCCTGAGTTGGAGTTGCACGTCACCCCCGGTACACTGGGTGGCCGCTTTACCACCGTGGAAGGCCTCCTCACACAGGTCCGCAACGACCTTCACAGCCAAATATTCGAATCCAGCGGCCAGGGTGGTGACTCGGCCAACTCTTCCGACCGCCCGCAGTGGGATAGCTTTTTCAAGAACCTCGACGCCGCCATTGCCGGCGACAAGAAGTTTACTGTGATCCTCACCGATCCATTCGCCAGCAGCTACGTGCAGTCCTTGGTCGACCCCCCGGCTACTGACCCCAAGATTCAGCGCAGAAAGTACCAGCGCACGGCGGAGGAAGAGGAGGAGCTGGGTCTGAGCGATATGAAGGTCGAAGGATACGAGGAGCATGCGGAGAAGGACGGTGTCAGCGGCGAGTCCAAGGAATAGTCATTGTCTAGAGGGTGTTTAAACGTATGAAGTCACGAATGATGCAGAGAAGAAAAAAATATTGGGAAAACGTGGGGCATTTTCTGTTGATATCCTGGGAAGGCGTTGGTATATAGAGGAGCACAAAAGACCACGGGAGTAAAGAATATAGCAAGAAACAGAATATAATGAGAAAAAGAACGATGATGAGAATGAATAAGACGGCGATGTAGCTGGAGTATAACAATCATAGTGAGCAGCGGCTCATCTTGTTACCCTGGTACTTGGTGCACTCTCTGGCCTTTGCGTCCAACGATAAATGAGCGACGTTGTAATGGAAAACGTACCCTTCTTACTATCACGTGTAATGCATTTGCCTGGTATTACACTTTATTCAATGGTGAGTATTTATTTAATGGTGAGTAGCTATTACGACTAAACAAGATAAAATGTGAGGAATCTAAATGGTATATACGTTAGAGGGTGCATCTTCCCTTTTAACCAGAAAACAATCTCTTTCCTTCACCTATGGAATGAACTACTGAGAGGCAGCAACGGGGTTGGTCTTTTCGAGGACAGGAGCCTTGCTCTCGACGCCACCGTGGCTACCAGCGCTGGTGCTGTTGCGGTCACTGTCCGAGTCGGCGGCCTTGGACTTAGCCTTCATGAAGGGGTAGTGGCCGGTCGACTCGTTGTAGCGCATAATGATGAAGCCAGCGATGACAAAGATCCAGTATAGATTGTAGGAAATGACGGAGCCGTAGGTGGCCGAGTTGGTCCAGCCCACGATGCCCTTGAGGATACCCCAGGCTTGGGAGCCAGGCGCTTCCGGGCCGCAGCACTATAAAAGTCAGCATACCGAGGGCGAGTGGGTGAGGAGTGCGGGAGCTTACGTTGATGTGCCAGACGCTTTTGTCAATGTCATAAGATCCGGGGCCGTTGCCGACTTCAGCAGCGTCGCCGCCAACGATCTTGTTCCACTGGGCGCTTTCAAAGCTCCAGACGGCGCGGGAGAATAGGCCGGCGGCAACGAGGTAAAGAACGCAGGTGGAGATGGTCAGGAAGAGCTGGAGCTTGGCGCCGATACCGCCGCTATAACATGCATTAGCGTGGAATATTGGTGAATGACAAAATGTTTGAAAGACATACCGGTAGAGAAGGTAGCCGACGATACCGCCAAGGGCCAGACCGCAAACGACAGGCAGAGGGAAGGCAGTAGCAGGTGCAGTAAAAGAGACGCCAGCGACAAAGACGACGGCCTCGATACCTTCGCGAAGAACAGTGACAAAAGGCAACACAAACATGGTGTACTTTTCGAAGAAGCGCTTGAAGATGCCCTTGCGGCCGCCAACCCTGAGAGGGTTGTCGACGGCCGTGGCGAGCTTGACGCGCCACTTTTCCTGCATCTTGGTGACGCGGAGGAGAGCGGCGCCCATGATGGTGATGATGATGCAGCCGAAGAGAGAAAAGGCGCCCTCATAGTAGAGCCCATTTTGGGACCAAGAGGAGCGGCCGACGGTGTAGAAGACGCCGATGATGGCGCTTGCGACTACCAAGCAGATGAAGAAGCCAATCAAACTACCGAGCCATACCTAGTAAGAGAAGAGCGCGTGTAAGTAAGAGTCGTGTCAACAGATTTGGTGGCGGGCAACGAACCTGTCTGCGCAGCTTCTTGTAAGCCTTGGCATCGCCGTCGGGACCGCCGAGGGCCTGCTTGAGAAAGGCGAGGAGGATGGAAACAATGATGACGGCCTCGAGCGCCTCGCGAAAGACGACGAGGAAGACGGGGACGGCAAAGACGTTGTTGGCCATGGTTTCGGGTGTCTTCCACTGCCAAACTCGTTTGATCTTGGACAGAGATGGCGGTTGGAGGATGGCGGGTTGGTTTTGTGTTGCCTGTTTGCGCGCCCAATGGAAGCCAGTTTTTTTTTTTGGTTCGGGTCCGCACCAGAAGAAGAAGGGAAGATGGGCAGGCGAGAAAAATCAGGCCACGAGGGAAATTTGAAGCGAGCCGGGAATGGCAGATTGGGGGAAAAAAAACTGGTTTGCTGATCAAGGGACCATTTGGGGGGGGGAGGGAGAGAGACGAACGTGGAGGGGAATGCCGTTTCAGCCGCGGTGGGGGGACTGAGAGTATGGTTGGAGTTGCTTCTCTGGGATGGCCACTCGGAAAGCGCGCGACGGGGCAGAAACAGATGAATAAAAAAAGTCGAGAGAAGCGGAAACCGAGAGGGTCGGTTCGGATCAGATAATACGGATTTGGCAACGGATGTTTGGTGGCGTCTGTCCAAGTCTCGGGTGGAAGTTGAAGTGAAAGATGGCTTGCCGTCGGATGTGGGCATGTCGACGACAATCACCTGAATTAATACCAGGTAAAGAGTTAAGACTGCAGAGCTACCGGAAAATGGGGTCGAATAGGTGGTGGAGCCAACTGGTGGATTTAAGCTAGGTAATTACTTTCTTTCTTTTGTATCTTTTCTGGATATGGAGGCTCCTAGGTAGGTAGGATATCATATTTTAGCGTTTGGGTTAAAAGTCGGTTGCATGGGCTCCCTCTCTCCGTTCCGCCACCGGCATGTCCATGCAGTGCTAGGACGTTTAGTCTGTTTGGCAGCAAAGGCCTGAGGGGTTTTCCGGGGCACCCTTTTTTCTCTCGTTTCTTTTCCTGTCGTTTTGGTCGAGTACGTGAGTTTTGTTTGTTTCCCCAGCCCTTTGGTCCTCGGCTGCTGGACCCGAGATTGTGCATGCCCAGAGATGATGCCCAGCGATTTGGATGGACTTGGAGGGTCTTGTCGATTTATGCCAAGCAATGTCTCATATAGTACAGGCAGTTGAGCGGTGCTTGGCGAACGATTTGGCGGGGCCGTAGGGCGGCCAAGTGCCGAATACAGTGGGTGTTTGCACCACCGCAATCATCGACAACCGGTGCTGGCATCACCATCAGTAATACAACGTTGGGTAGTACTTGACTATTATTATACTTTGTGACCAGTATTGGCTTCCTCTCTCGTTCTTGCCGCGCATTTCCACATAAGACACGTGATTTGGCATCCCGACGACCCAGCTGCTCAACCTCCGAGGCAATGACTAGCCGACGTCAATCAGTCCACTGCCGCCCTGTTCTCGTCAGCTTGGCCTCGGCCAAGTGACCAGCAAAGCCGACAGACAACACGGGCCACAAAGCCCCGGCTGAAGTGGTCTCTTTTCTCGCTTTTTTTCTCCCACACGAGCCCGTCGAAATTTTTCTTGTTTCCCTTATCAATCAATCAGTTGATTGTGCCCGCGACTAGCAAGAGTGGCGGCTCCCCATCCCCATCTCAGCCCCATGCTAATCAGATCCTTCTGTCCAATCGCTGCTCGTCCCCGACGCCTCGTCAACGGGGCTTGACTTGTAACTAACCTTTGGCTTTGCGCGAAAAAGCTGCTCGTGTAGGAGATCAGGTCACCTGCACCCGTTCGCCGTCGGTCTTGTTTTTCATTCTCCTTTGGCTTGCTGGCGGAGACACCATCCTTTGCGAGCGGGCCAGAGGGTTTGAACCGCTGGGTCGTTGATCTTGATCACTAATAAGCCGTTACTAACAACAGCACGAACGACGGCTAGTACTGAGAAGTCTTGGCACAATGCAACATACACTCGAAACAACAGGTATTTCAAATCATCACGCTTCCAATTGCCCGTCAGCAGTTGCAGCGTCGGCTTCTATCACGTCCTGCGGCAGCGAGGACAGCCCAACTTTCAGCTGGCTGCCCACTAAAAAAAAATAAAGCACCCTGGCCATCTCCGACGCCACGAGTCTACCAGAATAGAGGGCCCAAGCCGCTAAAGAGTGCTCCGCTGGCTGCCCCATTCGGGCAGCTCCAGCCTCTGCGCCGCTGCACCAGCACGGGCGGCTTCAGCGGCCTGCAAGTTGCACGCTACAGCCCACTTTCACCTGCAAGTCACCCCTGTCCCCTGTCCCTGGTCCCCTACCTGTAGTCGTCCATCTCCTTCCCTGTTGTTGCGCTTGCCTGTCGCCGCAAAGTCGCATGGCCATTGTCCCGCCCGTTCGTCGCTTCTCCCGCCAACACCCTTCTGCCCAAATCCTTCTCAAAAGGACGCAGATATCTTCTCGTCTCTTCTTTCACCGTAACTAGCTTTTGCCAAGGAAGATCAACTTGCTCACCCAAAGCTGTCCAAGTGAGCATACTACCATCCTATAAAACGGCTCCCTCGCCATGGCGCCTCTCGTCCAAACGGCCGTTGTCGCTGCACTGGCAGCGATTGCTTCTGCCGCCACCATTACCCATGATTTCAACATCACCTGGGTCACTGCCAATCCCGATAATGCCCAACCTCGTCCCGTTATTGGCATCAACAACCAATGGCCTATCCCCCGCCTCGAGGTCGACGTTGGCGACCGTCTCGTCATCAATGTCAACAACCAGCTCGGCAATCAGTCTACCTCGCTACATTTCCACGGTCTCTACATGAACGGCTCCTCCCTCATGGATGGCCCGACCGGTGTCACCCAGTGTCCCATTCCCCCAGGCTCTTCTTTTACCTACAACTTCACCGTCGATCAACCCGGCACCTACTGGTATCACTCCCACAGCAATGCCCAATATCCCGACGGCCTGCGCGGTCCCCTTATCGTCAACGACAAGGACTTTCCCTACAAGGACAAGGTCGACGACGAGTTCATCGTTACTCTGTCCGACTGGTACCATGATCAGATGCAGGATCTCATCCCCACCTTCCTCTACAAGGGCAACCCTACCGGTGCCGAACCCGTTCCCAAGGCTGCGCTCATGAATGAGACGCTGAACCTTGATGTGCCTGTCAAGCCTGGCAAGACGTACATGTTTCGCGTCATCAACATTGGCGCCTTTGCCGGCCAGTATCTCTGGATTGAGGGCCACACCATGCAGATTGTCGAGGTTGACGGTATCTACACCAAGTCTGCTGCCGCCGAGATGATTTACATTGCTGCTGCTCAGCGTGTTAGCTTCCTGCTCACCACCAAGAATGACACCTCTGCCAACTTCCCCATTGTCGCATTAATGGATACTGTAAGTCAACCGCCATAGCCCAGAGTCATGTAGACAACTCAGACTAACATGACAGACCCTCTTTGATGCTCTACCCGAAGATCTCAACTACAACTCTACTGGCTGGCTCAACTACGACGACAGCAAGCCCAAGCCTGATGCCAAGATTGTCTACGAACTTGACGCCTTCGACGACATGACTCTGGAGCCCTATGATGAGGAGAAGCTGCTCCCCGAGCCCTCAAAGATTGTCGAGCTGGACGTCATCATGGACAACCTCGGCGACGGTGCCAACTACGCCTTCTTCAACAACATCACCTACAAGTCGCCCAAGGTCCCAACCCTCTACAGTGTCCTGTCGAGCGGCGACCAAGCCACGAACCCCACCGTCTATGGCGAGTACACGCACCCCTTTGTCCTTGAAAAGGATGAGATTGTCCAGATTGTCGTCAACAACCTCGATTCGGGCCGCCACCCCTTTCATTTCCACGGCCACGCCTTCCAGGCCATCCACCGCTCCGCTGAGGAGGCCGGCACCCTTGCCAGCGAGAACTTGACCGAGTCGGACTTCACCCAAGTGCCCATGCGCCGTGACACTCTTGTCGTTTGGCCCAACGGCAACATTGTGCTGCGCTTCAAGGCAAACAACCCCGGCGTCTGGCTGTTCCATTGCCATATTGAGTGGCACGTCGTCTCGGGCCTGCTAGCCACGTTTGTTGAGGCCCCTCTGGAGCTGCAGAAGCAGTTTACCATTCCCCAGAACCACCTAGACAACTGCGCCGCCCAGGGCATGGCCACGCAGGGCAACGCCGCCGGCAACACCAAGGATCTGCTGGACCTGACGGGACAGCCAGAGCCTCCTCGCCCCTTGCCTGCTGGGTACGTGTTAAAGACATGGTTCAAATTTCGGAAACATGCTGACTGGAAACTAGATTTACCACACGTGGCATCATTGCTTTCGTGTTCAGCTGGATCACTGGTATTCTGGGTGTCTTGGTCGTCGCCTGGTACGGCCTGTCTACACCAACCAAAACGACGCACGATCACGAGCACCTCGTTGGTCCGGCTAACGGTACCACGGAGGTGCGTGAAGCGAGTGCAACTGCTGGCACTACTGCTGCTACTGCTGGCACTACTGGCGAGACAACGTCAACCGCCGCAGAGGCGAATGCCACGGCGGCCAGGTCGAGTTGATCAAGATACCCAAGGGGAGGAGGGATGGAATTGTAATGGATATAAAAGTATGTACAGATTGGATAGTATGCGTATAATAAAGGACATGCTTATCCACGTGTGGGGTGTTGCGCGTGTGTGTGCGAATTCATGTGATGGGCAGCAATCGTGATGTGATGATGAATTGAACTGGGGAAGAGGCAAACACTTGGACGCTGACGGGGATGGCTACCAAGAAACCAGAAGAGCTGGAAATGAGCAAAGTGGGGAATAGGATTGTTGTCTGCTATTATTTGTGAGTAAACAGAGTGACGCAGGAAAAAAAAGAGGGAAAAAAAAGAAGGTCAGATAGCAACACCTGGTCTCGATCCAGGGACCTGCGGGTTATGAGCCCGCCGCTCTTCCCCTGAGCTACGTTGCTTACTTGTTCCAATGCTGGAGGATATCGGAACAACTGATGGAAGACGGAAGAGTTAATTATGTTTATAAGGGTGCCGCTGCGAATCGGCCCCGTGTGAGTCAGAGGAAATTTTTGATGAGGCCCGCATGAGTGGGTTGAGCAAACGGCAGCGTCTCCGCCGGCACGCGACATGTTGACGCGAGGTACTGATGAGCGGGTCAAAAATATATGAAAAAGGGTGTTGCGTGTTTTACGGTGGACTAGACGTAGATGTAGCGAATAATATAGAGTGTTTTGGTAGGATTTGAAAAAGACGAATACGTCGATGTCGAACAATGTTCACGTATACAGTCAAGCAACAGGACTGCTGCTTCCTTGAATCCCGTCGCTTTACCAGAGTGAGAAGAGCAGAGCCTGACACTACAACTCTAGAAATTTGGGTAGCGAGATGCCTCACCTACAAAGGTTGGCATTTTGTTCTCATATTTTGCATAAGTGCAGGGTATGTAGGCTTCCTAGGGAGCATCACGAAGAAGGGATTTATTTTATTTTATTTGTTGGCCCTGATATTTTTACCAGAGGCTAGTCATTCGAGTATATAGACATTATTTCGAATATTGAATATTTGAGTAGTTTGCTTATTTCAAAGAGTGCAGGCTTTATTGTCATGCAGCTCGTCGAAGCTGCGGTTGCCCACACTGTCTCAGCCAACGAACGTCATGGTTCAGAAAATCCCTATAAAATAGCTAATAATAGTCCGCCTGCACCCTGAAAGGGGCACTCAGCCAAGTCAACCTCTTGTTTCGCACAGAAGGAGAAGGAAACAAAATAGGTCGAATGCAACTCACCAGTAACTTTTTTCCCACCTAAATTTACCAGCATCTACGCACATCCCGCCTCGGCACAGTGCCGCTGCTCATGTCGTTGCTCTCAGTCTTGTGATGCGCTTAGCGAGCGAATCCAAGACCACCACGCCACCCCCTCCCCCCCCTTTCGACGATCACTTTTATTAATCGGTGTACGAATTACTAGGGGGAGGGGACCCTTTTCTTTCTTGTTAACCTTGAAGTTGCCTCATCACGCAAAATTATTTCCCTACACGACAAGAACTTGCCGACCGTTTTTTCTTCTCGTCCTGCTAGCGAGCCAGGCGCTTCGTTAGCTGGAAAGCATCACGACAAACAGCGTGCACTGGTCCGGACACTCGTACAGACGGCGAGATGGCGACCAAGTGTAACCCAGGCATCGTCTACATGACGGTACGCTGATTTCTCCATATGCACATCTTGCATCTATACGTGCACTTTCCATCTCTCCCGAATTCTCTCTAATTCCACCTACCTACTAGGCAAGCCTGGTTCTCTTCGCCATTGCCGTGTAAGTCGACAGAAAACATCTCCCCAGCTCGGTCCAAAAACAACGCCCTTCCTCTAACCAAACCCCCCCAACGCCAGAGTCCTCCACTTCCACAGCCAGCATCTCTCGCTGCCCATCCCCGCGGCCGTCACCGTGCTCGTCGCCATCCTCCCCGTCGCCGCCTTCCTCAACGCGTTCGTCTACCCGAACCTCTTGCGCAGCGCCACCTCGGACCTCGCGCGCGCCGTGCCCATCGCCCTGCAAGCGCTGCAGGCCATCCTCACCGCCGTCCTCGCCACGCTCGTCGCGCAAGACTTTGCCCCGTCCGCCGCCGCCACGCGCAGCTGCGCGCTCGACGCCGCCTGGCAGGCGCTGTACGCCGCGCGCGACGCAGACGCCGTCCGCCTCGTGCAGGACACGCTCGGCTGCTGCGGGTACGCCGCCGTCGACGACCGCGCCTTCCCGTTTGCGAGCCTGATAAGACAGACGTGCGCGGAGATTTACGGTCGCGACCGCGCGTGTGCGGCGCCCTGGCGGGTGGCGCTCGAGACGCACGCCGGCGTTGCGTTTGCCGTCGTCGTCGCGGTGGCTCTGATGCAGGTGCGTTTATCAGGCCAAAAAAGGGACAGAGGTTTTGTTTTTGGGGGGGTTTTTTCTTGGCTGACAATAGAGGTAGATACTTGGACTTGTCCTCATGCGACCCAGCACCAGCTGGTGGACCGCGCTCCGCACGCCAGAGGATGAAGAGGGGGAGGAATACGACGAGCAGAGTAGGCTGTTGGGCGCGGAGCGAGGGCAGCAGGTTGCGTCTTCGCCTGTCGCTGGGCCGTCAACACATATCGAGGCGGCCCGATGACGCTGACTCGAAGAGGAGTCGAGGGAAGATAGGAGCCAGAGAACCAAGCCAAAAATGTATTGCTGGCAGTGCAGTTTTCACACGCACCTTTAATTTAGCTAGGCGTTTGTTGTTTTTGGTCATGTTGTCATTTCCGTTTTGAATCGGGGGCTCATTTACCCTCTACTAATAAATTACTCAAAATGCTGCTTGCTTTTTTGCTATTTGCAGTTGTTCCCCCCCCCCGTTTTCACACGTATGTACAAGCCTGCAAGTGATGATCTGCAAGTGATGATCTTTTGAAATACAAATGCTACGCCCGATGCAGCCACCAGCCACCGCCCCCCCGTCTACCTCCGCCGCCGCTCATGCGCTTCCTTGCCCAGCTTCGCCAGCGCCGTCTCATACGCCGCGACGCGCTCCTCGGGCATCTCCTCGATGCGGGCGCGCTCCACGGCGCGCGCGCGGCGCACGCCGCTGCCCTTTGCAATCTTGCCCCAGAACCAGCCGCTCTCGGCGTCGGCGACGAGCGTCCAGGCGCGGCCGGCACGACCGGCGCGCGCGGTGCGGCCCACGCGGTGCACGTAGCCGGCCAGGCTCGGCGGCAGGTCGTAGTTGACGACGTGCGCGAGGCCGGGGATGTCGATGCCGCGCGCGACGAGGTCCGAGGCGACGACGAGGCGCAGCGGGGACGCGGGGTCGGCCAGGGCGCGCAGCGTCCGTCGGCGCTGCGCGGTCGCGGTCGTGGACGTGAGGGTGCCGATGTGCGTGCCGAGCGAGCCGTCGAGGAGAACGAGGAGCCGGGAGAGACGGAGCGCCGACTCGTTGGACTTGGTGAAGATGAGGGCCGTGGGGAGCGGCGTCGAGGGCGCGGGAGGGGTGGTGTCGGAGTCGGAGTCGGAGCTGGTGTCGGAGTCGGAATCAGAGCTTGTGTCAGAGTCTGAATCCGATTCCGAGTCGGAGCTACTGTCGGACGAGGAATCGGAGCTTGAGCTGGACGTGTCCGAGCTCGAGTCGGAATCGTCGGACGCGGCTTCGACATCCACTGCCGCCGGCGCTGCTGCAGCTGGAGTTGTGGGATCCTGCGCCGTCATTAGGCCGCCGCGCAGGAGCTCCAGCAGGTACAGCGGCTTGAGGTTGTCGTCGTGCACGCGGGTGGCGAACTCGCGGAGGCCCTCTGGCAGTGTGTGCTCCGAGACCTGCGCCTCGGCGGCCGCAGCATCGTCGGCGTCGAGCACGACGAGCCGCGGCCGGCGCAGCGCGAGCGGGCCCAGCAGGCTGAGGTCGCGCGTCAGCGTCGCCGACAGCACCACCTTGCGCACCCCGCTGTAGGGCATGCCGGGAAAGTCGCGCGCGCCGTACAGGGCCGACGGCGCGCGGAACCGCGCGCTGACCGTGTCCAGCCAGCCCTGGAAGCTCTGCGCGAGCAGCTTGTCGGCCTCGTCGACGACGAGCCACCGCACGTAGTCGAGCGCGAAACCGGGCGTCTGCTCCAGGTGCTCCACGAGCCGGCCGGGCGTGCAGAGGAGCACGTCGACGGTCGAAGTAAAGTCAATCACTTCGCCGTGCCACGGGCCCAGACGCGCATCCCTGTCCTCGTCGTCGACATCGACGTCGGCCGACGCGGGGAGGCCCTTGGCTTGGAGGTTTTGGTGTAGTATCGTTTCGTAGGCGTCCGGGTCGTACCTCGACTCGCGCTCAATCAGCGTCTCCTGCTCCGTCTTGAGCTGCTGGCTACCGACGGAGACGCCTATGCGCACGCGCTTCCGGTCGCCTCCCTCGTAGGCCTTGGAGCAGAGCTCAAATACGTCCTGCGCTTGGCGCACCAGTTCGCGCGTCGGCAGCACCACCAGCGCGCGCAGCCTCGTCACCACACCCTGGCTGATGTCGCTGACAATTGGCAGAGCGTACGCCAGCGTTTTGCCAGACCCGGTCGCGGCCGATATTAAAAGATCGCCGGGCAGGCCGTTGTTGTTGGGTAGCAAGAGGGGAATCGCAGCCGTCTGGACGGCGAATGCCTCGGTGTAGCCCTTGGATTGCAGGACCTCGGCCGTCTTGGCGGGAATGCCCACGTCGGCAAAGCTGGCGCGTGTCGATTGCGAAACGCGGATGGGAGCGGAGAGCCAGGGAGGCAGGGTATCATATGTAGGTTTGGTGTCCGTCTCCTCCGGCTGCTCGGGCTGGGGTAGCGGCTGCAGGCTGTGCTGTTCGACTTCTTCTTCAGACTCCTCGGCCGTCTGGTTCGCCGCAACTTCGCTCGCCATCTTCAACGACTTGGCCATTTGTTTGAGAACAGACTTGTGTCTTCCATTTTGGTCGTCGTCGTTGCCCTCCTCGGCAGCTGGCTCTTCGGTTCGCTTCTTCTTCTCGCGCTTGGTTTTATTTTTTACGGGACTTGCGGTTGTTTCGGTACCAGCAATGACCACATCACCATCAGCGTCGACTGTTTCACTTTTTCGTGTATCTTGTTCCTCATTGTTGTCCGATCGCTTCTTCTTCCTGTCCTTCCTGTCCTTCCTGTCCTTCTTGTCCGTTTTCGTCTTCGCAGGTTTGGCCTCTTGGTCCGGTTCTCGATCCGCCGTTTTCGATTTCTTCGACTTTTTCTCTGTATATTCGCTTACTGCGTCCGCGTCCGCGTCCACCCTCTTCCGTTTCGACTTTTTCGACTTTGAATCGTCTTCTGCAGATTCTACTGCTGGCGCATTCGTTTGATCCGGCACAGGGCGGGCAATAGAAGTCTTTCCGCCTGCCGAAGGCACATATCTCGCATACATCGTGTCGCAAGTCCCAATGGGTAGTATTTGCGCCGTAATGCGACGTGGAGAGCTGTCTTGCTGCTCGGCTTTTTTTTTTTTAAATCTTGTCCCGCCAAAAGCTTCCCAAAAATTTGGGCGCCACAGCTTATCGTGATTGTGCTGGCTTTCACCGCCCAGCTTATCGACTCACTAGCCACAAGTAGGCGCAGGCGTTCCCGCTCGGCAAGCTAATTCGTCACAAGGCGCTTTGCTAGGGGACGCGGCTGCTGGCGGCCCGCGACAAGCTCCCTGTCTGTAACACATCTCAACACCTCATCTCATTTATGAAATGAGTCGTGCTAGTCGTCAAGGTGAAAATAACAGGACACGAGAGGAAGCCTCCTCTTCATGCAGCCGCCCAAGATGGGTCGTCGCAGATATAATATCGCCATGGTTAGCGACTTCTTCTTCCCCCAGCCAGGAGGAGTAGAGGCGCACATCTACCAAGTCTCGAGCAAGCTCATCGATCGCGGGCACAAGGTTGTCATCATCACACATGCCTATGGCAACCGTACAGGCGTTCGCTACCTTACCAACGGCCTCAAGGTGTACTACGTGCCCTTCTTCATCATCTACCGCGAGGCCACCTTTCCCACCGTCTTCTCCTTCTTCCCCATCTTCCGCAATATTTGCATCCGCGAGCGCATCGAGATTGTCCACGGCCACGGCAGTCTGAGCAGCATGTGCAACGAGGCCATTCTCCATGCCCGCACCATGGGGCTGCGCACGGTCTTTACCGACCACTCCCTGTTTGGCTTTGCCGATGCCGCGAGCATTCTCACCAACAAGCTTCTCAAGTTCTTCCTGAGTGACGTCGACCACAGCATATGCGTCAGCCACACATGGTACGGGTTTTTTTGCTACAACACATCTTCCATACCCGACGCTAACTAGTGCGCAGCAAGGAAAATACAGTCTTGAGAGCCTCGTTGGATCCTCTCATGGTCTCTGTCATCCCCAATGCCGTCGTCGCCGAAAACTTTCGCCCGCGCGACTACCCCGTCCACGGCGGCGGCGGCGATGCCAGCCACGCCTTTGGCCCCGAGCGCAGCCCGACGCGCATCGGGCCTAACGACATGATTACCATTGTCGTCATCTCGCGGCTCTTCTACAACAAGGGCACGGACCTGCTCACGGCCGCGATCCCGCGCATCCTGGAGAACCACCCCAACACGCGCTTCATCATTGCCGGGTCGGGCCCCAAGGCTATTGACCTCGAGCAGATGATTGAGAACAATGTGCTGCAGGACCGCGTCGAGATGCTCGGCCCCGTCCGCCACGAGGAGGTGCGCGACGTCATGGTCCGCGGCCACATTTACCTGCACCCCTCCCTCACCGAGGCGTTTGGCACCGTCATTGTCGAGGCCGCCAGCTGCGGCCTCTACGTCGTCTGCACCCAGGTCGGCGGCATCCCCGAGGTGCTGCCCTCGCACATGACGACGTTTGCCAAGCCCGAGGAGGACGACCTCGTCCTGGCCACGGGCAAGGCCATCACCGCCGTCCGCGCCGGCAAGGTCCGCACCGAACGCTTCCACGACGAAGTCAAGAAGATGTACTCGTGGGACAATGTCGCCCAGCGCACCGAGCGCGTCTACGACGGCATCACCGGCACCATCTCCGAGGAGGAGTTTTACGGCTTCGACACGGCCGGCTACAACGGCTCCCGCGTCCGCAACTTTGCCCTCATCGACCGCCTCAAGCGCTACTATGGCTGCGGCATCTGGGCCGGCAAGCTATTTTGCCTCTGCGCCGTCATCGACTATCTCTTCTTCCTCGTGCTCGAGGTCTTCCTGCCGCGTGAGAACATTGACATTTGCCCTGACTGGCCCCGCAAACTCGCCAAGGACCGTCAGGTCAAGTCGAGGAATCAGTCCACCTCGTCGCAAGGTGGTGCGAGGCTTAGCTGACACATTCACCCGACTACAGCTTCGCACCTGCCAGAGTCTTCTTGTGTATTATTATGGGAGTCCGGGGGACAACATGGCGTTTACGGCCTGATTCTTCACATGCATAGTATACCAGCAGAGGTAGTATAGTACCTAAAATATACATGCCATCGGCATTGTATTAATTATACATTTTTGTGTGTCAACACGGCTACCAACGTTCCTACGCTGTACTTGGCTTGGAGTGGTGTTAGAAGATTCAAAAAAAAAAAAGATTCGCTATACACGGTGAAAAAAAGTCATCTCATCCTCTGCCGCGAACGTTCCATCGCCGAAGACGGGGGATCCTTACCCGTCGTGCTTCTCGCGTCAGCGCGGGCTGCCTCTAGCCTCTCGCGGAAACGCGTCGTCGCTTGGACGCCGATGTTCCGTCTCCGTCTCCCTCCTCCTCCTCCTCCTCCTCCTCCTCCTCCACCGTATCGTCAGCCGTTGCTGCCGCTGCGGCCGACGCCGAGCCCGTTTCCGTCGTGGCCAGGGCAGCAGCAGCAGGGACGGTGGTGGTGGAAGCGGTGGCGGGCGCCGGTGGCTCGCGGTCTTTTTCGGCGCTGCGCAAGTCGCTAAGAAGTTTCTCGACCTCGACAAACATGCCGCGCGTGTTGCGCACCACGCCGTCCTCGTCAACGCTATAGCCGATGATTTCCTCCTCTTCGTCCCGCAGGCGGTTCATGAAAGCCTGGCCGGGGCCGCGGTCGGGGTCAGGGTTATACATGATGGCGTTGCAGAACATGTGGACCAACTCCCGCTCGAGATGCGCGCTATTGATGATGGATTGAGGCGGTGTCAGGTCTTCGGACACGGGCAGCCAGACGCTGGGGCCGCTAGGGTCACCACCAGGAAGGTTCGACGCAGCGGTAGAGGCAGCCTTATTGCCGTGCTTGATTGCTGCGCGGATTTTCGTGATGTCCTGGGGCTGGAGCACGATCTGGTTGTAGCCGGGCGCATCGCGCTCGCGGATGCCCGTGGCGAACATGTTTGCATCCCGGTGGCTGGAGATTTGGTCGAGTGCCGACGACGAGACCTTTGTGAAACCTCGCGTCCATAGCACATGTGTTGGCGGCGCAGGAGGTTCCTGCGGAGTATCTTGTCGCTTTCGCTTGTACGCGTGCGACGAAACACTGCCAGGGGTTGTCATGTGCTTACCATGAACACTTTCGTCGGCGGTGGTATCCCCAGTTTCCTCCTGCAAGCGCGGCGTGGAAACTTCTTTCTTGACCTTGGGACGGTAGTCTGTGGATGGCTCGTCCGCCTGGGAGACAACCGACTGGCTGCGCCTTGTGCCCGCTGCTGAAGGCGTGGAGCTGATGGCACGACCACGTTGACTAGTGCGGGATGAGCGGTTGCGGCTAGCAGGCTCCAGCTTCTTCGGTGTATCCTTCACAGACACAGACCTTGACGACCCGCGTGCAATTGAGTTCGCTCGCTGAGGAGGGCTAACAGGCTCAAATGCCGGACTCTCTGGTTCTTCCATGATCGGCCGTGGCGTTGACGGTGTGGAGTGTGATGCCCATTTAGTGCCAAATCCTCTGGTCAATGACAAAGAGCTGACTTGTACAGGTGTCTGAGGCTGTGACGGAGCCGCAGATCGTTTCCCTTGCGGTGTGCCGATTGCTTGGCGGATCATGTGCTCAGGAATCGCTGGCTTTGGGGGGCCGTATGGCGATCCATCCAGCCGCGCAGGCGAGTTTGTTCTGGAAAGAGGTTGCAGTTGCCCGGAAGCTGGCTGCGTGGGAGCCAATTTAGACGGCATATTTTGGTGTACTGGTGTTGGATGAGGTGATGCGGACGCCAGAGGTCGAAGATTTTGAGGGTGCGGCTGTATAGGACGGCCAGGGATATGGTTTGGGTTTGCTGCAATCGGACGGTGCTGAGGATGTTGCGGAGGTGCAGCTTGCAGAGGGGCAGCTTGCGGTGGTGCAGCGTGCGGCGGTACAGCTTGCAGAGGTGGTTGTTGAGCAGGACTGAGGCTAGGAGGATTGGGTATGGGACGTTGTTGGGCTGTGACTTGCGCTTGGTGTATTTGAGCTTGAGCGGCGGGGTTTTGAGGTGTACCATGGTGCGGGATGCCTATTGGCGCTCCTGTATATGGCTTGAAGCCTGTAGGGACAGCACCAGGCCTCCCAGGTTGTATTGTCTGGCCGGGTCGCGCTGGTTGTAAAGAAGGTTGTTGCGGTTGCGGTGGCGGACCACCAGGTGCCTGGATGCCACTCGCTGGTTTTGGTGATGGTGATGGTCGGGCCGGCGGCGTTCCAGCTTGCAAGTGCGCATACCCGGCTACTATCGGTAGAGGTGCGCCGGCTCCCGGAGCTTTTGGTGTCGGAACCACGGCGCCCCTCTTGATCCCAGGTACGACGCCCGGTGTTGGTCCTGGCGATGGACTGGGGCTGTTGGATCCCAATGAAGTATTCTTGTTGTCGCGCGGCGCGAGAGCTGTCGCGCCACTTTGGGATGCTGACCTGGCCAGGCGTTCCTTTTCGCTCTTCTCCAAGAGCTGTATCTCCTTTTGTACTGTGGCGAACTTGCGCTCATCTTCTCTAATCTGTCGCACAACGTAGTCACGGTAACGAGCATACAGGCGCTCAACCAAGGCCGGTACTTTGCTCACATGCTGGTAAGCCTCTTTCAGCGTCGGTATGGACGGGGCCGTAATCTTGCGCCTCTTGGAGGGCGATGCTCCCGCCTGCGCCGCTTCGGCGCGCTCAGCGTCGCTCTTGAGCTCTTCGCGCAACAGCAGCAAGAACAGCTGCTGGAGCGCGCTGGGGCTCAGCCGCGCCGCGTCATACGTCTCCCCGCCCTTGATCAGCGCATTATTTGTGAGCGTCTCGGATATGTGCGTAAACGCGGCGGCGTCGATGCCAATGTTGAGGAGAGACTGGAAGAGGAAGAGCGACTCGAGAGGCGTGTACGTCGTCGGGTTACTCATGCCGGGCTTGGGCCCGCCTCGCCAATGCTCGAGGGGGCCGTTGCGCTGTGCGAGGAGTTGTAGGGGCGCCACGGTCGATGACGAGGAGGGCGCGCCGGAGCTGGATGTTAAATGCTGTCCGAGGTGGCTCGGGACGCCAAAGCGGGATCGAGCGGCTGCTCGGCGTCGGCCGCGTCAGAGAGGTCGAAACGCGTTCGAAAAGGCGCGGCCACAGGCAGGTATCGGGGTCTAGATGAATTTCATTGGAATTTCGATGGAATTGCGCGTCGTTTTGCGGCAAAACGTTGTCGGCTTCTGGCGTCGTTGATTTTTCACGAATGCCGACGACTGTCTAGATATCACGTGACCATGAATAAAAGAGTTCGCGGCAGAGCTAAAGTTATAGGGGAAGAAGCGCTGTCGGTCCACTGTATCTATAAGAACATGTCCACTTCGCCGCCATTGGAGGCGCTACCTCGATATCAGATCGTCAGTGGCGGGGACCTAGTAATATCTGGCATTTATTATTTTGGAGCACATGTACATATAATGATCTTGTAGTTCTCGGGGAGATGATTCATTCTCGATTTGGTATATCAATTTGTCAAAATATATGCATGAAAGCTGGTGCATAAGAAACCTCAAAGAAATAACGCCGCACTATGCTCGCTGACTTGAAGGGGGGGGGAAGGGTTGTACACGAAGAAATCACTCCACGACCCGTCTTATTCGATCGAGAAGCAGAACGGTGCCATTGACTTCCAAAGTGCGATTGAGCCACTGCAGTTTGTCGGGTGGATAGTATTCATCGGCGTCGGTGCGCGCGACCCAGAACCAGATGAGGGTCCAGCAGAGGCCCCTGACGATGCGCGGCCCGTCCCACGGCAGGCGCACAAAGAAGGCACCGACGATGCCGGGCACCCGCAGCAGAAAGGCCCCCTTGTCGCGCCAGGTGCCCTCGTCCTCGCCGCCACCGCCGCGGCCGCCGCTGAGGATGGTGAGCGCGGTGACGGCGCACGACCCGACGAGCGTGCCGAGCTGGACGAGCGTGACGGTGCGGGAAATGTCCGGGTCAAACACGACGACCCAGATGGTGCCGCTCACAAACGTCGAGAGCATAATGGCCATACTCACGTCGACCTGCACCTGCGAGGTAAAGTCAAAGTTGAGCATGGCCACGCCGGGCAGCATCAGCAGCAGCCACAGGCCGAGCTTCCAGAGGAAGCGCCGCAGGCGCCCGGCGCGGACCACGACGTCGAGGAAGAGGTACAGGAGGAGGAGCGCCTCGACGGCGACGCTCACGAGGGCGAGGCTCGTCGACATGCTGGGTGGCGGCGGCGGCGGCGGTGGCGGCGATGCGGCTGCTCCTCGATGTGCGGGCCTAAGCAAGACGATCGGACGAAGCGCATGGAGCGCAGAGTGCGTGTTGTTTGAGTGAAGGAGGCATTAACAAGCAAAAGCTTGGGAGCGAGTGAGACAATGCTCGAGTGGTGTCTGTGTCGACTGTCAAGTGGTGAGGTCAATGCAAGTTACGCTTGTGGAGAGAGCCTGCTCGGCAGCGAAATGGGCCGGAGCGCCAAAGTACCAGGGTGGTGCCGCATGTACTTACCAAGCAAGCATACGGGTGACAAGAAAAAAGACCGGACACATAAGGTAAGATCTACACTCTATAAAAAAAGGTTTACTAGGAACAAAGGAAATTAGAACAAATATAAGCTAAGAGGCATGAGAAATATCAAGAAAATTAGAAAGCTAAAGACGTTAATAAATAGTAAGAAAATAGTGAGAATGACGAAGATCGTAGTATTCCTAATGAAGTATTAACCGGCGGCTAATTTTGTCTCCCTGGTGACAAGGTACACTCGACAAAGCGACACCACGTCTTTGACTATTCACTCGACATCAGTGGGGCAGAATTTGGCATACCGCATATAATGGTAGCAGAGTATACGAGACCCCAAAGTCCAAGAAATATCAAGGGTAATTTCATGCTCTATTTCATGCTCCTGCTAGACTCTATCAGTTCAAGCAGTACCCAGTGTCGCTAAAATGAGTAGCTAATCAAACTCCATTCAACCATATCAAACGTTTTTATATCCAATGGCCTCTGAAAGGGAGTAGACGAGGCAAAATACACGCCCATGCACATCATACAGACAGTCCTCCCTCCAACGACTCGTCGCGCTCTAATCTTTCCAACCCCGTGCCTACAGCACCATACACCTTGAGCGGGACGGACACGTCAAAACTCTCGCAAGCCAGGTTTTCCACGGCCACGAGGACAAGGCCGCCCTTGTCATCTTGCGACAGCTGCTCCAGTAAAGTCGAGCCAACTGCGGCTGGCGGCGTTGCCGCGTTCTCCTCGCCGCTCTTCGCAGGCACGACAAACTCGACGCGAATTTTCCATTCGAAACTGACGCCGCTGGTGACAAATTCGGGCGTGGCGGATATGGGTATCGTGGGGGTAAAAACAATGCGGCGCGAGTACATGGTAGTCTCTGAGGATCCCTCGTAGACTTTGCGCGTCACTCGCTGGATGCTCGAATCGGAGCGCACGGCCAGCGAGGGGTCAATCTTCTCCGACGTCTCCAGCGTGGCGTGCACAGCGTAGCAGGGCACCTCGGCCTCTGTAAAGTCAATGACCATGGTTACGACTTCACCAAGCCGGTATGCGGGACGAGGCAACATGACTGCACCGACTTTCTTGCCATTTCGCGCAATTTCAAATCGGTTCTGGCTCTGGCCTTCGTTGGCCAGGTTGCTCCTCATAATAGCAAGATGAATCGCTTCTTTTGTCGAGGCAACCTCATCAAAGACTGACGGACGTCGTGAATCGAGACCGTCTGTCGGCGATAGCAAAGTATTCGACTTGTCGTCTGTTTGCTGAGCAACAAGCTCATCAACGTATGCCAGGAAATCGTTCATGTTCCCTTTACTTTCCACGTGGATGCGGCCTTTGCTGACATGTTTGCGCTTTCCGACGGCTTTCACCAGCGCTTCGTCTTTCAACAGTATATACGGACTCATTAAATCGTGGCCAAGGATTTCGCCATAGCTGTTAACGCTGCCAAGTACCCTAAAGGGAATCTCGACAGAACGAACCTGCTGTTGTCGGGCGCCGCCAGCTCGTTGTGTTCCAATGACTAGACTGTACGAGATTTTCAGAGCCTTTCCTTTGTGCGTTGGTGGCAGACCTCGGGGCAGGCGAAGGGTGTATTCAAAGGAGCGGCTCTCGCCAGGCAAAAGCTGCATGTCGACGAACAATATTGACTGAGGAGTACTCAGCAGGGGAATTGCTTTGGAGTTTGCCGCGCCTCGCATCTCCTTCATTGTGCTCAGTTCGTTGCCGCCTAAAAAATCGCCGAGCGAGCTGCTGATGGCTCCCCAGCCAAAGCTTCGCAGGAGACCGCTGTCTCTCCTGTTTTGATCTAGTCCGACGACACCACCGCCGCGCCCGCCAACAACGCCCTTTTTCTTGACTTCGTCAAACTGGCCGAGGCTGATTAGGGAGCCATCTAGCAGAAAAGAGCCTTGTACCTGGGCGTAGCCCATCATTATGGACTCTGGCATCTTGTTTTGTGAAGGCGGCAAGCCCGAGGTCCTTCGCAGGTGCAGTGGCCGCGCAGTGTCTCTGGCAGCAGGATATTCAGAGGCAAGTGTTTCGGAAGAATGGTTGCTCATGGCATAGAACTCGCCGCTGCTTCGTGGTGTTCCACTGGCCATGCTGTTGCTCGACAGGATACGAGCGGCGGGTGTGAGAGGCTTGTCAGACTCTTTTGGTCGCAGGGCCAGGTCGTGTCTTTCAGCGGCAGCGGCCTCTTCTTGGGGATCCTCAGCTGGCGGTCCAGCTGGGAAGTGAAAGTCGGGCATTAGGTTCGGAGAGGTTCTGGGTGATCGTCGACGTCCAATGCCGGGCGTCGACGGCGCGGTGGAGGAGCGGTTCTGCTGGCCGTATCTATCGGGGGGGGATGATGCGGTATATAGGGGGGATGTCATATTTCGGTGTGCTGAATGGTCATTTCATTAGTAGGTGTCAGAAGGGCCAGCGTAATAAGAGCTCACAATGTTGTAGTCTATTCGTTGTGTTGTCTTTGGACATGATTTGAAGGCTCGAGGCACGATTGTGCCCTCGATGTAGCATGGCAGGCCGACCTGACGTTTCGTTTCGTTGGTGGTGGTCATCGACAGTGCCAGCCGAGCCAATTGAGACTATAGATACGGATCGTTTATGGGAGTGTCCTGGTCGAGAATCGGAGGAGCCGCCGCCAGGCCATTGCACCACAGCCGATCGAGAACTTGGCGCAGTTGACGGTATGCTCAGGGATAGTGCTGATCTTCTGTGCCCTCGTCCGTTGCTAGCAGGAGGCGGCGACGCGATGGAATGGCTGCCTTTGCTGCCGCGGTTGCCTCCGAGAGGTGACGCCAGACTCGAGAGCAGCCGCTGACGGTCCGAATTGTTTCGTCTCGGCTGGGAGGCCTGGTTAGGCTCCCCTCCCCTTGCATTGTCGGGTTCTCGAGCAACATTCTTGAACGTAATGGTGCACTTGATGTCCTCGCCAGCAAAGACAGTTTGGTCTCGCCAGTGGACGAAGACACGAATGCTGCTGCTGTGATCGTCGGGAGCCATGGTTGGCAACCGGCGTCGAGGGTGTTTGGGAGATGAGGGAGGTTGTTGGTTGCCCTACGGAGAGGGTCCGGTAATCAAAGACGCGGTGATGAGGATGTTCGATGCGGCATCTCTAAGGCGCTGATTCGCTGCGCAGACCGGCCGTGGCAATCTGGGGTTGGATGTAACTAGCGCAACCGAAGCTCCAAGGAGACAGACGGCTGACGTAGGTACCTAGCTGGCCTGTTGTCTGGCGGAGCAGCCCCCACTACCATACATAGAAGGTAGTAGGTAGGTACAGAGGTAGGCAGGTATTGCGGTACTAAGCCAAGAAATAAATGGCTATATAACAGAATCGAAGTGCTAATACGAGTGTGAATCGGGTCTATCTCGCTTGAATATTCCTGGGGCTTTCGTGGGATTTTTTTCAATAATTTTCTAGTCACTGATTTATTATCGTTCGTGGGGATCGATACAAGCAGGATACTATTATCAGTGGGCTTGCGTCGGCTCACACAGCAAAATGACTGACGCGACAAGTTACAGCTTGGGCAGTGGAATAGTGTGACACTACATGTGCATGTTGCGTTGCATGAGGTAATAAATAGTATTGATATGGTAGGTAGACCAGGCGGGGTGAGGCAAGAGGAAAAGCAAGGCATCGGAGCGCTGGCGATCGAGGCAAGGGTTGATCTAATACCAGGGCGGTTTCGGGGGTAATTTATGGTTCGCACGAGTAGCCATCTAATATCAGTTACCATGATTTCCGCCAAGGTTATCGGATAGCTTAATGATGGGATGCAGGGTGCCAATGTCGTGTGCGAAGTGGGCTCGTTCCAGTGAGGTGAACTGGATGCATAGGAATCGAAGGAGTGAATACAATAGTGAGCACTTGCGTAGAGGATCAATGCAGGTTCTATGCGCATGTGATAGCTGAAAGATGACAGTCGGAGACATTCATTCCGTTACGACCTGGGATACAGTTTGGCAGTCAGTCGGTGCCCACGTTTGTACCGGGTAGTCGATCGCGGTAAGCGGGGGTGGTAGCTATGATCGTCAAGTGAAGACTCATTAGCAAGCCCCGGAGAAAGAAAAAAGCCAGAATATTGGCAGGTTGACAAGTAACACGACGGGAGTCTATAAAACAGAGGATCGGGGTGGTGTCTCGGCTTCCGTCGGAAGCTGCCAGCGAGCGGCTTCACATGCACGGTAGTCTCGCTTCCATGATGAGGCGATAGGGGTGTCCCTAACTACAAAGCCAAGGAAATACCAGTATAGCGGCGCGTGGCTCTAAAGTCCGATGGCGCGGCGTGGTGGGTATCAATGTCGACGGCGTTAAGGAACCAATACATTTGAAACGAGTACAAATCCGTATATAAGGAGGAAATCTCTAACCGAACGGCGGGAGAGACATTCGGCAATTGTAGATGCCGGTTGGAAGATATAAGAATTGAGCCCCGTGATTCGGCGCTGCATGACAAGGATGGCTGTTGTAGATCGGACCGGAGGATGAAAGCTCGAGCCGGTGGTGCAGATGGACAAACGGGCCAGAGGCGGCAAGTTTATAGTTGAGTTGGCTAGCGGCGTTTGCAGATGGCGAATAAGTCACTATGGCGAAGCCTGTTGGCCTTTTCCTTTTCCCCGCCATTAAGCCATCAAGACAGTACTGGTGCCGGGCTGCCCGTTCAGCGTGGCCATCTCACCCCAAGAACCGACGAAATGGAATAGCTATGGACGCGCCCCTGCCGCGCTAATGGCTTTCTGTGTTGGCTCGTTCGGAAACATGGATTGTTGGGCCGCTTTAAAAATACAAAGGGCGTGTGTTCCGTCAGCCCGGATGGCCTTTCTATGGGGGGCAACAACTTAAAAAGCCAGCAGCGGGGTAACATATATATTTTGTGAGGGTGTGCGGCAGCCTGGGGTACAAGAAAAGTCGGGGCTAGTGCACGTACTAAATACTAAAAGACTTGCGCCACCGGTCTGTCGGAGTAGAGCGGACGAGAGCTATGTAGAACGGAGTAAGAAGCTTATCCCGGATCTCTTGGGGAGTGGCCGTCTGCGTGGTGGTCATGGCATATCGAAACAGACCTGCGGGGAGATGAAGAAGGGTGAGGAGTCGAAAGAAACCCCAACTACTAGTTACTTAGTTACTGATATAAAAAAGAGAGAGAGAGAGCGAGAGAGAGGGAAGAAAAAAAAAAAGCGGCTCCGAGGCAAGACATGCAGATCGCTAGCCAGCCACACGGCGGAGCTATCAAATCAACCGCCAAGGTTCCCTGAAGTTTGGGTGCCAATCCTGTTCTGGCTGCTGTTCGGCACGTACGTTCACACTGTGATGCGATGCGGGGGACCGGCGGCATCTCCATATACTATTTGTCAAACTGGCCTCCCTCCAGGCCTTGTGCTGTCAGCGTTTCCCCCCCCCAGCGCCGGTCCCGCAGGTCCGGGGCCGGAGCACAACCGGAAGGCGCAGTTTGGTGCCCTCTGAAAGCAAGGAAAGACAAACCAGGAAAAACAACGTAACAAACAAAGCGCGAAGAAGAACAAGTAGACATTCAGCTTGCTGCAAATCAAATCGCGTCTCAACCCCTTTCTTTTGTCTTTGCTCGCATACAGACGCACGCAACCCCCACTCCGTCAGGGCGCGCCGGTGTCACCTTTTCGGATAGCATCGCTTGAGCAACTGCGCGCCGTCCGTCCGTCCGCCCGCGCAGCGCCGCGCAGAAACATTGCAGAGGGCCTCACGTAATTCTCAGCAAATCGCCACACAAATGGACAATTCCTCTGGCTCTGCCACACAGGGGTCCATTATCTGCCCCCCCCTCCCCTCTTCTCGTTGCCTCGTCCCCATCTATGCAGGTTGTTACCTCCTCCCGTTCCCCGTTCCCCGCCATCCACAACACCCTTCTGGGCCGGACTTCGAGCTTCCCTCCCCCGCTGCCCGTCTTGGTTGTCCCAAGCTAACTCGGCGCGGCTGGCCACCCCTCTCCCCGCTTTATCGTCATTCTCTCTTCACCTCTGCGAATTGCAGACACACATATTTAACCTTCGTCTCACCCATTTTTTTCTTTCCATCTTGCCCGCTCTTCTTCCCTTTTCTCACATCCACCTGTACCGGTCTGAGATTCTCCGTTTCAGTCCATCTCTTTTATAACCAGATACCCCGTTGTGCTGTAGCCAAACACACACTTCAACACAAAACCAGTCCGCCATCATGACTCTGACCGCGAAGCTCTCCACGCCCGTCACTGGCACCTACGACCAGCCCATTGGCCTGTAAGTTTTGGTTGTAGTGGTGGTTCTTGTTCTGTGTGGTGTCCCCCCCTCCCCGCATGACCACCCGGTCCTCCGCTCACACTACGCACCCCCACCACACCCAGCGAGATTAATAACATTAATATCCTTGACTAACACGAATCTCTTCTCGCCCCTCTCTGCAGCTTCATCAACAACGAGTGGGTCGAGGGTGTCGACAAGCAAAAGTTTGAAGTCATCAACCCCTCCACCGAGGAGGTCATCACCTCTGTTTGCGAGGCCACCGAGAAGGATGTCGACCTCGCCGTCGCCGCCGCCCGCAAGGCCTTCAACACCACCTGGAAGGAGACCACTCCCCACGAGCGTGGCCGATACATGAACAAGCTCGCCGACATTGTCGAGAAGAACACCGACCTCCTCGCCGCCGTCGAGTCCCTCGACAACGGCAAGTCCATCACCATGGCCAAGGGTGACGTCGGTGCTGTCGTTGGCTGCATTCGCTACTACGCCGGTTGGGCCGACAAGATTGAAGGCAAGACCACCGACGTCGCCCCCGACATGTTCCATTACATTAGAAAGGAGCCCGTGCGTATAGTCTCAACCTCAAAAGAACAAGTCGAGAGATGCTAACTATCCATCTAGATTGGTGTCTGCGGTCAGATCATTCCCTGGAACTTCCCTCTTCTCATGCTTTCCTGGAAGATTGGCCCTGCCCTGGCTACTGGCAATACCATTGTCATGAAGACTGCTGAGCAGACTCCTCTCTCTGGCCTCGTCTTTGCCCAGTTCGTCAAGGAAGCCGGCTTTCCCCCCGGTGTCTTCAACCTGATCTCCGGCTTCGGCAAGACGGCCGGTGCTGCCCTCTCCAACCACATGGACGTTGACAAGATCGCCTTTACTGGTTCCACCCTCGTCGGCCGCACCATCCTCAAGGCCGCTGCTTCCTCCAACCTGAAGAAGGTCACCCTCGAACTCGGTGGCAAGTCCCCCAACATTGTCTTCAACGACGCCGATATCGAGTCCGCCATCTCCTGGGTCAACTTTGGAATCTACTTCAACCACGGCCAATGCTGCTGTGCCGGCTCCCGCATCTTTGTGCAGGAGGGCATCTACGACAAGTTCCTCGAGGCCTTCAAGAAGCGCGCCGCCGCCAACGCTGTCGGTGACCCCTTTGACGCCAAGACCTTCCAGGGCCCTCAGGTCAGCCAGCTCCAGTACGACCGCATCATGAGCTACATCAAGTCCGGCAAGGAGGAGGGTGCCACGGTCGAGATTGGCGGCGAGCGCCACGGCGACAAGGGCTACTTCATCAAGCCCACCATCTTCTCCAACGTCCGCTCCGACATGAAGATTATGCAGGAGGAAATCTTTGGCCCCGTCTGCTCCATCTCCAAGTTCTCCACCGAGGAGGAGGCCATCAAGCTCGGCAACGAGACCACCTACGGTCTCGCCGCCGCGGTCCACACCAAGGACCTCAACACCAGCATCCGCGTCAGCAACGCGCTCAAGGCCGGTACCGTCTGGGTCAACTGTTACAACATGATCAACTTCCAGGTGCCTTTTGGTGGCTTCAAGGAGTCTGGCATTGGTCGCGAACTCGGCGAGGCTGCTCTCGACAACTACCTCCAGACCAAGTCCGTGGCTGTCCGCCTCGGTGGCCCTCTGTTTGGTTAAATACTCCAGCTCCCGATGAAGAAAAAAAACCGAATAAGAAGACGACAACAAATGAATAATAATAAGCGAAATATGACGAACTGAAAAAAAACCACTGTAATTGCTTTTGACACGAGGTTAGCTTCTAGTAGAGGCGCATGATGAAATGTAACAAATTGATCATAGCTAATGAATGTTTGTAACCCAATGTCAGGCTGAATGAATCTCGTGTGTAATCATTCTTCCGGTTTCTGTTCCGGTGGGTAACTAAAGAGTCTACTACAATAGAAAAGGAGGCGGGAGATTCCATCGTTGATTCGAGATCTTATTCTGTGCAGCGTTTGTGATGCGTCAAGTACGTACCTGCGCCAGTGCCGGGTTGGAATCAGGAACAGGTGGATAGACCCGCTTAAATACAGCATCAAAGCCGTCTTACTGGCTAGCCTAGGCGCCACTCAACTTGGCAAGCCCCTGAGAAATTGCAGGTTTTGGGCTGCACGATGAAGATGTGCCCGCACCAGCAGTTCCTGATCCTGACCCCCTGAAATTGCGCAAAAAGCCTGCCATAGCGAAGGCACGCGTACTAGATGGAATCTGGTTAGAGACAGGATGCCAACCTGCTGACAACTGCAATCGAATCGCTCGCCACTTGTTTCACCCTCACTGTTCGAGGGAGCCTCCCACCCTTTGTCCTTCATTCCTCACACGTCGTGCCCCTCATCGCCGACTTTTTGCGTAGTTGCTGTTGTTCACTCCCTCCAACGGCCTCAACGACCTCCAGTTTACCATCCCTCCTTCAGAATAACCACCAACTCTATACGCTCTCTACCGTCTCTTCAGACCGACTACCTACCCATCCCTCCTCGCGCTTCTCTGCTGGACCAGAGGGCCGTGGCACGGACGTTGTCGTTTTCCTCGTCTCAATTTTTCCGATTGTATGCGGCACTGTTTCTGTGTACCGCTTTTTAAATAGCATCACGATACCCCCTTACAAATCTGCGCCTCCAATTGCGACGAGGTATCCCATCATGCAATTCTCCCGCCTCGCCGCCGCCGCCGTGCTGCTTGGCATCACCGCCGCACAGGTCCACACAGATTGCCAACCTCTGAACCGCACCGACTGCCCTGCCGACCCAGCGTTTGGCACGAGCCACCTGTTCAACTTCAACGCGACTCCCTCGTACGATCTATGGGAGACAACCGTCGGCAGCGTCGACTACAATGCCGACACCGGCGCCGGCTTCTCCGTCAAGAAGCAGGGCGACTCGCCCACCATTCGCTCTAAATTCTACATCTTCTGGGGCCGCTACGAAATCAGCCTCAAGGTTGCCCCCGGCACGGGTATCATCAGCTCCCTCATGCTGCTGAGCGACGACTTGGACGAGATCGACATTGAATTCATGGGCGCCAATGCCACCCAGGTCACCACCAATATCTTCTCCAAGGGTGACGAGGACGACCACTCTTTCGGAAAGGAGCACGTCATGGCTGGTGGCAACCAGGACGACTACCACACGTACATTGTCGACTGGACCAAGGACAGGCTGGAGTGGTCCATCGATGGCAACGTGATTCGCACACTCGCCTACAACGATGCCAAGAACGGCGACAAATTTCCCCAGACCCCTATGCGAATGAACATTGGTATCTGGGCTGGTGGTGATCCCTCGCTTCCCCCGGGCACTATCGAATGGGCCGGCGGCAAGACTGACTACGCCAAGGGTCCATACACCATGTTTGTTAAGAGCCTTAAGATTGAGGACTACACCAAGGGCGCCAAGGAGTATTCATATGGAGACAAGACTGGCAGCTATCAGAGCATTCAAATCAAGGAGTACGTTACCCAAGGTCGACGCGCCGTTTAAATATTCATACTAACCACATTGAAGAGGTAACTCGACGGCTTACAACACCATCAACAAGCCGCCTGCCTCAAGCCCTATAGATGGCTGGAAAAATCTGTCGCCTACCGCCAAGATTGGCATCTACTCAGCGATTGGAGCCGTCTCCGCTCTTGCTATCGGTACCCTCCTCTACTACTACATCAGACAGCGTCGACTCGGCGCTGCTGAGGCCCGGCTTGCGGATGAAAAGAGCGACGCCGAGCGTATGGAGCTTGAGCAGTTCCGCAAAAACGGCGTCAACCCCGACGGTTTCCGAGAGCATGGCCAAGAAATCGGAGAAAAGGGCGCATACTTGGCTCCAAACGACACCTCTGGCAACCCGTTTCAACATCCCGACGACTCCCGCCCCGGCTCCCGTAACCCCAGCGTCCCGAATCTGGCCCTGGCCGGCGCTGCGGGTGCCTTTGCTGGCGGCGCCATGGCCGCCGGCCACGCACCCAGCCACGCCGCACCCGGAACGCCGACGTCGCCTCGCAGCGGGTACAACTCGCCCGGCGCGGCGCATGCCGGCTTCGACTTTGGCGTCCCTCCCTCGCCCCGCCAGGTATCGCGCTCGCAGAGCGACATGATTCCGCCCCGGGCGCCGCAGACGCCCGTCGATCAAATGCGCTCGGCCACGGCCGACCCGTACCGCCTCGGCTCGCCAGGTCCCCCGCAGGCATACGGCTTGAACCGGATGCAGAGCCCCATGGGCCAGCCGGGCCAGAACGGCTTCAGCACAAGGCAGAGCCCCGGTCCCATGCAGCAGCAGTACGGCCAGTTGAGGTCGCAAAGTCCTGGTCCTGGTTATAGCGGTGGAAACTACCCGGCCTACCGCGGCCAGCCTGGTGGAGGCAGCCAGTGGAACTAGGTCCTCTTTGGACAATGATTGCTAATTTCACTCTGTCAAGACCTTGTAGCTTTGGGCCAAGCGTTGCATTTTTGTTTCTTTTGGCATGAAATCTAAATTGAAATTTTGTGTATTCAGGCCGTCATGAGCTCGGCCATTGCTGCTGCGTTGTTGCTATCATTCTCTGCTGTTTCCTTCATCCGCCCAGACAAGGGCCACGGTGATACCGTCTGTATATTTAATATCCTTTTTTTTTTCAATGCGCAATCGGGTTTCTTTCTTTTATGGCTCATGCCGCATTTATTGATTTGCGATATCCACTGTTCTGCATATTATCATGTGCTACTCGCACAACGACGAGGTTAGTCTGTTCAAATGCAGTTTGACTACCGTAACTAGGCTGACATTGCCGAGGCTCATCGACTCTTATACTCGTGGATGGACCAGCCTTTCCGCCACAGCCGTTCCTTCAAAGGACAACGAGGGTACGTACGATACAATTCCTCGCCATCCATTGTAATGTTTACATGGTTCCAGGACGCGCTGCTGCGGGCCGCGTCGTGGGGCCGCTCCGCACTTTGCTGTCATTGTGTGGGACGGATGTTCTTGGAACAGACAAAGTTCCGAGTGGCGCTGGCGAAGGCTGATTGCGCCGATGTTGTGGGTAGATGAGGATCACCGATTCAATTGTCCGTCTCTGGATGATGGGATGTTGTCTCATAGCAGTGCTATGTAACAGCTACGGCAGTTCTCAGCAGCTCCGTGTCTAAGAGAACGAGTAAGACATGGACAATACAGGGACGCTGCTCTGAGACAACAAATTGCCTTCGTCCTCGAAAAGGAAATTTCCCAGCCTTCAGCCCAGTTCCTAGTTTGCATGAGTGGGCTTCCCACGCACGGCATGGCCACTATATTGCGGAATAAAAATCCCGGGTTCCTGTTTTTATCTTGCCACGACAGCGTCGCATTGGAGATTGGTCATGAGCCCAATCGTGTTTCTTGTCCGCAACCCTCTTCCCCCAACATCGTGGCCGTCTGGAAATACTTATGATGGTCATTAGGCGGGGCCCTCCGCTCGCAGTAGCACTGACTCAACTACTGCCTCGAGGGCAATTTACACTGACCGCGTTAGCGTTGACCTCTCGGCGGGCATCAATGTGATTAAGCCCCGTTGCTAGTTAGTGTCAGGAGCTGCTTCGTATTTCGTGACCGGGGCCTTGTGTATCGTGCAGCATGCACCAGCACTGGCTCGCCGCCAGTAGTTGTGAATTGTTGACGAATACCACAGTCTACGCAACTATGGGGTATGCTCGGCCCACTGCTGCTCCGGTATGGACGGAGATCTACTTGGGCCATGGGGTTGATGTGGAATACAAAAGCTCGGCGAGGGAGTCTCGTTCTCTAGTCTGGATTCCAGTTGTATCCTAGGCCCGCAGGAGTACTCTTGTCAATAATCGTGTTGACTGCAGCTAGACACATCTGTTGTTCCTAGTTACGATACACTACTACTCTCATCAACACGAGCAGACCAGTGGCTCTGAGCTTTCCTTGTCCGCCATGTTCTTCAAAGCAGCCCTCTGCCTGCTCGCCACTGCAACTGCCGTCCTCTCAGCTGCCTCAGACACCAACGAGCTCACAGGCTACGAGTATGTTGTTGTCGGCTCCGGCGCCGGCGGCGGTCCCCTGGCCGCACGCCTCGCCATCGCCGGCCACAAGACGCTCCTAATCGAGGCCGGCGATGATCAGGGCCAAAACACAAACTACTCGGTGCCTGCGTACTCTGCGCTGGCCTCCGAGGACGCCGCGCTCTCCTGGAACTTCTTCGTCCACCACTACGCGGACGAGGCGCGCCAGGCGCGCGACTACAAGACGAGCTACGAAACGCCCGACGGCGGCCTGTACACCGGCTTGCACCCGCCTGCCGGCTCCAAGATGAAGGGCACGCTGTATCCGCGTACCCAGACCCTCGGCGGCTGCACCGCGCACAATGCCCTCGTCGCCATCTACCCGCACCGCTCCGACTTTGACCACATTGCCTCGCTCACGGGCGACGCCTCGTGGAGCGCTGACAACATGCGCCGATACTTTATCCGCATGGAAGACAAGAACTACGGCCTGCCGCTCGACGCGCGCCACGGCTACAGCGGCTGGCTCAGCACCGAGTACACCAAGATCACGCTGGCGCTCCAGGACCCCCAGCTGCTGAGCCTCTACATCGGCGGCGCCCTGGCCTCGGGCAAGCTTCTCCCGTCCCTCGGCGACCTAGGCTCGCTGCTGCTCGGCGACGCCAACGCGGACACAAAAACGCGCGACAAGACCGACTCGTACTATTTCGTGCCTCTATCTTCCAAGAACGGTGCGCGCGTCGGCTCGCGCGACTTTGTCGTTGCCGTGCGGGACGCCAAGGACCAAAACGGCAAGAAAAAGTACCCCCTTGACGTGCGTCTCAACTGCCACGTCACAAAGGTCATTCTTGACGAGAGCGGCGGCAAGCCTCGCGCGACTGGGGTCGAGTTCCTCGACGGCCAATATCTGTACAAGGCCAGCCCTCGGTACGGCACCGCCGGCAAGGGAAAGCCGGGCAAGGTCCTGGCGTCGCGCGAGGTCATTGTCGCCGGCGGCACGTACAACTCGCCCCAGATTCTCAAGCTCAGCGGCATCGGCCCCCGCGCGGAGCTCGAGGCGCTGCAGATCCCCGTCGTCGTCGACCTGCCCGGCGTGGGCGGCAACCTGCAGGACCACTACGAGATCAACGTGCAGGGCAAGGCGCCCAAGGACTTTGCCGTGCTCAAGGGCTGCACCTTTGGCCTGCGCGGCCAGCACGACGCCTGCCTGGACCGGTGGGAGAAGCCGTTGCTCGGCGACCGCGGCACGCTCGCGACCAACGGCCTGCCCGTGGCCATGTTCCACAAGAGCTCCGCCGCCGACGACGGCGAGTACGACAACTTCATCTTTGGCGGGCCCGTCAACTTTCGCGGCTACTTCCCGGGCTACAGCGTCAACATCACCGAGGACCACGACTGGTTTACGTGGGCGATCCTCAAGGCGCACCCGCGCAACCGCGCCGGCACCGTGCGCCTGCGCTCCGCCGACCCGCTCGATACCCCGGAGATTACGTACAACTACTTTGACACGGGCGACGGCGACGCCGCCAAGGATCTGCAGGCGCTGTACGAGGCCGTCGGCGTCGCCCGCCAGGCCATCAAGAACCAGCTCGTGCCCATCCGCGAGGTGCTCCCCGGCAAGGACGTGACGAGCCAGGCAGACATTGAGCAGTACGCCAAGGACACGGCCTGGGGCCACCACGCCTCGTGCACCTGCCCGATTGGCGCTGATGGCGACAAGATGGCGGTGCTGGATTCGAGCTTTCGTGTGCGTGGTGTAGACGGCCTCCGCGTCGTAGATGCGTCGGTGTATCCGCGCATTCCGGGCACTTTTACGGCGGTTTCGACATATATGGTTGGCGAGAAGGCTGCTGATGTGATTCTCAGTCAGATCAAGACATGAGTCGCTTGTTTTTTTGCGAGATAGTTGTACGGATAAGTCAATGTATAGCCATTGCTCATAAGGCACAAAATTTCTATCACTTGGTTTAGGAGCAATGGTTATTTGCAAAAATCAGGTCGCATTCACTATCAAACACGTTCATATAGAGTTCTCGATCGAATATCAAAACTTTGAAAGATCCTTGTTCATCGGCACTGAACACTGGGTGTTGGGGCTTTACGCACTGGCCCCCTATGGATCCTAACCAGAGGGGTTGCCGTTGAAAGCAAGCAGGTTCACGGTGCCGCCGGGGATGCCGGCGAGGGTGCCGCGGGTGGCGAGCTGTACGAGGCGGTTGCAGATGGAACCGCCAGTGAGACCCTCGAGGCCGCCAATGTAGGCAGCGAGACCGGCAATGTGGGGAGCGGCCATGGAGGTGCCGGACATGGTGGCCTAGAGAAGAGAGAGAGAGAGCAACTGGATTACTTTTGACAGAAGACACGTTGTCGGCAGTATGCCCATTGTCGAGGGGTTTTTCCACGTACCGTTCCGCCACCGGGGGCGAGGGACAAGATGTTGGAGCCGGGGGCGAAGATGTCGACGATGCGGCCGTAGTTGGAGAAGGCGGAGCGGGCGTCGGCCGAGGTGGTGGCGCCGACGGTGCAGGCGCTCTCCTCGGAGGCGGGCGAGTAGTTGGCGGCGTCCCTGTTATCGTTGCCGGCGGCGACGGAGACGAAGACGCCGCTGGAGACGAGCTCGGCGGCGCCGCCGTTGATGGCGGCCGAGTAGCCGCCGCCGAGGCTCATGCTGGCGAGGGTGCCGCTGGGGCAGTCGCGTTCGCGCGAGTCGTTGACGACAAAGTCCATGCCGGCGATGACGTTGGACCACGAGCCCGAGCCGTTGTTGTCGAGCACCTTGACGCCAAACACCTTTGTCTTCTTGGCGACGCCGTACGTGTTGCTGGCAATGGTGCCGGCGCAGTGCGTGCCGTGGCCGTGCCCGTCGGCCGGCTCGCCGTCGACGAAGCTCTTGACCTGCAGCGCGCGCCCGCCAAAGTCGGGGTGGCTGTCGTCGATGCCCGTGTCGATGACGTACACGCACGTGCCCTCGCCGCTGCTGCTGTCGTACGTGTAGCCCTTGGCCGTCTTGGCCCGGTGCGAGATGCGGCTGAGGCCCCAGGTGGACTGGGGCTGCGTGACCCAGCCATTGATGCTGACACGGGCGTCTTGCTCGATGTATTCAACCTACACACCAGGGGCGGGCGCTTCCGTTAGTCTACTTCAACCATGTCCTGAGGGGGAGAGCATCATCTTGACAACAAAACTCACGTCCGGGTGGTTGCGGAGCGCCTTGAGGGTCTCGGCGTCGAGGGAGCCGGCAAAGCCCTGCATCACGTTGGTGTAGACGTGCTCGGCGTGCTCGGCCATGATGTGCATGCGGTTATCGGCCGAGGCGCTGCCCTTTTTGAACTTGACAATGTATTTGCCGGGGATCGCGGCGCTCTCCACGGCGGCGGCGTGCAACGGTGCGGGCTCATCGCGCTTGGTCGCTGGGGCGGCGAGGGCGACGGGCAAGATGGCGAGAAGAAGAGACAGACGCATGGTTTCTTGATAATGGGGGGTTGTAAAAGGGTGAAAGGTTGTATTTGTCGAATGCTTCCTGGAGAGTTGGTTCTCTCGAGTGCTCTGGATGGTGAACTGTCTTCTTTTCGACGAGAATACTTGTCCTATTTATCCTTTGCGAACCACGGACTGTTTCTCCTCGTCGGTCAATAGTTTTCCTCCGGAAGCCATGTATCACCAGACTCTCACTCTACAACCTTGACATTCCTCGTTCTTACCTTCCCGACAAGGAAGGCGTAACTTGACAGTGGTGTCCGTCGTCTTCCATCTCCAAGTCCTTTTGTCCCTTTGTTCCCCCCATACAGCGCCCACCTTTGAGGGGGAAAAGGATGAGACCGTCCTGGCCCAAAACCGCGACTCTTACGCTCCGGTCTATCCACAATGGCTTCGATGGGAATGTGCTACCTTCTCGAAAGGACCTGGCTTACGTACGGGCTTGCTCGTCTGGTCCAGCATTCCGGGCTTCCCGGTTTGTTGCGCAATGAGGTCTGCAGCCTTGTTCGTTCGCGGCACTTGAAGGAGGACTTGTCTGCCATGTCGCGATCTCGGCTGCCTGTCTGGGCGTGTCAGGGGTTACATTCGATAGTGTCGGAACCGGCCGCGTCATGTAACAGGGCAAGGGATGATGGTCGGTATGGGAGAGGTGAGAGCTGCGCGACTTGAGATCACGAGCAAAAAGTAGACAGCACTCCTGCAGAGAGCTGAGAAATGAGCGTGGCTACTACATTCTGCATGATACCGCTTTACTAAAAGATGATAAATGAACTCGCCTAAATAGCAAATGACTCGCCGTTACATCCCGTCCTATCTTAATAATGGCACGCAAGAGAGCGTTCAGCATAGGGCTAAGCGTACTTGGCGAGAATTTGCTTCGTTCCCTTACCAATCTTTGTTTCCTATGGTATATTCGCCGGCTTCTCGTTTGTGCTCAGGCATCTTATTCGCCCATCCTAGCACGCGGAGATTGAGTCCTGGAAAGACGCCGTCCGTCCGGCCAGCCCCGCATGATACCATCGTGGACAGCGGTGTGCGGCATGCAAACCCAATCGCCCTGGCTAGCTTCCCTATGTGGCATTAAATCCGCCTGGCGCGCCCATGCAGCATCCTGCCTGAGGAGGGCGATGGCGGGGGGTCAACGCCAAGGGAAGCGGCAAAGCAAATCCGGGGTGCGCCGTGGCTTCAAAGGGCGTACCGTCCTGGAGTACAGGTAGGCCCAAGATCGGGCCGTCGAATAGTAACTGGGCTTTTATTGCGATGGTATAAGAGCGGCACAAGACGGGCATTGCCCGAAGCTGGTCAAGTGACGGGTTCGCGGGGGAGGTTGCTTTCTAGCCTTACTAGGGTCATGATAGGGAACTCGTGCCTCTCGCCAAGACCTGAATGGCACATATTGACTCTTATTGAGCTGGCAGCTGCGCCATCTCGGCAACGGGTGGGTTGCATCGGCGGCGCATATAAGCCGCAGATATATTGCCCAGCATTGGTTTCTGGTTCGGCGCAATATACTACACCAGCCACGGGCAGACGGGATCGAACGGGATATACATTTATTGTCAAATGTCAGTGTTAGTTCGCCTTGTCAATGGAAGCTTTCTTCTCCGCAGTCTACTGCACTTGGTCGTCTGTGTACTCATCCAAATGTAGCGACAATCGACGGCGCTATCTGCCAAAAGAAAAAAAAAAACCACGAGGCTATTACGTATACTTTTCTCGATTTATTCTCCGTTATGCTTAAATCCAGTTATTTTTAACCCCTGTTCCGTCCAACAAAGGCCCTTTGGCGGGCAGGTACCCAGCGCCCGGTGCAGGTTCGCGTACCATGCGGCAAATAACTGAGACCAAATCCAATGCAACACAAACAAATGGTTGAAATAGGCAGGAGTATAGTTCCATTCGGGTTTCCGTGGTGAGGCTGCGGACCTTTTTGTAGAAACCCGGGCCTATTGGCCCTGTTGAGGGACTTTGGTCCGAACAAGCAAGCCACGGGCCGAGATGTGAGCCACACACACGCTTGCGGAGAAAGCCCGATACGCGTACGCGATGCCACATTCTAAAAACAGGCTGCCAGCAAGAGATGGGGCGGCGGCGATCTTGGGCCTTTTTTTTCCCCTTTCCCCCCATGCCAAGATCTCGGCTGACTGGTGTGCAGCGTGCAAAGTAACTAAGTCGCTGGGTGGTGACGGGGAAGGGGGGGTTGTTCAGCAGTCTCCGACAGGCTCACACATTCTGCGGTGAGACTTGTCGGAACCGAAAAAGTGCACTCTGCGTGCCTCAATTACACAATACCATCACTTCATCAAGCTGCTCACATGCTCTAGGCGACCAAGTGAAGAAATGGGAAAGAGCTGGTCGGGAATACCGGGCGGCGAACCCCAGCCTCGGAGGAGCCATGACAGCAAAGCCGCGAGTACGTCCTCAATAGTTTCGTTGTGTCATGTCCAAGTCCGAAAAGGGAACTTGCGCAGAACCCGGCTGCGGAACTGCAGAATGGGGACATTTCCGCCCGCAGCCATAGCGTCCGGCTTCTGATCCAGCCGAGAGACGGGGATGAGAGCCTCGGTGACGGTACAGCTTGTCGGCCGCGTGTCATCCTTTTCCGTATCAAGATCTGCGTGGAATGTGTCGAGAGTCTCCCTACACGGAAACGTCAACGTACATGGCTCAACGCAGGAGCAAGGTGACGGTTTGCTATTATCATTCGCTCACTGTATTCATTCGTTCAAGCGTAAGCGCCGTGCGCGATTCTCATCTGCCTTCCATCCACTAAACAGCCCAGTTTACTGAGTCTTCTTTTGTAAGATGCTTCTCGTCAACTTGTCCAGCCCATGATTTAGCACCACCAGCTTATCCTGCAACAGCCATCAGCAACAAGCGTTTTTTCACATGTGCATGCATTCAAAAACTCACCAAGATATAATACGGCAGCCAGGTTGCCGCAAACCACGCCGCACCCGCATTCGCGCCTCGCCACAGCTTGCCCCCGCGCGAGTCGGCCAGCACGTCGGGCAGGATTTGCGTCACGTAGTCGTCGACGGTGCCCTGGTCGGGCCCGACGGCGCCGCGCGCCCACAGCGATATCGTGTCTGCGATATCCGCGTAGAGGGACGCGGGCGGCAGGGAAAAGTCGCCCTCGTTGGCGTGGAAGCGCGTGGCGACGGTGCCCGTGACGAGGCAGGCGACGGTGACGCCAAACGGCTGGAGCTCCATGCGCAGCGTTTCGGAGATGGTGTGGAGAGCCGATTTAGAGGCACTGTAGGCGCCTGATCCAACAAGTCATGCAGTTAGTATGACGGAGACGGTGCAGCCAAGTAAAGCAGGAGAACCGTACCAATCCAGGGCGAATACAAGCACCCCTCGGCGGCGCCAATGTTGACGACCCGGCCGCGGCTCGCAATCAGCAAGTCGGAAAAGGCCTGGACCATGCGCACGGGGCCCCAGACATTGACATCGTGGCACTGCTTGGCGCGGGCCACGTCGAGGTCGAGCAGCGGCATGGTGCAGCCGGCGCCGGCGTTGTTGACGAGCACGTCGAGGGCGGCGCGGGCACCGGCGGCGCGGACGGCCTTGGACGCGGCGCGGACCGAGGCCTCGTCGGTCACGTCGAGCGCCAGCGGGGTCACGTTGGGGTGCTCGCGCACGCGCGACGGCATCCTGCGCGGGTCGCGGGCCGTGGCGAAGACGCGGTGGCCCTGGTCGGCGAGCCGAAGGGCGAGCGAGGCGCCGATGCCGTGCTTGGAGCAGCCCGTGATGAGGACCGTCTTGGTGTCGGGAACGGACATGGTGTGGTCGGGTGGTGGTGGGCGCCGCAGTGAGCGCGGTGGGATGGATGGGATTGGATCATGGGTTGGAGCTGGGACGGAGTTGTCGCGGACATGCCTCGGCTCGAGACGCCCGGCGTGGCGCGCCTAGAGCACCGAGTAGACGCCTGGTCGCTGATGCCTGGCCCACCGGTCATGGAGTTACATCCGAGCCTCCGCTATACAGCCCTGTGTGTCGGGACGGATTAGCCGATCTTTTTTTTTTGTAATTATTTAGGCATCAGACGGGCCCGTAGTTACTCGCTATAAGTCCATTATGCGTGTGTTTTAGTGGAAACTCAAGCCAATTATGGGCTTGAGTAGCACGAGTATTTGAATAAAAGTTGGGAATCAATGCGACTTTTGGCCCCTCGCCGAGATTCAGACTAAATTATTAAATTTGTGATTCATGTGCGCATAAGAGCCCGGTCAAAGTTGACGTCTCCTAGAGCTACATACACGGTTGTTGGTGCACCTCATTCTGAGTCCTGGAAAGCCAATGTAGGGTAGGCAGTTTCACTTTCCACTGCAAAAACGGTACAAGATTAGATGAATGAGAGAGCCATAGTTATGTAGGAATTTACAACAATTTGGACTTGAAATTCAATGCATCTTCTACTACGAGAAAATATACGGAAGAAATGGAGATGATGACAATAGCCCAGAGTCGGTGTAGATTATTCTGTGTAACGAGAGCAGAAAAAAGACCTAAAATACAAATAAAATAAAATAAACTAAATTTTCAAACTTCTTCTAATAGCTTTCGGTAGCAAGTTCAAGGTGACATTTTGAGCGTCGCTAGCCTGGGTTATGCATGTACATACATACTGGAGCAGCATTGATCGCCGCTTTCCAGCGATTGTGCGACCTCAAGTTCTGAATATAGCTATTTACAAAAAATAAAGAATGTCAAATATTGGTCAAATTATTTATCATTCTTTTTCATCATCACCCGCATCCTTAACTCAACGTCGTCTTCTAAAGAGGCAATCGACTTGCCCACCAGAAGGCGGGCCAAACTATCGAGTCACGTGCACCAGATGCGAAGGAAAAGAATCTGTTCCGTCATCTCGACCTTCAAAGCAGCAATCCACTCTCTCCCTATCGGCCTCTGCAACACGTTTCTTGTACCTTTTTTCTGTCCCTTGTCCTTGTTGTTCTCTTCACTACCGCCTCTTGTGTTTTCTTGAATAATAATACCCCTCACACACTTTCCACGATGGCGATGGACCACGGACGAGACCCCTGCCCCTGGGTCGTCCTGAACGATTTCGGAGGTGCCTTTTCCATGGGTGTATGTTGAAAAAAAAAACCCGCGAGTACGACTGACGCACAGATCCGACTGACTCGATTGTGTGTGCGCAGGCTGTCGGCGGCACCATCTGGCACGGCATCAAGGGCTTCCGCAACAGCCCGTACGGCGAGCGACGAATCGGCGCGCTGACGGCCATCAAGATGCGCGCGCCCGTGCTGGGCGGCAACTTTGGCGTCTGGGGCGGCCTCTTCAGCACCTTTGACTGCGCCGTCAAGGGCTTCCGCCAGAAGGAGGACCCGTGGAACGCCATCACGGCCGGCTTCCTCACCGGCGGCTCGCTCGCCATGCGCGGCGGTTTCAAGTCGGCGCGCAACGGCGCCATTGGCTGCGCCGTCCTGCTGGCCGTCATTGAGGGCGTCGGCATCGCGTTCGGAAAGATGATGGCTGGTAATACCAAGCTAGAGGTATGCGTTGATGCGCTCACATCCCCACGTCGCCTCCGCGTGTACTGACTTTTGATGTAGGCTCCTTTGCCTCCTCCCGAACACGCTGCGATTGCGTAAAACGCAACAATACTCTCTCAACATCGATGAAACAAGTCACTGTCGATGCGCATACAGACACTCACCACACCACTGATTTTCCAAAATTACGACTTGAATAGACTTCTGGACGGGGACGGCCTGCATCACCGCGACGGGCGGACAAACAAGACGACGGGCACCATCTAAGCAAGGGGGAAAAGCAACCAGAATCTCGGCGCCATTTTTACATATACTTTTATTTGCCCTGGGGAACAAGAAAGCAGAAAAGGGAACCATGCTTTCCGTTGGGTGTCTCGAGGGGCATAGCGTTGCTTTTTTTCATACACAAAATTTGTACGCCGAGGTATTTGGGCGTTGTATTATGTATCTGTACACCAAACCACTCGAAGTAGACCAAAAGAACATGCAATGAGTTGCATCCTCTGCGATTTGGGGCCAAGAGTTCAGTGCCTCGCGGATGAAGTGGCGCATGCTGCTGGATCAGACTGCCATGCGACAGACTCAGTCAACAATTCGCCCTCTGCCACCGGCAGTCATTCCTCGGCTCAGGCAAATCAATCAAGTCTACATGATATCATGACCATGCTGGTTTTAGCCTGCGATGGCTAGTGCAATGGTAGCCGCACTATTGCGCAGGCACCCTCAAACCTTGATTTGCTCTGGCATTCGAGTACTGGTAGGTAGAGTCGCACGGGGATCCTCGTCGTTCGGGCCATCGCAAATCACCTGCCCCGTACGTGCGAGTTGATAGGCCCGACGGCGCCGAGCGACCGCTGATCAACATGCTTGGCGCGGGAGACTCTCGCCGCAGGCACCAATGACTATCCGGAGCAGACCACGGCGTGGGCACCCGCCTTGTTTCCTGGCTACTCCACGATCAAAGTTTTGGTCGTGCTGGTTTGTTTATGAGACTCGGTTGGGAATGTATCCGCGCCATGATCGTGTTGCTGAATTGCGCACAAGCTGGCTACTTTCTACGGGCAAGTTGCGCATACCATCTTTACCGTGGCGAGTGTATGTGCACTTGGGCTAAAGGCACAACGCCGAATTCTGGAAACGACTGTCCTGTACTATTCCTACGATGCAAGCGTAGCGCGACGCAAGTCTTGGTTTGCGCAATAATGCGGCTGGCAAGAAGGGCGCTGCGTTGGGCATAGTCACGATGGCACCATCGAAGCGCCAGATTAAAGTGAGACCTGGGCGGAAGGATCAACACTCTGGCTCTGTATAAGAGGATGGCGACATCCCGTATGCCGCAAAAGCTCAATGCAACCCCAATTCACTCTCACCCGTTCACAAAAAAAAAAAAAAAAAGACTGGCCATCATGAAGGTCGCATTCGCCTCCCTCGTCACGCTCCTCGTCGGCTCCGTGCGCGGCCAGGTGCAAGCGCCGGCCGTTGCTGGCGCGGCCGGGCCCATCTCGGACGCGGACCGCATCTACACGGGCGACCAGTCGTCCAACACGATCACGGTGATCCAGCCCTCGACGGGCACGGTGCTGGGCACGATCCGGCTCGGGGACGTGCGACTGGGCGGCGCGCTCAACCCGCAGTACCTGCGGTCGGTCAACGCGCACGGGCTCGGGTTCTCGCGCGACGGGCGGCACCTCGTCTCGCTGAGCGTGACGACCAACACGGCGACGGTGATCCGGTGCGCCGACAACACCATCGTGTCGCAGACGTACACGGACCGCAACCCGCACGAGGCCTTCTTCGCGGCCGACAACCGCACCGTGTGGATCGGCACGCGCGGCGTCGACAGCATCACCGTCATCGACGGGCTCGCCGGCGGCGTGCTCGCGCGCATCCCGTCCCCCGGCGGGCCGAGCAAGGTGCTCTTCAGCCCGGACGGCGCCACCGCCTACGCCAACCACATCAACGGCTCGTACGTGTCCGTCATTGACGTGGCCACGCGCCGGCAGACGGCCACCATTGCCGGCCTCGCCCACGTCTTCTCGTCCGACATGATGCTCTCCCCCGACGGCGCCCGGCTGTGGGTCGCCCACAAGATGGTCGGCAAGGTGTCGGTCGTGTCGGTGCGCCAGCGGCGCGTCGTCGCCGTGCTCGACACCGGCGCCGAGACCAACCACCCCAACTTTGCCGTCGTCGGCGGCGTCACGCACGGCTTCGTCACCGTCGCCGCCACAAACGAGACCAAAATGCACGCCCAGCCCGACCCGGACCGCGCGCCCGCGTACGTCGGCGCCATCCGCGCCTCGGGCATCGAGCCGCACGGGCTCTGGCCCAGCCCGGACAACACGCGGCTGTACATCGTCAACGAGCACAGCGACACGGTCGACGAGGTGGACCTGACGGCGCGGCCGCCGGCCGTGGTGCGCACGCTCAATGTCGGCCAGGAGGGCCAGGCGCTCGTGTACGTGGCGGGCGCGGTGCCGCACGGCAACGGCACGGCCAACCTCGGCCGGCAGGGGCTGCAGGATGCGCCGGCGGCCAACAAGATTATTACGCTCCGGGGCGGCGGCGGCGGCGGCCGTGCGCACAAGGGACACAAGGGACCAACGACGCCGTCGGCGCTCGTCACGGTGCGCAAGCAGGGCGGCCTCGACATGGTGCAGGTCATTGGCCGCGACCTCCGCCTCAACACGACGTACACGGTGTCGGCGGCGTGCTTGCGCTGCGGCGGCCACCGCATCCCGCTGGTGGACTTTGCGCCGACGGTGCCGACGCAGGGCACCGCGGGATGCGGCACGGCGCCGCAGGTTCTCGTCTTTGTCAAGTTTTTCGGCGTGTATGGGCTGGAGTCGCTGACGTTGACGGAAGCCGCCGCGGGGTCTAGTTAGGAGGGGGGGTTGCGAAGTGTTGTTGAGGGCTGGTTTCAGGTTTGCCATATCTTAATACACCTTTTTTTTCTTCCCCCCTTGAGGCTCGTATTGTATTTTTGAAGCATTGTATTCCAAGTCGGAGATGCTCTATTCTTATCCACATCTCGCGTCCACTTATTTCACTCTGTTGGCTCTGACAAATAACCAAATAACACCCGAGATGACTCGGGATCCGCGCGTGTCAATGCTGACCCAAAGGGGTTTAGTCTCCGCCGGCGTGGGCCGTGACGATCCCTCTCTTGCCGGGTCGGGACTAAATAAGCGACAACGGGTAAAAAAAATAAAACGTGGTTATTACACATATTTGGGTGGGTGTTATTTTTTCCCATGAGCTATTTTTCTCTTTTTTTTTTTTTTACCATCACGAGGACGAAACAAGGTCAAACAAGCAGCAAGAAAGAAGACATGGGACGTGTCCGCAAATCTCCGATGCTGATGGAGCTTTCTCCCCGGAGATGCTCATCGGGACGACAAGGCCAAAAAAAAGAAAAAGTCAGCTCACTTTGAGTGGTCGAGACGAACCGTGAAGTAAGCCGTTTTTTTTTAGCTTGGGTAACGGTGCGGAAACTCGTGGAACGGCAATTCAGAGTCGTGGCATTTCAAAGCATGGTTGAACCTCTGGAATTGAGACGATGTGCTGTTACTTTGCACCAACGCGGCGAAGGCCGGACTCCGACCCTCCTTCAGCAAGGCTACCACCAACGTCCAGGAAAAGGCCATAGCCTGGCACACACGATGCTGAGCCACCGTCGCGGATGCGGCGGGACGGTATGGTATTATCAAGACCTATATTCTGCGTCTGTGGCGTGCATCACCACGCTGACTGTCTCAGCGCGGCTTACAACTTTTTGGTTCTCCTCATTCCCCGTCGTCATCACTCACACGCATATGCAACCGCGCGCGCGCACGTCGACGCCACCCCCATTCTGCGACAAAGCAGTATCTCAACACAGACACTATATTCACCAAACTGAGAAAGCCGAGCTGTTAAAATAAAAAATAAGAAAATCCACAAGTCAGCTGCCGAGCGCAACCAACCCGGCCATCGTCCCGACTCGCGCGTCGAGCCCGTCTCCACCCGAAACGCAAAGAAAATCGAACAACCATAAATCAGTCCACTTCATGCGCCCGGGAAGCGGGCCATCACTCTGTCGTGGAGAGAGAGAGGGCGGCCGCATGTTTTTTTTAATTTTATTTTCGGTCCTGGCAAGCGCGGCCAGGCATTAACTTTCGGACTCGTCTCATTGGCCGCGCCGTGGGGGGGGGGGACAACACTTCCGGGTTGCCCACGTTGTTGACCGCGGGCCTGCGATGCAAAGCATGTCTTGGCTCTGTTTTCCTTTCTCCGGACTGGGATTCTGGCATCGTCAGGCTGTCTATATCCGTGTATATAACGAATCATATATCCCATTCGACTTGCCGTGTCCTGTCCTGCATCACCCTTTACTTCCACCACCCAACCACTTACACGAAACACTGCCGCCACCACTTTGCTCTTCACAATAAGAAGCAGCCAAGTCCTCTCTCTTCTCGCCTCACTTCTTCTCCCTACAATTACATGTTCCGCTCCCTCTCTCTCGCCAGCAGACGCGTCCCAACCCGCAGCCGCCTCCGCCTCGCCTCCTTCCACACCACCGCCGCCACCGCCGCCATGGCCCTCACCCCGTCGCAGATTGACATTGTCAAGTCCACCGCCGTCGTGCTCAAGGACCACGGCGAGACCATTACGCGCATCTTCTACGCCAACATGCTCGCCGCCCACCCGGAGCTCAAGAACCTCTTCTCGCTGCGCAACCAGGCCACGGGCGCGCAGCAGGCCGCCCTCGGCGCCTCGGTCCTCGCCTACGCCAGCTACATTGACGACCTCCCGCGCCTGACCCATGCCGTCGAGCGCATCGCCCACAAGCACGCCTCGCTCTTTGTCCGCCCCGAGCAGTACGCCATTGTCGGCGAGCACCTCGTCGGCGCCTTTGCCCAGGTCCTCGGCGACGCCCTCACCCCCGACGTCGCCGACGCCTGGAAGGCCGCCTACGCACAGCTCGCCGCCGTCTTCATCGCCCGCGAGGCCCAGCTGCACGCCACCCCCGGCGCCTGGCACGATTGGCGCGACTTCACCATTGTCCGCAAGGAGGACGTCTCCGACGGCGTCGTCAGCTTCTACCTCGCCCCCGCCGACCACGCACCCCTGCCCGCGTTCCTCCCCGGCCAGTACGTCAGCCTGCAGATCCCCATCCCGGAGCTCGCCGGCCTGCTGCAGAGCCGCCAGTACAGCCTGAGCGCCGCCCCCGGCGAACCCGGCGCGTACCGCGTCACCGTCAAGCTCGAGCCCGAGACCGCCGGCGCCGACCCGGCCGACGTCAAGTCGCTCGCCGCCGGCAGCATCGCCGGCATCGTCGGTAACCGCCTGCACGCGCGGTACCGCGTCGGCGACACGGTCCAGCTGAGCGCGCCCCACGGCGAGTTCGTCTTCGACGCGAGCAAGATGGCGCCTGACGCGCACATCGTCCTGCTCTCGGCCGGCGTCGGTGCCACGCCTTTGCTATCCATGCTCGACGCCATCCAGGCCAACCCGGCGCCGGTCGGCGCCACCCCGCGCCCCGTGACCTGGGCCCACGCCGCCCGCCACGCCAATGCCGTCTGCTACGGCCAGCACGTCCGCCAGGCCGCCGCCGACGCCAACGCTGACGTCACAGCCAAGGTCTTCCTTAGCAACGTCGGCGACACCGATAGGGAGGGCGTCGACTATGACTACAAGGGTCGCTTCGACGTCGCCAAGCTCGTGGCCGACAAGATCCTGCCGCTCGAGAAGCCCGAAGCCGAGTACTTCCTCTGCGGCCCCAAAGACTGGATGATCCAAGTCAGAGACGACTTAAAGGCCAACAGTGTAAACGAGGACAAGATTCACCTCGAGCTGTTTTCCACGGGCGACGTTTAAACGCTCCTTCCCTATTGTCTCACCACGCATGTATCCATATCAATCTTGTACATTAGCCTAGTTCTTTACCTGCAAATACCACTTCCACAATCAAATTATTCACCAATTCCAGAATACTAAAGCAAAAACTCCCCATATATTTAAGTTGCGGTCTGATTAAAATAGGGAGTAAAGAAAGAAACAACTTCAAATCAAATCAAACTCCAATCCCAACCGTCCAGTTCCCTGCAGCCCTTGTCCATTCTTCCCTGTTATCGCGACAGTATACACAAACGTCCCAAAGCACCAAAGTATGAGTTGAGAAATGACCTTATAGCTCAACACCGGAAAAAAACATCTTCTCCCACCTCCCCAATTATCCATTGCACTGCGCTTCCTCTAACGCACGCCCCGAGTCTTGGTGCCAAAGTTGCCGTCCTTCCCCTGTCCCGTATTGTACGCCAAGTGCGAAGCAGCGCACCGATGCTTCTCTTTCCGAAACCACGAATATCCATCGCTGATGCTCAATCATGCAGGGCTATGAGTCTGGTTGCCGTCCTCAGCCAAGACACACGCACACGCAAACTTGTGTGCCATCCCAAGATTCAAAACGCCAATTCCAAATTGCTGTCCCTGCGCAAGTCGCATTTTGCCGTGCCGAAATCGCTGATACGAAGAACCGTTTGGTGTGTTCGTTGCATCGTGTATGCCGAAGAACTTTCCGCAAAAAATCACGAAAAAAAGTGCGCCTGATCAGTGGCATGCAACCCTGTGTCAAAATCCCTAAAGCCGTGCCGAAAAGTAACAAACTCCCAAATGGATGCCCTGTCGAGCGGCTAAAACCTGCCGTGCCTCGTCCCGTAAGTCCGCATCCTTGGTATATAGCAAGACATATCCTCCCAATCGCGCCATATATGCCACACGGTGCCATCGGTCCGATAGGCCGCCATTAAAGTATGAACCCCTTTGCCGAATATATAAACTTCCAGATCATTCATGTTCGCCCCGTTTGTTTTACTGGTCCGACACAACAGTCGTCCAATTTTCCTTGCGCCGAATTTTCAGAACAGACCAAAAGTTTTAGCGCCGCCTTGCCTCAATTTGTTGTGTAAAAGAAAGAAAACATAAGCGACAAGTATCCCAAACTCCAATTCGACGTGGATCGGGAAGCATTTTAGCCCCAAACGCTGGCCTGGGCACCAAGACCAGAGGAGCTCTGACCCCAGACACCGTTGCCGCGACTCCAACCGCCCGAAGAAGTGGCATGGGGAGTGGTGGAACGCTTGGTCTGAGCACCAGTGGTAGGGGTGCCGACCGGGCGAGTACCAATGGGGGCGACAGCACCTTGCTGGCCAGGCTTGGATCCAGGGGCCAAATCGCGAGGAGGAGAGGCGCCGGTAGGGCTGGAGGTGCTAGTGCGGCTCTGAGCACCGACCGCATTGTCAAAGACCTTGTTGTTTGGGGCTGCGCTTTGCGGGCTGGTGGTGCTATTGGGACGAGGGCTCAACTCGCTCTGGCCGTGGCCATGCTCCTTGGCCGAGGCGGGAGTACCAGCATCAGCAGGAGGGCGGCCAATGGTATCAAAGCCCATAGGAGAAGCACCGCGGAGGCTGGAGGCACTGCTGGGGCCGGGGGCTCCCTTGCGAATGTTGCCGCTCTCATCGACGTAGCTAGACTTGTCGGCGAACGGACCCTCGCCGTAGAGAGCACTGCGCTGGCGAGCAATCAGCTCGCGAGTCTCCTCCTCGGACATGTGCTTGCTGTTGTTGGCAGCATTAGTGCTGGCGTTGGCATTGACCTTGGCGTTGACATTGGCGTTATTCTGGTTGTTGCCGGCAGAGTTGTGAGAGGTATCAGAACTAACAGCTACGGAAACGGTACGTTAGTACACATCATTCAAAGCAACAAACAATCACAGGCGCCGGCCCCTGGGTTCAGCGGGCACGCTTGAGAAGCAAGCCGTGACAGAAAGCGACTTGGACCAACGCAGCGGAAAGGGTGCGTATCAGGGGTGGTACCACTCCGTGGCCAGTGCTGTTCTATTTTGGGGTATTTGCTCTCTTGGGGGGGAGGGAATCGCTAAGCTGTAGATGATTGCCTACTTCTTTGGTATTGCTGCTCGGTGTGGAGGTTTCGGAGTTCGCGTTCGCGCTGGGCGGCCATGCGTCTCTTGGCCTGCATCACCTGCTCGGCATCGTTGGAGCCGCGAGACGGCTGGTGGTGCCTCTGTGCGGCATAGAAGTTTTGCAGGTTGGGGCCAGGAGGGCCGCGGGGCTCTTCAAAGTTGTTGACCGAGTGGGATCGGGAGCCCTGGCTGTGAGGGGGACGACCTGCTGCGACACGAGATGAGTATGTGACACGAGGTAGAAAGGGCAGACGGGAACGCGAATTTTCGTCGGCTGCAATACTTACGGCGTCCGCCCATGGCGTAGCCCTTGCCAGACTTTTGAAGGTTCTCATGGGCGCGATCGACCTCTGCAGACAGGTTAGCGATGCTGGGAATTGAAGTGCGATTCGGGTCATCTCCATCTCAGGGGTACAGGATTTTTTTTTTTTTTTGGAGAGGCTGGAGGAAAGGCATCGGGGATCCGTAAGGAGAGAAACACACCATCAAACTGGTAAGAGAAGGCATATTCATCCTGAGGCTGAGGAGCGCTGGCACCTGGAGAAGGGGTTAATATGGCGCAGATACGGCACGGCGTGGGTGCGAGGCTTCCCGAGCCAACGTACCAGTGCGGACGGGGGTGGCGGTCCTCTGGTGGTCCCAGTTGTTCTGCTGCTGCTGGGCTTGGCCGGCAGGCCACTGCGCGTTCTCGTAATAGGACATGATGTCTGCCGATGGGAGAAGCAACAAGTCGGCGAGAGATGGTGAAGCGACGGCGGAAAAAGTCAGGGAATGTCTCGGGCAAGTGGGTGACGTCGAGCTGAAATGGCCTGGTGGAAAGGAAATTTGTCAGCGGGGCGAGAGGGTTTTTTTTTCTTCCTTCGCTTGGCGAGCTAATGTGTTGCGACCCGGAGAGAGGCTCAGGAGAAGAGGCAAAAAGGAGAGTGAAGTGATGAGAAAGCAACAAGTTGGCGAGGTGGGAATGCAGAATGAGGACCAAAAGGGTGAGGCCAGAAAGGTGATGAAAAGAATGGATTTTGCGCGGTCGCGCCTGCAAATGAATGTGGTGCTGAGAGGCTGTTTGGAAGGAAGCTGACTTGGACGTTCAGGGGTCCGGCAGGCTTGAATGGCCTGAATGGGGGCTTGAATGGGGGCGCCAGAGAGAGGTGGGTGAAGCGCTATCAACTGGCTTCTGTGCTGTTTCTAGCGCATAAGCGGCACAGATATAGCGGGTTGAGTGCGCTGAAGTGCGCTGGAGTGCGCTGAAGATGCGAATAAATTATAAAACGGAAAGGCGGTTGGGCTGTTACCCACCTTGTGCTGTGGAAGCTGGAGACCCTTCTGGGAGATTACGGTATATTCAAAATAAAATTGGTGCAAAAAATGAGCGCCGATGGACAAGTTCGTCAAGAGAAGCGCAAATAAATAGCGAAATAAAGGATTGCCACAAAGACGAAAAAGACTGGCAAGAGATGGAACCAAAGACGAGTGCCTTTGCTGCAGGATGGCCGATGACGCAAACCAAGCCACAGTCAAGGGCGAGACAGGGTTCGCAGGAACAAGCAGGCAAATAGCATGTCCAAGAGGGCAAACTGTTTGACTGTTTCTTTCTGGCAACACCGTGTTCCAAAGCGTCGTATCTGTCGTCTCGTCTGGTCGCACGACCGTCTTATTCCAGCGCTGTATGTGGTGTTCGGTTGAGCAGGATCCGTGTAAAGAGATGGTGGCTGCGCGTGGTGAAGAAAGGAGACGCAAAATAAGATCTGGGCTAGTTAGTTTAAATGAAAAGGCAAGACATCGCACCACTTAGGCCGGCGACGACGGGGCCGAGACATAAAAGGCGATGACTTCCCTTTTTCGTTCCGCGCGCCCGGGTGTACTCCCAGCGTGGTGGCAACAATGTGCAACAAGAGCTGCTGCATTATTACTAAATAGTCCAGTTACCTCCCCTTTGTTGTTCCGGGAAGAGAAGGATCACAAATTCAAGGCCTTGTCATTTTAACCGGGGTTGGTGTGGTCGGACGAGTCGCGAGGCCGCAGAGGCAATGGGGCTAAGAAGCGCCTTCTTTTCTATAAATCCCGTCCACTATTATAATTTAATACTGACCATGTCCTCGGCAGGCGTGAACGATTCCTCCCATCCTCTGCAGCGGCCAGTATGCCGAGCGTCTTTGAAGATGGGCATTTACCTGGGCCTAGGTACCTAAGGTATGTTTCTGTGCGCCCACCAGGCGATTCGGAGCCTCGCCTCATCATGTTTCGTGCAACAGGAACACGTAGATACGGCTAGCGATCACCATTGGCAGGCCAAGTTCTTCTCGTCTCGCAGTCTCGGACCGCACATGGCCCGCGACGGAACCGCAAAACAAATCCAACTAGGCCCCGCCGGGAGCTAATAGCCACGCACTGTGGCGTCGAAATGATGCCCGTAGCGGCTTAGTGGAAGTGAGTCTCGAGTCTTTGCCTTTTTTTTCTCTGGCTTGGTTGCTTGGCTCGGCTTGGCTTGGCCCGAAGCTGTACCAACTGTGGTGCTGGTGTCATGGTTGCCTCGCATGCAAGTCAGAGTCCAATTGTCAACATGGCACGGCCTTGCCATGACCAGTGATGACCTTTTTTTCACGTTTCTAGTTACGTAGACGTCTCAAAGGTTCAATATGCTTACAGCCAGACCTGCATAAAGTGTGTCAGTTTGCTGATTCGCGTAGCAGAATGTCAATACCAATAGCACGGCTCTATTTGATGACCACGTTGCAACACTCTTCGGATCTGCCCGTTGCAGCCTCCAATGCACACGGAGGAAATCACCCGGTACTAACGGCTGGCATTCGCCGTTGCTCAAATCGTTACCCAACCCTCCTTTCATCAATCAAGAAGGCGTTCCCGTCCTGTCCGCCGCGCCGCCTCACCAACTCACCTCACCACACACGCATGGTTTTATAGTTATTACGCAGATAGGCCCAGCTTGCCTCTTCCCAAGTCAGCCAGCCGCTTCCACAACTCACAACCATCATGCTGCTGTGCCACGCTTCTCGTGCGTCACGGCGTAGCTGCTGTCCGTCCCAGACTGGCATTGACGCCGACGCAGTATAAAAGAAAACAAACTCTGTCATGAACTTGCGAACAAAATACTTCCCTCACGGCGGAAGCTCACCCATCAACTCTGCAGCAACATTGGCACTGCCGCTTCCCTTGTCCAGTGGCGTTCCATGGTTCCCCGTCTTGGCGAGCATTCTCCGCGCTGTGGTTATCAAAATAAAATATTATTGATAAGAAATTGACCCTATCCCCGCACAGCTCGCATGCAATTACTGGTATGACGCAGCATCTCTTCTACTCCATATTTTGGGTCAACACGGTCTCCTAATGCTGTCGCTCCGAGCTGATACGACAACACCAGTCAGCTCGACAATACCCTATGCGCCATGTCAAGCGAGATTCAAAAAGCCTCTTCCTGTGCATTCTGCCAGACCTCATGTCCTTTTCCTGCATCCCGCACCTCCTCCAGCCAGCCACTCCACAGCGGACGCTCGCATATTCCCCCCCCCCGTTTCTCCATACTTTCAATGCACATGCAACAGGACAGCACACCACTTTCCCGTCCTAACTACCTCGGGCATACACATGGCATGCCTACCTATCAGACCAGAGCAGACAAAAAGGGACCCTTGTGTCCTGGCTTCCTTCCTCCCGTAGTGGTCCGGTTCCGTCGGGCCGCCGCATGTCACTGTTCCTGTCAAATTGTCCATCCATCCATCGCCTGGCCGTGGTGCATTGATACCGAGTTCTTATTCAGTTTGACGGCTTTGCGCAACAGGCAAAGGAGACGGGACAATATATAGATGGGGAGAACGATGGTCAACGTTACTCCACGTCATTCCTGAAATTCTGCAAAATTATCCGGTGGCAACTGGCGGGTCGCCTAGTTTCCCCAAACCCGTGCCACTGCCGCTCGGATTGCATCAACTTCTCTTCTTCCGTCGCGGCGTCTACCAGTTGCTCGACATCAATTATTTGCTATTAGCACCCGCTCCATCATTCAAGACGCCCTTGTTTGCCCAGGGTACTTTTACGGTCCCCGAGGGTACGTAGAGCTATATTCTTGCTCTGCATTGTCAAACTAGGCCAATTCCGAGAGCGTCTTGCATGCCTTATTACCTTGCGCACAAGCTATGATTCGTCCAGGGCTAGATATAGTCGAGGGTACAAGTCTCTGTCATTCGAATCCGAGAGTGACGGCATCGCGTCCACCCGCCCTAGAGCATGCTCTACGTCCACCAGTCAACTCAGTCCACGAAGCACAACACATCAGGCAATTGCGGGAATAAAAAAATCACAGCATATTCATTGCTATCTAGACTGATACACACGTCTGCTCACAGCAATACCAGCTGCGCAGAGCCCAAACACGCGCTCATTCTGTTCAAGATATTACAACAACCATGAGGGTAGAATTGGAAAAGAAAACCACACAAGCTCATTCAGCCATCAATCCACGCATCTGCTTACAGAAGCAGGCTGCCGACCACAGCGACGGCGACAGAGGCCAGAGTAGCAACCATCGACGAGCCAGAAATGGCACCGGCGTTGTCTTTGCTGCTGGTGGTGCTAGAGCCAGTCCCGTCAACGGTTACGTTCTTGACCGAAAGACCAGAGTCACCGGCAGTCTGAGAGCCAGTGCCAGTCAGACCAGGACCCTTGCCAGCACCATCCTTCATGTACTTCTGAGCCTCCTTGGGCATCTCAGGGAGGAGCTTGGGGTCGACGTTCCAGTCGGAGCTCTTGACGGGGCAGTCCTTGGAGTGAGAGGTGGCGTTAGCGCCGCCATCACCGCTAGGAGCAGGGTTGTCCTTGAGCGACTGCTTGAAGTTGTCATACTCCTTGCCATCGCCCTTCTTGGAGACCTTGCCCTGGCCCTTAGTGCCATCGAACTGAACAATGCCATACTTGGACTCCTCCCACGAGTATTCGTACATTATACCGCCAGAGTAGACACCAGTCATGTCCTTGCTCATCAAAGCCTTAACCTCATCGAACTTGCGGGGGGAGTTCACGTTGCAGCCGTACTCGGAGAGGAAGAGGGGAAGGCCGTAGTCCGTGAAGTTCTTGACCTTCGCGTCCCAGCCGGACGTCTTAAAGTCGCTGTTGCACCACGAGTAGTCGTTGAAAGCGAAGAAGTCGGAACGGACCTCATCAGGGCCGCAGTTCATGTACAGGGCAGTCTGAGAGCGGCTCTCGGTAACATCAGCAGCAGAGTAACCGACGGGGATGGCGCGAAGGTTCTGGGCCTTGATGAAGGCGCGCAAATCACGGGTGACGGCCTTGATGTAGGGGGCGTTGAACTCGTTGCCCTTCTCGTTGATGACTTCGTTGCCGGAGAAGAAAGCGAGAGTGTTCTTGTACTTGGCGAACTCGGCAACGGTGGCAAAGATGCTCTGCAGGTACGCGGCGTTGTAGGACAGGGCCGGGGCGGCACGGTTGAGGGAGTAAAGGCCGTTGTTGACATCGAGGACCAGGTAGATGCCGGCATCAGCGAGAAGACCCATGCACTTGGTGTGGTCGGCAGAGTTGTCGACGGTGTAGACACGGATGGTGTTGACACCGAGATCCTTGAACCACGCGATATCACGGGTGCAAATCGCCTCGTCGGCGAGGGGATCGACACGGGCAGAGTCACCACCAGGCTGGTAGTCTATACCGCGGATGTAGAAGCGGTCGTTACCCTTGTAGAAGGCTGGAGGAAGTTCAGTTAGCCAAGGAACTGGGCATGGCTTGGCGGGGTGATCGATTTCATCTTACCATTGCCCTTGATGGTGATGGGGGTGGGGTCGGCACGCTTGGTCGGATTGCCGGAGACGAGACCGGCGGCGGCCAGGGCCGAGAGAAGAGCGAAGCCCTTCATGATGAATTATTTGTATAGAATGCTTGTCGGTATAAATATGTGGCGAGAAAGCTGGTGGCTTGTCGTTTTAAACAGTCGAGCGGGGGATTGACCGTTTGAATACGAGCGGCAGATGTTGGAGAGAGCGTAAGAAGAGTAAGTCGTCGAGCGAGTCGGGGGGAAAAAGGCTACCAACAAAGAGCGGGTTGGAGCGGTTGCCAAAATCGGAAATGGAAGAAATGAAAGAGATGGAAAGAAAACGTGACGGGATGAAGCTGCCGACACGACGGGATTAATATTGGGAGGGAAGGAAGAAAGACGAGCGATTGAACGAGGGAGGGGAGGTCAACAAGTGAAATAGCAACGCCAAGGGGGCGTGTGCTAACTAGAGGCGCAACAACACGCTAGCGACAAGGTCTTGGGCCAACTGGGGAAGAGCGCAGGCCAGCCCGGTCAGGCGAGGAATGAAAGGAGGAAGGGCCTGAACAAAAGCAAGGCACAGCCCCAATGCACCATGCATGGGCACTTTTTAGCGCCGGTGCAGCCCAGTACGACGGCGGATAACTAGTACGGGGGAGGCTTGGGAGGGAAGATTCGAAGAGTGCAGTTTGTCCCAGGCGGCGAGATCAGGCCAAAGGCTGTCTGGCACCAGTAAAAACCGTAACCTGCTAGCGTGACCAGTTCAGGTGGCAACCCAGGCTATTTTGGAGCATCCGTACACGATGATTGGCCCCGCACCTGCCAGGTACCAGACCCATGGCCAGGGGGGCCACAGCAGAGCCCTGGATAGTCGTCCTCTTCTTGAAAATGTTATTGAAATACCTCCGCAAGTGCTGATGCACCATATCACTTCCTTGTACCCTGCTATCTCGTTACAGTCGCCAATCCTGCGCACATCATCACTTCCCACAACAGCTTATGCCCGTCGTTTCAGGGGCAAGGGCCTAGGTACCTACGGGGGCGCCGCCTGCGAGCCGATCTTGCTTCGGGCATGCCAGCACTCCCAGGGTCCTTCTGAGTCTTCTGAGTTGTTCCAACCACCAGTCAAAACCGTTCTTTCCGCATATTCCATCTTTGTTTCTCTTACAGAGTACCTATCGTTTTGACTTTTTTCCTGCCCCCACACTTAGACCACCCATCTGCATCCCAAACTCTTCTGCTCCTTTGTTTGGGACCATCACAGGGATCCCATGGCAGGACATGCCGCTTTTCAGGGAGTCAAAAAAGCGAACCACTCTGCCCAGAAAAGTACGCTTCCACGTCTTTTCGGTCCAGCGCGCGTGTTTCATCTCAGATGCTCTCCCCTCCACAGCTCCTCTTTTCGACTACTATGCTGGTGTTTTGGCCTGTCTCGCATAGCCACAATGGGGGGTGCTGGCCCCCCTTTGTCTCCAGCTCCAGTCTTTTTAAGCTGCCACACATTTTGGCTTCAAGCCTTGATGAAGCCTTCTCAACTCGTTTGACTCGCCAGGAGGAAAATCTTCGGCCTTCTGGTAGGGCGCTTTTACCTTTGTTTTAACTCAATCGCAGCCCTCCCACCCCCCTAGGCAAAAAAAGACGCCACACCATACGCGAGGTCCAGAGTGGCAGCGACTGGTGGTGGCTCCTCCCTACTAAACTAACTACCTATCTACCTACCAACATACAAAAAGGAAAAAATCGCGAACACATCTCGTGTTCACCAGTAGTGAATTTGCTGGGCCCGTATGGGAATACGAGTCACCGCTGCCAAGCGAAACAATTCTATTCCCGCTTGTTCTTTTAGCTGAGTTATATATCTCCCGATACGAGTTTGCATTGCGCGGCCTCTGGGGCAACACCCAACTACAGTGCGCAGTTCCCAAGCAAACGCTGCAACCTCACAGTGCTACACACAGTGTCACATCACGTCCCGCGCTCATCCCGCCGCTCATCATCATTCTGTCCGTCAAGACACTCAATTTCATTGGCCTCTCCCTGATGAATCACATTTCCGGTGCCAATTACCCACGCCTTTTGCTAACTTCGTCGCCTGCCTCACCGTTGATCAACTTCCATTGACGACATGTGAACCCGCCCGTTTATATCCATCTGGCCATGATCCTTGACGAGCCATGCATGCCCCATCGATAGTCTGCAGCAAGCTCATCTCAGTCCTGCATATGCGGCAGCCTATGTATATTGATGTAATCTAATGCGGCATACGTAATGATGAAAATTCTGACAAATCATGGACAGGGCCTAATATCAAGCAAGCAACGACACCACTTTGCAAACATGAAATGATATTAGCTACAGATTCATATTGGCAGAAAAGCGAAGTGAAGACAAAAATAGCATGCCCCACGCTATGATGTAAAGGATGCGTCTACTCTCCAAGCTCTATACGAATTTCCACAGAGAACGCCCCTAGCGACCAGCAAATGAGGCAAGGTCGGGGCACATTAGCACATGGTTTCTTCCGCAGCTTCGACTCTCACTCACTCATAACAAGCCGGAGTGAATGTTACGCCGATGACTTGTTTGGCGCCGGCGAAACTCCCGCCTCGGCCGTGGCGTCGAGCGTCATGCAGGGTCCTTGTTCAAGAGTTGAGGCAGGCACAAGCAGAGATTGGGCGGAAGCGTGCAGCAGTGATGGGGGCAGATATATAGCTAGAGAGGTGGACAGGGAAGCGGTCGAAGAATTGACCAGTACGCATGAGCATAGGTAGCCAGCAGTGGTGCAGGATCAAATTCTGCGTAGAAGACACAAACCACAATTGCTAAGCAATCTAAACCTTGCCCGTAATATCAGTATAGTATTGTTTTTAGCACTGATCGTATTCTTGATATTTGTCGCTTCTGCATATGTTTCTAGTGTTTCTTGTTTTTCCTCATCTATAGAGCACTAGACAAGCAGTCAAGCGCATCTAATAGAGGATACATGGATCCGACAAACGCGCCAAATTTGACTAGAAACTGTTAGTGTTGAGACCATTGGGTAGGCAGTTAGCTATTATTAATATAGCGCGACCCGAATGCGTACGTGGCGGCGTTGAATGATGACAGCACAAGGCACTTGAGAACACGGACAGCAACACGAGAGACTGGGTTCCTCAACCCAATGCGCACCGTGAGGGCAGTTGAGCCGGACCTGTGAGCAAGGTTCTACAATCTATATCTGTAAGCGAGGTAGTTTCACTTTGCGAGAAAGGCGCACATGAGACTTGGTCGTCTTCTCATGTGCTAGTAACGCGACATGCCGGCCCGGGGTTGTCGCTGTCTCTGATGCTATTATCCCTTCCAGAGCCACCTCACCGGTTTGGCACACACACACGGGGGGGGGGTCTTGTAGCGCTCTCACATGTCTGCAATTGATCAACTGGTTGGATATAGCCTTGGGCACGTTTTTGTCATCCACTCCAGGCACGAACACATGCCAAGAAGTACTTTCAGTAGGGTAAGAGGCTGGTCTAACAGCCATGAGAAGAAGATGACATAGGTAAAGAAGATGTACAAGAAATATAGAAATACTAGTTTGAAGAACAAACCTGCTGGCGGGAGTGAGCGGGTTGTTTTGTCACCCGATTGGAATGTGATGTCAAACGGGGGGGGGGGGAGGGGGCGACCGGTTGTAGAACGGTCTGCTGCTTCAGCGTTGTAGAAGACAGCATTTACGAATCTATAAAACTTGCACAGTGCAGCTATGAGGCCCTCCAAGGCCTGGATCCCGTCGGGCCGTTCTCTTTCCCGCACTTGATCATCCGAACAAGAACCACATGGACGGCACCCGTAAATGCTACAACCAAAGCTAGGGAGGACATAGCACACTTGCAAGATAATTTTAACTTCACACAAAACCCTTTATACCGGAAAACAGGCGTCAAAACTAAGCTTGGCTCCTCATCGTGCCACGTATTGCGACGGCGGCCAACGTTCGTGATGTGACAGCTTACCCTGCAACCGGAACCAACAAACCTCTACTCTCCCAATGCCTCCAAATACGTCGCACACAGGATCGAACCGGACCAACATCACAGAGGCATACAATGAATGCAGTGCATGTATTCAAAATTTCAATTCCTTTCCCGCAACAAGAACTTGTCAAACAAAATACGACAGGATAATTTCCCCTGTTTCTCCCCAATATCCAAACTCGTTTGCCTCCACCCCTCCCATTTCCTCCTCCTTATTTATATTTACACCTTGAAAATATCCGTCACACCTGACCAAGTACCCTTGACTCTCTCCTCCCAGTAGCCGTCCTTGCCGGTGCGAATGCGCCAGCACTCCTCTCCATCGGGGGCGTCGTCCGAAACCTTGACAAACCAGCGGGGGGCGTATATCTCACCGCTATCCTCGAGCTGGCGGCGGCGCACGCGCTGCTCTTCCTCCAGCTTCTGCTTCCACGACTCGGCCTCGTCGAGTGCGCCCTCCTCGGCCATGCGCTGGTCGGGCCGCAGCCGGCTGTCCGTCGGCGCCATCTTGTTCTGTTCAATCTCGGTGATCTCGTTGAGCGTCGCAGCGAAGCGCGTCAGGCCGTATGTCTGCGCGGCATTGTCCACCAATCCGCCGACGTGCCATACAGCGTCCCCGCTGGAGCTGTGCTTGCCCTTGCCCGCCTTGTGCAGACTTGTGGTCCAGGTGCCGGCCATACCTGTGCCGGCGTCGCTGCCGTCGGGATTCAGAATTTCCACCACCACATCCTCGGAACGCCCGCCGAACATGCCCTTGCTGCGGAACTCGATACTGGCCTTGTGGCTGGTCGAGTCGTTGGTAACAGTCATCGTACCGACAGGCTCCACGTATTTTTCGCCCATCACGACGTTTCTCAGAAACATGTTGGCGATGTTCCACGAGTAGAGCTCGTCCTTGCCGTCTTCAAGATGCAGCGCCACGCGTACACGACCATCCGTTGTAATCTCTGCGCTCTTGCCCCAAAACTTTTGTCCGGGTGCCGCGCTTTGAGCCAGAGACCATTGAGCGGATTCGGCATGGATGGCCAGTTTGACAGGGCGGTGCTGCACCTTTTCAACCAAGAGTCTGAAGCCGCCAGGCGTCTCGGCGTCTCCACGAATAAGCTCGAACGTCTCACCAAGAAGCGGGTTGAACGGCTTTCGGATAGCACGCTCCTTGGCACGGCCACTACTGAACTGAGAAATGGCAAACGCCGCGACGTAGACTAGACGTTCCGCAGGAGCCGTCAATTTCGAGGCCTTGTCGAGAAGTTCTGCGTACTCGAGCTGTTCCGATAGCTTCTGCAGTAGGGAGAGCGGCTCATTCGCAGACACTGGCATACTGATGGTGCTGAGATCCTTGCCAACATTCTTTCTGACAAAGGCGATTAGGCTTGGCGGTAGTACAGTCGCGGCGGGAATTGTCTGTCGGCGGTTCACTTTCGTGGTAATGGGCAGAGGCGTGAGACTCTTGGACTTGATCGGGTACAGGTGATTCGTGCCGTCGGGGCCAATGGTCTCTTCGTCTTCCATTGAAGAGACAGACGAGCCATCATCCTCCTCCTCCTCTGACTCGGCAGCTGATTCTTCGTCGCTCTCATTGATCTTGAGAACTCGTGATCTGGCATCCTCAGCATCAAAGAATTCGTCCACTGTAGAGGCAATGCTTTCCATGCTCCGTCGAGATGCGACCGGGTCAGACGCAGCAACGGGCATTCGCCGTCTCTTGCTGGTGCTGATTAAGCTAGTAAATTGTGCAACAACCGAGTCCAAGTCGGCAAGAAGAGACTCGCAGTGACCATGGAGACCCTTTTCCTCCTGGATAGCGCTTTTCGATCTTCTCTTGGCCGCCTTTGATCCGTTCGTATCCAGAGTGGAGGCACCGCCGGGCATTGAAACAGCCAATGCGGAAGCAGTGGCTTGCTGCATAGCGGGCGACATTCCAGGCGCGCTAGACTTGCGTCGCCAAAACGACTTCTTTTCGGGGAAGTAGCTTTCACCATCTTCGCCAATCACGGCGGTGTTGGGGGACAGGGCACCTGATGAGTTGGCTCCAGGCTTAGGTAGCGCGGCAACGTCTTTAGTAAGACGGCGCAGCGCATCACGAGTTCCTACGATGCGGCTGACGAGAGTCTCAACTTCGTGCCACTCAGCCTCCTCTGCTTGTCCGGGGGCTTGGTGCCGGCCAGAGACAGTGCGTGGGCTGGGCTTGTTGGGCTTGGCAGAGGCCTTTGAATTTTCGCTCTCAAGACCGCGGGCGGCACGGCTGGCCTTTTCCAGGGCGCGAGCCCAATCCTGAAACTCTTTGGCATTGGGGGCTCTCAGGTGCCAGACCTCGGCGCCAGAGTCAATGCTGATCTCTCGACGTCTCTCGTCAGCGGCGATAGCAGCGAGACTCAGCGGGATGGCGCCACGAAGGGCAGATGAATTGCGGTTATAGTAGTATGAGAGTGTGTACGTCGAGTAGTCGAGTGAGAAGAAGCGGCGGGCATATCCTTGTCCCTTCTTTCTTCTCCTCTTGGAAAGAGTGCCGACGTGGTAGGATGCAGCGTAGCCATCCGTTCTGTTGGAAGCGGACCTAGCACGGCCAGTCGCATCGGGGCTGTGAATACTATCCGTGGATGCGCCGGGGTCTACATCTTGCGAAAAGGTGCCGGTCTTGGGGATGCTTGACTGGCTGTCTCGGGACTTGGGGACCTGGAGGTTCGGGATGGTGGTGGTACCTTGGGGAGGCACGCCGGTCGGGTATGTGAGAACGACAAAGGTGGCAGTCTTGGAGGTCTGCTTGGAAAAGGTATTGTCAAAGACGAGGCCGTACATGCCGCCCTGGCCATCCAGGATATCGTGTGTGCCTATGGAGACCTTGTCGGCTTCGCATTTGCCGACCCATTTGACGGCTATGAAGCCCTTGCTGGCCAAAATCTCTTGAGCGGTGTCTTTCTTATTGATCCTGTTCGCTTTGCCCTCGTCGAGTTCGGGGGGTAGGGAGCCGCCGTCGGCAGAGGAGGAAACCAGTGTCGTGGCTCCGGAGCCGGGATGTCTGAAGATGCCAAAGTAGCTGCATGACGATTAGCCTCGGCAAATGATGGGAAACCTGTGGCAGGAGGGGAATGTTTGGAGTGACATACATGGACTTTTTGTGAGGCTGAAGACTCCATGAAAGAGTTGATCCAGCGTCGGCGCGCACCCAGCGTACAATGTACGACTGTGACAATTAGCTAAAGGGTTCTTGCTACCGGCGCGGGGCGCGTAAGCTTACCTTGCTGTGGACTTCGAGGCGCTCGATGCCGGCCATGCTGGGCAGGTGTTACAGAATGCAATGACGGCCAATGCCAGAATACAGCTGTTTGTCTCGTGGGATGAGCACCGCTGGCTGGCTCATGTGACGTGGAGGAGTCGAGGGAAGTCTGTTTCGCAAGGATTGCGCGGGGGTTGGGGGTACGCTCCGCTGGTGGGAATAGGGTGTTTGCGCCGCGGCAAGGAGCTGCCTGTTGTTGGCTGCGCTGCTCCGATGAACAGAATCGATGGAAGGAGTGTCGGAGTGAGAAGAAATGGGAGTCGCGAGAGTGGTAGAAGTTCAGTCCGGCTGGGACAGCCAGTTTGGGGAAATAGGGAAATAGGCTCACGGGCTGGATATTATGACGAAGCGCCGAGCGGCCAGCCACGAGCAGCAGTGATCAGTGATGGACAGGTCGCCGGGTGCTGCCTCGCCGTGTGGGGACCTCGGAAGTGACTGGGGGGGTAGCTGCTACCAGGGAAGAGTGCTGTGTTCTACACCATTGAGAATGTTGTTCTATTTCTGGTATCATCTTGGTGCAGAAGTCTCTGATGAGTATTTGCACATGTGTTTCATAGGTAGTCTCTACAAAAGTTGAAGGCGCGTGGAAAGACGGCTATTTGTTCTTGTCGCCCAGGGAGTGTTTGGTGGCTGCATGCGCTGTAATTTATTCAGTGACAATCACTTGTCACCAATTTTAGCACGCAACAGCGCTAGAAACCAAGACAGAGAGGCCAGCTTGCAGGGCTTCAGAGCGCTCCGAGATCCCCCATTTTGCCCCATTTAACCCCATCACCGGTCAGACGCGGCGGGCTACAGAGGGTCCCTTGGCGTCGGCCGCTTGCCCCGCGTCAAATCGACCGGAGCCTCGGGCGGTCTCAAAGGCTATTTGCGCCTATAACTTGCTGGCCATTTTATAATTTTATGCCGTGGCTGTCAACCTAGGTAGGTATCCACTGGTTCTACTTGTGACCCTTCTAGAAGCATGCCTTGTGATTTTGCCACAAGGAGGCTTACAAAGATACCTGCAGGTACCGGTCATCTTCTGCAGTTAATTAATAAAGACGCAGACCATTGCATCCAATTCCTACCGGTAGGTAGCAAGCTAATCTGCACATACTAAGCTTCTTAGCCAACTACCCAGCCCCGGCACGGCTCAACACCTTGCAGGCGAGGCGTTGTGGCTGGCGTGCCAAACAGCCGCGGCTGGCTTCCGACGATGGAGGGCAGGCTGGCGACGCACATGACAATGACGAATCCTGCTCGTATTTTATGCACTTTTACGAGCTGTTTGTTCATCGAATTGTGCAAGTGGCCGCAGCACACATGTCGGCCAACCCATACAACCGCTCTGCGTATAATTGGAGAATTAATATGAAATAGAAATAGTTTCCATCTTTTTCTTGAAAGCCCTAGCTCCGTATACAACGTTGCTAGGACGCTGCTGGCAGTAGTGGTTGGTTTGTAGTAGTGATTAGTGACGCGGCTGGCTGGCGATCAACTAACAAAGGTTTCCAGCCGGCTCAGGATCAGAGGTGCAAGTTTTCTGGCTCACACAGTCGTCACTCTCTTTGGCACAGCTGAGCCACAACGATTTGAACTTTGATCCTGCTGACCACAGCGTGCGGCAAGTATTTCTACTTCCGTAGCCATAACCGTACCATGCGCCGCCGCATTTCTCCCCTCCCCAGTAGCTGATGCGAACCTGACCGTCTGGACAGTCGCCGAGCTCTGCAATATCCAAGCTTCCAACCTGGCATTCCGTATCTAGGCAAAGGCCGTTGCCATGATCCACGGACAGTTCCTTGTGCACGTCTCCGGTGCAGTCAGCGCGAGCGAGAGCCTGGAACTTGAATGCTGCTGGAGGATCTGCAGGAACCGCCTCGCAGATTCCTCTGGCGGGTTCCTCATCGGCCACGCAGGTACCCTGGCTTACACAGTCGGACAATGGGTCGGCACATCGCAAGTGCAGCGACCCAAACTTCCAGCCACTTGTCCAAAGAGATCGACAGGTATCGCGGCTCGCGTAACCGAAGCCAAACCACTTGCCAGAGCAACCGGGCAGCTCCCAGTAGCTGACCTGTACCTGTCCGTTGGGACAGTCACCGCCGCTGGCGATATCCAGGGATCCGACCGAGCATCCAGTGTCAATGCACTTGCCCTCATTGCCGGTGAGGGTCACGTCGTTGTGCACGTCACCATCGCAGCTGGTGCTGTACCTGGTCTTGAGGCGAAAGGCGTCGTCTCTTGCGACACAGTAGAAGTAGTCCGTCTTGAGGCCTGAACAGTCTGTACGGAACGATTAGTTTGAAAATAAAAACCAAAATGGCTTGGCCGGGTGTCATGAATAACATACCGTCCAGCAGTGCCGGGTTCCAAGAGTGCCTATATGAGCTAGTAAGTCATCTGAGAGAACAAGCAAAAGACTCAACGTGAGGAATAGTAGCACAACTTACAATTGAGCAAGGGAAATTGTGTCATGCTTGTCAGCGATGGCCTGACACGTGTCCCCCGCCACTGCGCGATAGAAACCTTTGCAGTTATGGAGAATTCCTTGTTGTCTCACCACGGGGGTAATTTCGACATTGGAAAACGTGGCACTGGTATTATGTACCTGCACGCCGTTGAAGCCGCTGTCAAAAGTGGCATCTCTCTGCACAAGCTTCGGAGTGCGCATATCGCCCACGTATACGGAGATGGTCTCGTTGACGGCCTGCACTTTGATCCGAGTTGCCTTGCCCACTTCTGCGTTTGTCTCGGCCGAGGCCAACGACACGTTGGACGGCATGACGTTCAGGAACACTTGTCCGCTGCTTGGGCTGATGCCGGCATAGAAAGAGCCAGTGGTGTGTCCGGACTTGGTATCGTTGGGGTGTGTCGCGCGGAAGATTAAGCCAGCATCGCCGCCGGTTTCGGAAGCGGGAAATGTAATGTCGGCTTCAAAGACGAAGTCGGCAACTTTGTGTCGGTAGATGACGGCCTCGCCCTCCACGGCCTCTCCCGCCTGGAGCCCGCCCGACGAGACGTGAAACTGGCCCTTGTAAACCTTCCACTCGCTCATGTTCTCGTCGCCAAAGGTATCGCGAAACTCTTCCCGCTTGTACAGAGGCTCGTCTGTCGTCGCATTGCAGCTGCTACAGACGACGAAGCCGTCGAATGTTTCGGTGCAAATTCCGTCCTGACACAGGAGTGCACATTGAAAAGTCGTCAACCATGTGTCCTCAATACACCGGTGTCTAATCGTCAGGTCAGCTGATGCTTGAAAACAAAGCAGGTTGTGGAGTTCTTGTAACCGAACCGGTATACACATTATACATACTTGATCTCATGAACGACTTCGTCTTCATCAAAAAGCGGCTTGAACTTGGCTGGATTGATGCGGGCGGGGTCATAATCTAGCGAATCAGTCAGTAGAGGCATTAGCAGATGGAACAGAGGCACAGACTCTGTTGGAATGCTTCTTCGGCTCTTTTCATCTCGGCTTCCCATTCTGGATCATAGTCATCTTCTTCTTGATCATAGTAATCTTCTTCTTGATCATAGTCATCATCTTCTTCAAGATCCAGCGTCTCCTCCATCTCATCACGCTTGGCCTTGTATACTGGTATCGGGACATCGCCACCCCATCCATCCATTATCCACATGGCCATGGCAGCAAGAGACTAAATTGCCAAGTTAGCAAATTGAGAGAAAATATGTTCAAGAATATGTACCCAGTTTTCTGCGTTCTTTTTCTTCATCTCGTAAGGCAAATTCATAATGCCTCTGAGGCCGTACTTTTCGGGGACCTCGGCCCCGTTCTTGTTTGTTCCGAGGCTGGCAGCGCACCATGGCCTCGAGACTCGTCTCCAGTGCATGTTCTCGTGATAAAAAGTGAGTGGTCGAACTTTGTTCTGCCACATGTTGATGACGTTCAAGTGGTAGTTCCACCCATCTGCCTCGTCCGACGCCTGGGACAAGGACATGGTGTCTCGGTGGTGTGTCGCGTGTTCACAGAAGATTGTATATACATTACTTTTCTTCTGCCAATCATCCAGGGTCTGATAGGTTATCCCACCCTGGCGAGCGTTGTGTCTCGGGAGACAAACATTAAATAATGTTTTTTTACCCCAAATCTCGTCATAGATACCATTGCCACAGAAGAACCTGGCGTGAAGGTTCATTCCTAGAGACTTGCCACTCTTCTTTTTCTTGAGACCCCAATGAGACTCCCACAGTCTTTCGAAATTGTCTAGAATCCAACCATATTAGCAAAGTAGCCCACGTCTATCCGTGTAGGTGCGGGGGTTTGCGTTTGTGAGAATCCGAAGCTGATCTTGTACAGCGCCTTTCGTGACTTACCGAAGAAGAGCTGGTGCTCTCCTACTGAAATGGGGCCAAAGTAAAGGTCAAGTACACGCTGGAACTTGTTGTGAGGGGAATACTTCATTGTGGCATCGGCGATCTCGCCGGCCTCACGCCAGCTTTGTTTCATCGGACTTTATAGATGTCGCAGTTGGGATGGTAACTGGGTTGCACGGCGCCTTTTCCGAGCTTTCTTTTCTTTGCTTTAAATACCAGGCCGGGAAAGTTTCCCAACCCAAGGTCGCCCGAGTCGTCGCCAACGTCATCAAAATAGTCATCGGAGTCTTGGTCTACAAGACCGGCATCATCGAGACTGATCGCCCAATCAGTCGTCCCCATAAAATTCATGCTCTTATACATGCTGACCCGACTTGCCTTTGTATCATCCTCCATATAGGAGACCCATTGGTCATCATTGTATACCAGGACATCGGCCCCATCGCCGTCACTGAACTTCCTTGCTGTTGGATTCGTTGTCAGTATCTCACGGATCTCAGCGTTGCTGATATAGCCAGCAGTCTTGGTGCAGCGTCCCGGAGTCGCTCCCGATTCCCTTCCGGTATAGGTGCACATAGGACCAGTACATCGAGGGTCTGTCATTTGAAATGATCGACCATAACTCGCGATACCAACCGCAATCTTATTCGCCGGTACACCAGCCTTTGTGATCATGGACAGAGCGTTCACTGTCTCCGTGAAATTGAGGTGAGAGCGTAGGCAATTTCCTCCGGGGCATCCCGAGTCCGTCCATTTGTTACCGTAGTCCCACTAGATTCTTGTTATTAGCTATAGCTGACAGGACATGCTCAATCAATTAGTTGAAACGTACCTGACCGTGGAGATCGTAAGTCATAAACACCACATAATCGACGACGTCGACAATTTTGGCAATGGGAAAGCCGCGCAGATACCAGAATGAAGCTGGCGCAGCAAAAGAAACGCTTTTGCTGGGAGGGAGAATCGAACGTAGCTTTTGCAAGAACAAGAAATAGTTTTCACCCTCCTCTGGGTCTGCCGTCGGGATATTAGGCATATCCGGCGCTGCTGGATACTCCCAGTCGATATCAACTCCATCCAAGCCTTCGCTGATGATGAAATCGGCAATTTTTTGTGCCATTTTATCGCGATTCGAGTTGAGAACTCCTTGACGAAATATACCATAGGTAGCTTGCCTTTGACTCGTCAGCATGCACGGCCTAAGTGTAGAGGAATTGTACATACTCTGTGGAAAAGCTCCAACCGCCAAAAGACAAAATCTTCTTGGCGCCACTTGTTCTCTTAAAGTAATAGTACTGGTTTATTGTTGCTTCCATATTGACTTCGTAGTTATCGGCTGTTACGGTGGCAAATGCAAAGTGTATGTGCGTGTATTTGCTCATGTCGATGTTGCGAATGTCGACATCCTGGCAACTTCGAGAGATGCCATATCCCTCAAAGTAGCCAATACTGATGAAGGAGGCTGGAGGGGATTCCTAATAGTTCATCATTTAGTATGTTTGCCTCTGAGCGCAGCCATGCCTTGGACTCACGTTGTTGACAATTTCGGCACCGCAGTTGGAGATACAGTTCGGCGCTCCGATGGGCTGGGGAGCTCCTGGAGTCTGCCCGGCGGGCACAGGACGGCAGAACTCCTCAGTAGTGCCACAAAATCCCCATACATCGCAGCAAGAATTGAGGGGACAGGGGTTGAGAGAAGCGAGAACCGTACCCGGCGGTGGCGCAACCGTCCCGGGCTTGACGGGGCCGCACATGGCGCCGGGGATGGGCTTTGGAAGCGGGGGGTTGCCCGGACTAAGACAAATGATAGTACCAGCCTGTAGATTGCCGCAACCACCCCAGCCCCAGGTATTTTTATTAAAACCCTCGAGGTCGTCAGCGGAGAAGAGAAACGAGTTGTCATTCGCCATGGACCAGCAGTTTTCCTCAGGCTGAACTTCATGTGTCTTGCAGTTGCCGTTTGAGTCAGAAACTGGGACGGGTAGATTTCCTTCTGAGCAGCAGACGAGCTGGGGTACTCGAAGTGTGGTGCAGAAATCGTCCCGGTTATTGTTGTTGTACTTGAGCAGGTCGGTGGTGGAAATCCCGCATCTCCTCGCAAGATCGGCACAGAGGTCACCACCTCCAACGGACGTTGTAGAGCAGGTACCTCGCTTGCTAAGCTGATTGCCGCCACTCTTTGCCAAAGGAACAAGTTTGATACGTGCGGGTAGGGTGGAGGTTTGCGTATAACCCTCTGTGACGCAACTGGAGTTTGCCCATTGGCCAACAGCTCGCTGTGCTTTGACCAGGCTGCCTGGTCCGGAGGCGCTGACGATTCCGGCTGCTGCAAAAACGATGCTGTTCTTTTTGACCGAAGAGGTCGCGTTCGTTGATAACGTGCCGTTCATTTGGAAAGAACTGCAAGCTTGAACCAAGGTGTCGCCAAAGTATCCTTGAGATGCGACGAAATCTGACAAGGCGCTGATAATTGGAAAAGTCATGACGCCTGCACCTGCATAGAACCCTATTGATGTGGAAGACGGGGGGTCGTAGAGGAAGAGCAATCTCGGCTGAGCGACCGTATGGGACGCATCCATCACGTCAAGGCGAGACTGTAGTTGCTCCAGAGAGGTTGATATGTCAACCTCACCAACAGTCAATACTTCATTCCACAAAGTCTGGGCCAGCACACTTTGTTCTTGGCTTAGCGACACTGTTTCGTTGGTTGAGTAGGGTTGGACCTTGGCTGAGTTGGGCGAGATGGCCTGGTGCGCATGGATGTCTCGTACGGATACTTTGGCATTATCGCGCTCTGTGTTCTCAACTGCACAAGCACGCAAGGTCTTTGCATTATTGCTATTATCCAAAGGGTTGAAAGCAGAGAAGGAGAGAAGGATGGAGGAGTTGCAGTAGTCAAGACGGTCAACGGAGTGGTAGACAGTCCAGTTTCCGGGATCGACTTGTCCACAGCTGATCGGACAAGGATTTTCACCCGAAAAGGAAGGTGAAAGTGCGGCACAAGTTCCGAAAAAGAGAACTCCCGCTGCGGTACGGCGGCTAATTTCTCTGCTTCTCATATTGTATAACGAATGGCGGGAGCCTGAAAGTCGATTGCAATGAACCTCTGATTCAAAGCGACAGAACAGCAGACAGTCTCCCTTTACATGATTTCTTCTGTAGTTAATGTATGGGACCTGACATGGTTAACATTGCACATCTGATATTTCATCTCCGAGTGGATAGCATGCCCTTCACCAACGCCTAGCTCAGCGTTCTCGGGCTTTTACGAATAACCACCATGCTTTGACCCGCGGTCATCTTGGCAAGGCAATATTATACCCGCAAGCTCTCGTCTTATTAGCCAGTAAGAATTGGTCGCGTGGCATGATATAAGCATAATATGTCTAGTGCTTCCCTAAAGCGTGCTTGTGGGCTTTCACCAACTTGATGGTGATACAAAACACTGCTGGTCTGAGATATAATATCCCCAGGGCTATTATTACTATTTTGTTGTTCTTATATTATTAATCTTCTTTGTATCTATCATTATATTTATCCGCGTTTTTGTTGTCCCCCGCGGGCTCGCCTCTGGTCGCACAGCACCGCTTGGTTAAAGTGGCCTTACCTGTCAGCGACACTATTCCAGGCCCTCATGGATGACGCCGTATTATCTCTGAGGGAAGTATGTTTTATGAGGCATTCCTGAAAAGGGGAGAAATTGCCATTCCATCTTTTCATTTATTGAAACATTCTTGAATTGTTGTTAACACAAAGAGATGTATTATCAATTCGGCCACCTGATGTAGTTACAGCGGGGCTCTGAATCTTCCTTGTAATACTGCACATAATATATACTATTATATACTATATTAATTTATCCGTAGACAGGCCAGGATTTATTCTGCCTTTTCACATTGCCCGGTCCAGAAATCTCCGGTTGCATATGAGCGCCAACAGCTCAGGACAAAAGTCTTTCGTTGATGATTTTCTAGAGCCGACCGCCAAACACGCTCTTGCCGCCCGTCACCATGCCAGCTATTGCCCGTCGTGTTACCACCCTACAAGTCCTAATCGTCTTTTGCGCTATCTTGGCTGCCTTGTTTCTGTATCCACACGTTGAGGGAATCTGCATAGACGCGTGGCAAGAACGAAAATATAGAATCTCGCGCCAAGCAGATGCGCGCGAACGTGTGATCCATCGCCAAGTAGGCTTCGTTGTCGGATTCTACATCGGTCCTTCATACAGGTGAGCTCACTCCTAATGAGTGACTAGTTCAAACAATATTGACAGGGCTATAATCAACTAAACTCGCATTCTAGCGCCGCTGTTGCCCTCTTTCGCAATGGCACGACACTCAACCTTGCCAAGGTCGACGGCGATGTGAAGTTTCGAGCCGCCATGGAACGACGGATTGCGAGATCATATGCGGTTCAGGATTCGTATTTTTCCGGTGAGGACCTCTCTGAGAAGGGTGGACATTTTGGTTCCTCGACGACGGAAGAGCTTGAACAAGTCTTCATTCCAGCCATACAAACCCTGAAGGAGCGCTCCGAGACCATTTTACAACTCCCCATCGAGCACGTCCACTTTGCAACACCATGGATCGCCGAGTACGACCAAATCTTTAAAGACCTGAGAGATACCTTCCTAGTAGCAGGGCGCAGGGTGGGCCTGAAAAGGCCCTTTGTATACGATACCTGGAATCAGGCACTCATGCCACTACATCTCAACGAGGCAAACGCAGTCTTAGCTGCTGCTGGGCGTAATTTTTGCGAAGAGTGCTTCTGTGTAGACCGGCCTCACCGAGAGTCCAGTGGTCGTGGGTCAGTCGTTTTCTACATTAAGTGAGTTTTACCAGCACATCGTCCATTTGAGCCTCAAAGACATTGGTAGTAACTAACCGGATACACGATATGAAATAGCTTAAGTAGAACGTCGCTGTTCATCTCTGAGCAACCAGCTAGCTGTGTATTCGACGCATTTTGGGTCAAACTAGAGCTAGACACAGCGTACGGATACGAGCAGCTTGAGGCGAAAGAGCCGACACAGTACTGGGAGGATGTCAAGGCACGGGTAATGGCTTTCATCAAGCCTCTGTATGAGATGAGGCAGAGACGCGCGAGTATTCTCCTCGCCGGTGAGGCAACGACTAATCCCGACTTTCTGTCCGTGGCCGTGTCTATCCAGCAGGAGTTACTAGCCCTGCGCGGCAACACATCGTGGGCATTCGACGATGAGCACCAGCGTGTCGAGGCATTGAATACCGTGGAGCTCATCGTGGCCGACGATGGTGTATTCGATGCCGCCAAGGGCGCCGCGTTGATGATGAGGACGGACTTTTGGGGCTACTGCGACGACACGGAAGAGCAGGTGATGCGGCTCGCGTGCCACGATCATTTCGTGCGGAGTGGCGTTGAGCCAGGCTTTTCCGACAACTACCTGTTAGAAGGCGAGGCAGCTATGATTGAGGTATGAAGCTGTGCTCAAGTCGCGATTGTTCAACTCATTCGGAGGCATAGGTGGCTTGGGACGGACCCTGGCTTTATATAGCGACTTAATGGCTCTTAGTAGTAACTATAGCCATGCAGGTTTAAAAATTACACTCGTGATGGCGCTCGAAGTATCTTGTTTTCAAAGAGAAAATACACAGTGGAAAACAGCACTGCCTTGGGTGACAACTCGGTGCTCACAGAAAACGCATTACGCGCTGGGTGGTTGTTGAGTAGCAAGACGGATCGCGAGGCATTTGCTAGATTTTTTGGTAAATAAACAGAACAAAGAGCTTACTAAAGGCATTTTATCACAGGTTACCCAATTTTCTATTCAATTGTCTAGAATTCATAGCCTTCATTGACTTGGTTCCCCCCTCATGGTTCTCACTCGCCGAAGCTATTCCATGAGAACCTGCGCAAACAACTTCCGACGCAAGGAACCTTTGATTAAAGAGAGGTCAAAGTTGCGCTTCATTTCGGAGTTTTCACACTTCATTTTTCTTTTCAATGTCTGCTGAGTGTTCTCTCGTTCCAGCCATGCTTCACCTCGGGTTCCGGTTCTCATTCATCCTTCACAATCCTTTTCACCCTACACCTTCAACACGGAACAAACCCGGTGCAGTCCGTCCAGTCTATCAAGGATCCGAGGTCAGCCATCCGATTCGGCGTAGATTCGCCGTCTCCTGGTCCGGCCTCGGGCCTCTTGTTCAAGCGGTCGCGGGTCCGGTGGAGCAGCTAACACCTCCGCCGTGACGCCACCAGCAATCTGACTCCGTCCAACGAAACCACCATGCATTGGTCTCGAGCATCCCATTCGGCTAGTAGTCGCATACACACGAGTGTCGCCGTAAAATCACGGATCCTACAGCTCCAAAGTTGAAGCTTCCATCCTACAGACAAACACGCGCTCCCTCATTCGACGACCCCGCCAACTCGAGCTTACCCCTCCGACCCCGCGATAAGATCCCCCGAGCGCATTCGTCATCATGACACTCACGGTGCTGTCTGACGACCAGGTCAGCTCAATCTTGGAGAGCCTCACCCTCGACGAGCTCGAGGAGTTTCGCCATGTGCTCGCCTCGGCGCTGCACGAGTTCTCGACGGGCTCGCAGGTAGACGGCGCCGACGCCTTTCAGCAGCCGCACCGCATCACGACGCAACATCCCGAGACCAAGGCCACAACTCTCTACATGCCGTCTTGCGGCCCAGAAGGCATGGGCTGCAAAGGTACGCTCTCCACCGGAACCCCTTCCCCCTCAAAATACCCCGCCATCGCTAACAAGGCAAACAGTCGTGTCGCTGACCACATCCGCCGCCCTGCAGGAGGACCCCTCCGTCAAGCCCATCAGCCCGACCGGCGTCGTCAACCTCTTCTCCCCCGGCGGTGAGCTCACCGGCGTCGTCCACGCCAGTAGCCTGACGGCGTTCCGCACCGCGCTTGGCTCCGCGTGCCTGGTGTCGCGCCGCAACCACGTGCGGGCCATCACCGTCTTTGGCAGCGGCGCCCAGGCCTACTGGCACGTCCGCCTCGCCCTCATGATGCGCGGCAGTACCGTCCGCCACGTCTACATCATCAACCACCGTTTCTCCGAGAGCGCGGGCCTGATTCTCAAAAAGTTCGCCGTCATCCCGCAGGCTGTCAAGGAGCGCGAGGGCTGGGCGCACGCCAAGTTCTCCCTCCTGACGCCCTCGTTTCACGAGTTTGACCGCCTGCAAAAAGAGTACATTCGCGCGTCCGACGTCGTCTACTGCTGCACGCCGTCGCGCAAGGACCTGTTTGACGCCCACATCCTGACCAACACCGAGGGCCGGAAAAGGGGCCGCCTGATTGTGGCCGTGGGCAGCTTCACGCCAGAGATGCGCGAGCTGCCGGAGGCGCTGCTGCACCAGGTCACGAAGCACCATGATAAGCAGGACAAGCCGCACCGGCACTTCCACAAGCACGCAGAAGAGGGCGGCGTCATTGTCGTGGACACCTTGGAGGGTGTCCTCCTGGAAGCAGGCGAAATTATTGCGGCCAAGATTCCTGCGACGCACCTAGTCGAGTACGTGGAAGCGCACCCTGCACTCGTCGGACACTGACTGACAAGAACAGGCTCGGAGAGCTCGTCATGCTTCACAAACTACGGGTTGAGGAATCCGAAGCCGAAGCGTCCGCGTCTGATGTGGCCAGCGAATTCGAACGCAGCGATACCGCTGACTCTAGCTCAGCCATGTCCAGCGTATACGGCAATCAGCTTTCGCGCCCGGGCAGTCCCGCCAGCTCGACCTCATCCAACCACAAGTCCACGTTCCACCTTCCCTTTCGCACAAAGTCTGCCTCATCGTCAGACCAGGGCGAGAAGAAGAAAAAAGAAGACCACATGGTGCGCTGGCTACGCGACGGCACCGTTGTGTACAAGAGCGTCGGTCTGGGCCTGATGGATCTCGTTGTTGGTACGCATCTCGTCAACGTTGCTTCAAAGAAGAATATTGGAACCCGCATAGAGGGATTTTAAAGTGAGGGGCAACAACCTATGTGTGAATATTTTTAGAAAGAAGACTATTAGTATGCGGTGGAAAAATGGATGGTCTATTCTACAGGGACTTTGGATGTGCTCTTCATGAGAAAACACAGCAGCTGTTACCAATTTGCTCCAGACGATCAGAAATCAGTACGGTCCTCAAACGCCGCGAGTGAAAATCCCAGACTCTGCTGCGTTGAACTAGCTCCTTGACCTTGAGTCGCTTCGCCAACCCTCATCTCAGCTTGCCTCAGTCTTCCCACCCGTGCCGAGCTCCATACATTTTTGTTGGCATCTGCCATGTTGACTGATTCGGTCGTATGAGCATATTTCAATGTGTTTGCGAAACTGTCTACACAGTCAAAACCAAGTGTGACTTGTGCCTCTTTGTTTCCACCGTCTGCTTCCTTGTTGATCTGGGCAATGATGGCGGTAGTGTCTTCCCCGGCAACTGTATGCTCGACAGACATGTCGTCAAGCTTCGCGTTGGCCTGTTTGTGGGCAGAGCTCCCTTTCTTCTGCAAGTACATCATAATCACAGAATGATATGCATCGTTGAGACATTTCTGGAGGTCTATGACTTCCCAAAGTTTGTTGAGGTCGGCATTCAGAGGGGAGATTTGCTGAAGTTGACGATGTGTAGTATGGGCCGTTGAAAGTAGCTTGCTCAGCTCCGCTTCAAGATTCGGGGGGCCTTTATGACGGTCAATGTGATTGTTTATTTCGGAGTGAATTTGGTCCAGCTCCGTTATTTGGCGCCGGCGTTGAAGAGCTGCGGCGGACTTCTCCGCCTTTGATACCTTCGCCGGGGACATTTCTGGCGGCAGGTAAGCTGTGTGCAAACAAAACGTTAGCAACCGAGTATTGATTATTAGAGAAAGTTTTGAAGCATAAAAAGCTTAAATATTGATATTGCCTACCTGCACGGATGATGGGGTCGAGGAGGTTTGCGTGGAACTGAGTTGTTATGGCGGCTTAGCTGTGTAGAAGACGCAATTCTCTGGCAAACGAGAGGGTATGTTGCCTTGTTTTGGTTTGTGTTTTCAGTTGCAGATTTAGTCACAGAAGAAAACGGGCAAACGAGGAAGTGCAGTAACTAACGACCGTGAAATATGGTTATGGTTACTGTGAAAGGGGGCCGTGAAACAACGCTTAGCGAGAATATATACGTCTCACCACTGGGTCGTCGTTGAAGGACTCGAGCATGTTTACTGGAGAAGGCGCGTAAATTTTATGTGGTATATTAGGCACTGATGTCTGTTGTATATACGACTCTCAATGTACAACTCTATTGTCTGCCCCGCAGACGCACTGCTTTGGTTTTGGACCAGGTCCCGGTTTCATAAAACCCGAGTCTCTATGGCTGCGATTCTCCCCTCATCTCGTGTTTTTTTGGCGCAAAAAGTAAAATTGAAACAAAAGAAGGCCAGCGGGATCTTTCCCCAAACTCCAGCACTCGGTCGAGAGCAATGTGGGACTGAAAAAAATCAAAAAGAAACGCAGAAATGCAAGTGTAGGCATGGCCGGGTCGTGGGACATGCTCTGTATATATCTCTCACTCCATTAAAAAGTGGTAGGTCAAATGAGGTGTGAATAGCTTCATTTTGATGCGAATGAATAGGAGAATAGCGTAAAATAGCCTAGAAAAGGCGTTCACCAGAGTGAATAACCACCGTCAATGAGGCAATCGGCACCTGCTCAGAAGTTAGATGGTGTCTATTCCGTGTGATGTTTTGTCGACTTTGTGTAATATTCGAGTGTCTGGAATCATGGGGGGTTGATGGGGACGATTTGGGTGCAAGTTTGGGGCAAGTGGGGCTCAATTGCTTGAAGGAATATAGACTTACCAGTCATGAAGCTAGAAGAGTCAGAAGCCAGGAAGACGCAGAGACCGTTGAGCTCGTCGACGTTGCCTAGACGGTTCTGAGGGGTCAGGCCGCGCCAGATCTTCTTCTGAGCCTCGAGGGCGGGGACGCGGTTCAGAGCGGTGTCCATGTAACCGGGAGAGATGGTGTTGACACGAATGTTGTACTTGGCCCACTCGGCGGCGAGGGATTTGCTGAACTGGATAACACCAGCCTTGGAAGCGTTGTAGCAGGACTGCTCCTGGGGGTAGTTGACAATGGAGCCAGACATGGAGGCGACCAGGACAATGGAGCCCGGCTTGCCGGCAGCCATCATGGCGCGGCCGACAGCCTGGGACATGAGGAAGGTACCGGTAAGGTTGATGTCGATGAGACGGCGGAACATGGCCGGGTCGTAAGTCTCAGCCTTGATGTTGGAGTCGGCGATACCGGCCGAGTTGACGAGAACGTCGGGAGCACCATAGATCTCGACAACAGAGTCAACAGCGGCATTGATCGCGGCACCATCACGCACATCCACCTTGAAGAAGGACACGGGGATGCCCGACTTCTCGTGGAGCTCGGCGGCAGCCTCGTCACCCAGCTCCTGGTTGGCGTCAAAGATGACAATGTTCTTGGCGCCGGCCTCGGCGCAGGCGCGGGCCATGTGGTTGCCGAGACCGCGGGCACCACCAGTGATGATGATGGTCTTGCCGAAAACGGTCATGTTTCGGACGGTGCGCGGTAGGGTCTCGAAGACCTTCTTTGTCAGGGGCTCAATGGCCTCGTTCTCGGCGGCGGGTGCAGGGCTCTCCAGAGGCACCTTGCTGGCGCCATCGGGGACCTGGACGGTGAGCTTGTCACCAGAGCCGGGCCCGTCGTAGATGGTGGCGGGCACCTCCTTTTCGCGGACGACGTTGTTCTTCTTGGTGGTGTCGGAGACGCGCTGGGCGGCGGTGGCGGTGAAGGCGCGGACGGCGGGGAGGCGCGAGACGGGGGTGGCGGCGGCGGCGCGGGACAACCGCAGGACGTTGCGAGCAGCAAAAGACATGATGTCTGTTGTGTGTGTGTGTGTGGTTGGTGGGAGGAGTTGGTGGTGTTGCAATTGAGGGAGGAGGAGGAGGAGGAGGAGGAGAGGAAAGAAGTGTGTAAGTCGTTGAGAGGTGAGAGTCAGAGAGACGGACAAAAAGTCAATGAACACGTAGATGAAAGATGGACAGAGATGGTTATGGACAAAGAACAAGAAACCGGCCCGGTGGGAGAGTTCGAGGAGGGCAGATATATATCTGTGTCGAGGCTCTGTGCCTGGGGCGACCCGGGAACGGAGTGCGTGCGTCGGTTTGGTGTCGCGGCAGGCTGGAGGGACCAAGTTCAAGGGGTGGGTGGGGATGGGGCGTGTGTGAATGGCCGGACGCAGGTGAATCAATGCCATCTCACTGCGAGGACTGCTGCCCTGGGTGCCTGGAGCAAAGGAAAAAAACAAACAATTGGGGCGCAGTGGACGCTAAATCTGGGTCTTTTGGGGAGCGATTAGTGGACGCGTGGGGTCGTGCTAGGGCCGCAAGCCGCTACTGGGTGCTGCAAGACAATTTTTTCCTTCTAGTGCTGGCGGCCAGCCCGGGTGGCCAAGTTGTGTTGCTGCTATTTTTGTTACAGCTTGGTTATTAACTCGTCTATCCAAGGTAGGTAGTTACTCTGGACAAAGAAAATTTTCCAGACATTCACTGCAAGAACAGTGTTTAAAGGGCACACTGTTGCTTGGTCAAACACGATTTGACGGGGTTTCTTAGTCAAGTCCCTAGCAACTGCCAAACGGTACCTAGTAGTTTAGTAGGTACCTACTGGTAGTTAATAGGATGTGGCACGATGAACCCGTCGAAAGAAATAGTTCCAGTACGAATTCATATGATGCAGTGAGCAGAAACAAGTGAAACAGCTTGACCGTCAGTGATTCGACGCTCTTGTTGGCCTCTTTCTCAGCCATTTTCACTGTTGGCGGAGGAATGCAGCATCCCGCATGCAGTCCAACCTTTTGCATGTCCAACGGAGAGATGTCGGGAGATGTGAAGCGCCAGGGAGAGAGACAGGACGTACGAGCAACACAGCCCTCTCCCAAATGTGATGATAATTTAGACAGGCTGGGCCTGGCTTACAGGGGAGGGGAGTGTTGGGCGTCAGATCCCTAATGTGGCCTCGCTACCGGATTACAGTACAGCACACTGCACCAGCAGCAACCGCTGGCTCCTGCAGCCAAGACAACTGCCCATGGCGTTTCTTTTTCGCAGTGCCGGAAAACAAACAAGGCCAAAAGTATGGTTTGCATATGCCGAGATACCTTGGATACAACCATCTTTTTTTTGCCTATGCTCGTAAAAAAGGGTGTCGCAACGCAAACCCGACCGAGTCGTCCAAACGCCAGCCTCAAGTGTGGCGTCGGTTCCAGAGCCAACCAAGCCGCCATGCCAAAAGCTTGATTTCTCATGAACCACACCTCCTCCCTCCTCCTCGGCTGGCTGGCACGCCGCACCGCGCATATGCATGTTCAGCTTCATTATTCGCCCGCCCAGGGGAAAAAACAGCAAGGATGCCAGCTCAGCATATAATTGTCTTTTGTCATGCCAAAGTAGGTCAGGTGGTCTCGCTGATGTTTTTTTTTTTTGCGCAGGGGAGTACAGCCTACAGGTAATTACACGGTAAAAAACTCAGAGGCCATGTGCACGTTGGCCGGGGTCGCAAGGACCATCTGTAATCCAGCAGGCGTTCCAATTCTTGGGGTACAAAAGTGGTTTGCCCGCGTTCAGAAAAGGGGCGTCGACGGGCGCACCTATTCGTATGAACTCGTAATGGTCTAGCAAAGTCTTCTAGGCTACATGCCACCCCCTCCTTCGCAAACAATATCCGCGTTGGTGACGTTGCGCAATCGACACTCAGTCAGTCAGCAACAAGTTTTTTTTTTTTCTTTGCAACTCGTTCCTTGCCGATATCGCTGACGTGGCGGGAGTGTTAGCGTGGTGGCTTGAGGAAGGGGGGTGTGTGCACTCTAGACGACGGACTGCACGAATACAGGAGCGCCCAAGCAAACCTCAAATAAAAGCCCCCAACTGGCGCACGCGGGGACAGCAGGCCTGTGCCAATCAATGCCTGTCCAAAGGGAATCACAACTCCGTAAGTATCTCACATTTTGTCTGCCCACCGTAATAAACTATACACTAAGTAATATCCCCATCGCCCTGTTGCCGTTTTGGGTCCCGGCTGTTACGCTGCACTGCGCTGCGGGAGAGATGTGGCGCTGCCTGCCTTGGCCTAGCGCCTTCCCAGCAAGACGGGAGCGCTGCAAGCCTTGCCACTTGGTCCCTGAAAACGGTTCCAAGGCTTCTGGAAACGGTGAGACAAGGCGCAGCCGCCCACCTTGCCTTCCGCATCCCCCTCCCTCCTCCACCACCACAGTTCCACCCCATCGTGACGTGCCGCCCGAGCTGCACATCGTGGGGTTCAAGCGACGAAAAAAAAAAAGCAGGGCCGTTTTTACGCTTCGCCTTGCCGAGATCTAGGATCTTGTTTTATGCTACTCTGCCTCGCCACCGCTAAGCTACATGCGTTGACGACAAGGACACGAGACATGGCCTTGGCTACAGAGGAAGCCGTTTCGCAAACAGATCAAGATTGCCTCTGCGGGCCGTCTTCCGCCTTGTTTTATTCTTCACGATGCCTCCTCTCCTGAGAAAACTTTTTTCTCCATGGCCAGCTGCTTCCGCCCCCAGCCGGCGGCGACCATCCTTCCCCCGCACCAAGTAGAAGCCCGACGATGCGCCCAACCCCAGTCTTCTCCAGACAGACGAATAACGTCGTGCTCGCCTTTTCAGCCTTTTTGCGGCGTTGGAACGCAGCCCTGCCGCGGCCGAGTTGGCACCGTGATGGGTAACTCCCTCGACAAATCGCCGCCCAACGCCGCGTCGCACAAGAACTTCACATGACCTGAAAATTGGTGGTGGTTGCGCTCGTTGCCTCGCTGCTCACGCACGGCTTGCCCGACGCTGGGGTGCCTCGACTGCTGCATGCACAACACCAAGCAAGATGCAGGCCACTCCGGAGCAACATGGCCAGCCACTGTGAAGACGACTTGCGTCGAGAACAGAGGATGCTGTGTTCACAGTTGGGCAACAGCTGCACACTGCGGGCAGATTCGCGGCCAGCTCCTCTAACAAGGAGGCGAGAATTGTCCCGCTGTCTTCAAATGCCTCACTTTAAAGAGTCAGTCACAACATGCCATATTTTTTGGTCGCACAAGAGAAGGCTATCACCAGAAATCTGACAATTGGGGAACTGAAAGTTGGGGAACTCCCAGCATAGTCACAGTCTCTTCGTTTCCAAAGAATCCCGGGCAGCCACTCGACAGACTCTCAAATTTGACACCCTACCCAAGCCATCTGCAGCTAACCTCTAGCTCCGTCGTAAACGCTGCTGCAGCCACGCAGCCATTCGGATGCATTGCATCCCATCCGTGCACCGCACCTCCGCCAGCACCACCGGACAAGATGAGTTGCCCGAGCTATGGGCGTGCATCTACGACGACACTGCTCCCCCACAAATTACTGGGCTTCCAGAAAATTTCTCCTTCCAAAGGTCCTCCCCCGCTCAGCATAGTTAGCTGCTTGCCCTCCATCTCGAAAACTTTTCTTCGCCTGTCGCAAGTGGGCGTCGGTGGCTCTCATCTGGGTCTCGCTAGTGACGGCTCCTAGGCAGCCATATTTCTCGTCCTGTGTATGGACAACATCTTGGAACTTCATGCCCACACCGCAACTGCTTCCACTTTGGCGTCGACATGAATGTATTTGGGCATGATCCGTTGTCGCACTCAACATTTGCCGGCGCAAAGTGATGCCCACCACCACCAGGCCGCTCCTTCGCCTTGTTCGCTCGGACGGTTGCCACACGCTGGCTAATAATACCAAGCTCCAGTTACCAGCTTGCCAGCTGTCCAACGCAAAGCTCAGACTTTCTTCATGCGCCATGAAACAGACACAAAAAGAAGCACCGGGTTTGCATCATTTCAGGTATACCGATCCTTGCTATTCGTAATATTTTTGCAGTCCGCGTGACATACTATCCATGCTCAACACGGAACAGAGCTGGGTTCTCGCTGATGAGCTTATTTCGGGGACCCCCTCCTGATGCCACCAATGTCTCTGTTCCGTTACCGAAGCCGCGAGGCCCGGCGCCGTGACCAGCAACCTAGTCTCTGCCACTCATCCATCATTTCTCAACAAGAGATAGACCCGACTAGCTGGGCACACAGGGATTGCCGCCACTGTCTGGGGCCCAACCCATGCACCATTCTGAGATTCGCCTCTACCGGGGAGCTAGTTCCGGCACTACTTGCTCGTTGAAGACGCCTCAAAAGGAGACAACAGAGCCCCCAGCCAAGGCAACTCATACTGTGACTAGCGACTAGCCGGCCCCAATCGCGGAGACAACGTGGCCTGGGCTGTGTGTTACTGGTATTTGAGCCTTTCATGACTGCCTACTCGGTGTGAAATGACTAGCACAAGAGACAAGGCGCACGTTACGGATGCAAGTACGGATAACTATGCGATGCCAGTAGTAGAGAACAGCCGCCTACCACGGGGCCTCTTCGCCCTGCCAACCACAACCCCTTTACCATGCTGCGCCGAGACACCTCACTAATCCGTATACGTCACAATTACTAAAACGTGGTAGAAATGCTGCCAGGATGAGGAGCTCGACACTGTACTGATAGTCTCCGCAATCGCCGTCATGACGTGTTACAGACGCTGGCTGGATGCAACGCCGTCGATCCGTCTTTGCTACCTTGACATTTCTCATGCAGTCCACAAAAGCCGTCACATCAGCCAAGCCAAGGGGTACACACAGTCAGCTGAGAGAAGGGGGGAGAACAGCATGGCAAGCACACGCGATGGCGCCCTCATATTATTCCCAGGGTTGTCTAGTGGATGATACCATCGGAGAAACCATCTACCAGCACACCTACTCAGTGCCACTGGTGACATCTCTGCTGGCCTACAGAACTAGCGGATTGCCTGATCCAGACATGCCGAGCCAGGGAAGCACTGAAGAGCGATATCGCGCGCCGTCGCTCACAGCAAAGGCTCTTTTCATTTATCTTTTCAACTCAAACATGACTTCTTTTCCGCTCCCCGCGTTGGCGCCAGTAAGAACAAGGAAATGCGCTCCAGTTATTTTTGGATGCAAAAAATCGGGCGAAAGCTGGCGATTGGCTCTTTGTTTGCCCACAATGCATGCACTCCATTTTTTCGGCTCCTCATATTGCGTCAAGCGCGTTTCGTGCCATCGATCTACATCGGAAGGATATTCTAGCATCCTTATTGCTTGGCGAATACTTGTTTGCTAAATCCTGGCATTAGTTCAACGCCCGCTTAACATCGAATCAAAATATCGAATCCATTGACAACGCCCACGACGTCAGGCACCACAAAAACTCTTTGTCCATTTCTTTCGAAGCTTGTTTGCTGAATTTTATTGCTTGAGAACATAACCCTATCCTTTCGCAACTGGACAATGACGTCAATCTCTGCGAAATGGGGTTCAAGTCAAGTTGATGAGCGTTGCGACCCTCAACTTATCCCTGGTCCCTTGTGAATGATGGTGACGACGTGTATGTACGATGTCAGGCTACTGGCTTCGACGACCTTCTGCCGGACCGACGTACCTCATCGGTGTAGAAAGAACTGTTTTCCTAGGAGTAATAAAGAGTGTGCTCATACCACGTATTGGGCTTTTCTGATCCACTCAGTAGCTTAGGCGCGCGCGACTACGCACGGATTGCTTTGGGGTCCTTAAATACTCTCGATACTAGGGTTCGATGAAACAAAGGATCTCTTGCGCAGGTGCGTACGGGCCAGGTGGAGGGATCTAGTATAAATGTTTGCCTGGCAGCGATGCGAGTTTTAGACGACCATGGTTACAAGGTTGCCATGTCGCTCAACAATGCTTAGTTTCGCTCTTTGCTTCGCCTTGTTTTCCTTGCTCTACTTTGTGTTCTCTACTTTTTCGTTACTGCCTCTCTTGCATAGGGATGGGCTGACGACCTTGGCGTTTGGCGCGTGGTCGGCACTCAAAATGTCCGGTGCTTGACCTAGACTGCATCACTCTAGATCAAGAAACAAAACAATACATCGATTGGTATACTCGTACAAATTCTAGTCTCTCCGTGCGGCTAAACCGACGAGTTTGAGCGCCAATCCATGCTCACTCTACCTCCTCCCAGCTGCCTGGGTTGCGTCGGTGCGCGTTGCAAAACACAAAATGAAACTGAAATAGCCATTAAAATAAAACCAGGTAGGCACCGCGCTCCAGATACGCCATTGACAACTTCGCCCTTCGTTCCGGCATCGCTCAACAAGTGATAAACCCGCCATGGCTTTACTCGTCGTTGTCCTCGTCATCATCATGGCCAACTTCAACTTCGACCCGGATCAAGTCGAGTAGGGAAGCAATGTACGGGCTCTGCGTCACATTTATTAGTATTCATTCGCAACAGCAGCTGATTTGGCATTGGGCAACTCACCAGTGGTCTATTTTCGGCCAACAACTCGTACAGACGTGGCGTCGAGGCGCGGAACAAGCGCTCGTTCCATCCGCCCTTTTCCTCCGTGTTGCGCTGCTGCTTGACCAGTTCCTCCTCCGCCTCTGTCTTGACAATGTTGCGCGCAATGTTGCGCAGCACCAACACCGCGCTGAGCGGGATGCCGGCAGCCTGGGGGGGCGCCTGCGGATTGCGCTCATCCCGCACAGTCACAGTTTCCTCAAAAGTAACCGGCATCGTCTTGGCTGGCACAATCCACTTCTTGGGCGGCGCGACGCCGTCGATATTGACACCCGCAGAGCTAGAAATGACACCAGAGATGTGACTTGTGACGTGGCGGGCAAAGTCGCGGAGATGCATCTTTGTCGGCTTGGCGTGTTTTTTACATTCGCCCCAGGTACACACGAAAGGTTTCTCGGCGTTTTCAAACTTCCCGTCGTTGTCACTAGCAGCCTCCAGATGTGTGGTCAGAATGTGGTGCCACATCTGTTCCGTCCTAAGGAAAAAGTGGCCACACTTTGCATTGCGGCGAGTCGGGTCACTTGCCCAAAGACAGCGTCCGTATTCTTTGCCATCGAGTGTCAGTGGATTAGGCCGAGCACGGATGCCATGGATGATAAATTTTTGGCCATCGCCATTTGCGCGCACTTGCGCGTTGGAACCCTTGTAGACGGCCGTACTGTTTCTGATGAAGTCGGCGGGTGTAATCATCTGCTGCTGCATGTCCTTGAGAGGAGATGAAAAGGCGGCCTGGTATGCTTGCCAGGCAGCCAGCTGAGTGACAAATGAAGAGCCGTCCTCGTCAAAGAATGACTTGACCCACTGGTGCACCCTATCGGGCTCTTCCAGTTTCAGCATCTCCTGTAGGAGGTCCTCGGGCATGGGCGCCACTTCATCGCGGGCCGGTAGTCGCTCCTCTGGAGCCAAGATGAAATCATACTGGACCTTGCGGGCACCATGGGCTAGAAGGCGCACAAGTTGATCGACAAGTCCCTCTGGGTGCGTGGAACGCATCAAATTGTCCAAGTTAGGAACAACAGCTGTGTACTGGTACAAGAAGTCGAGGCAGGCATCAATAAGCTCATCATCATTCAATAATAACCAGCTTGTGATTCGCTGTAGAATGTCGCCAGGGACTTCGTTGAGCAGATTAGTGGTCTCCAGGTTCATGGAGATGCGGCCTAGCGCACGCAACGCGCTCAGAATGGTACCACGGTCATCCGAAGTCATCTGCGCCAGGAGCGTCCTGTATAAGGGGTCATCCGGGTCCAATACCATAAATGACGTGATCTGCTCAGCAATGTCGAGAACCATATGCTTGATTTCCACGAGTGAGTCCTTCTCAGGCAAATGTAAAACAATGCAAATTAGGTCCTTGACTGGAGGGAACTCAGACATGTTGTGCGCGTTTTCGGGTAGTGTGACCATGTTGCGTATCGTTAAAATGGCCTCGGTAATGAGCACCATTCGGTCAAAGTACTCTCCGGTTTGGAGGATGTCAGGCGTGCTCTTTTCAACCAGGTTTCCGATTCTCTCCAGGATATCTGGAGTTCCATAATTGCCATCCAAAACACCCAGTTCCGAAGACTCCTCCTCGGGATCCCAAGAGACTTTCCAGTTGACGAAGTAAAAGAGCCCTCCGACTTCAAGAGCTTTCTCAACGAGGCCCTCGGCTAGGCCAGGGAAGGAATCAAACTTGTACTTGTCACCACGCTCAAAGGAAATTTTGACGAGGTGATTCAGTGCGAAAGCCTGCTCGGTAGGTATTCGTGATCTCAGAGCATTCAGACAGCGGGTATAGATATTTGGGCCGTCAAAGCCGGTTCCAGGAAGCATAGGTTGGCGGGGCTCCGGCAAGGCGCGATATGACAACCGTGTCCGGGGAAATTCGCTCGGCGCATTGCTAGGTGTCGCGACGGGTCGCAATTGCAGAGGCTTCACGTGTCGGGGTTGGTAGGCTGTTACTGAGGTGGACGTATTTTCAGGCTTCGGCGGGTGGTGTGCGATGGAGGGACCGCGAGCGTGCATGCCTGGTTGTCCTTGCATGCCTGGGTGACCCTGGACTTGAGGGGAGTTGGCTGTAGCATGTTGACTCGTGGTCTGTCGTGTGATTCTGCTGGGGCCGGTGTCAGGCTGAAAGATGACACGTTGGGCAGGGGCTTCTCGCAAACCGCGCGAGGCTCTGGCACTGGAAACAACGTCGGCGGTAGGACGTTCGCGCACGGGTGTTCCGTCATCTCCAGAGGCAGCAGAGTCATTGCCTGCCACATTGCTATCTCTCTTGCCTCTAAAGTTTTCTCGAGTTCTCATTAAGAGGCCGGCACCTTTGGCAGTGACATCTTCGAGGATATCTTTTGGGGGGGGCTCCTTCCCGTATACCGTCTTGATTTCGTAGGCCGCCAAATTCTTGTAAAACTTTTCCTTGAGCGCAAAGGCTGTCGACGCTTCGTTGTTGGAGAAGAGACCGAGTTCAGCAGCCATGCGACGCCACGCCAATTTTTCTTCCGAGACTTTGTCGTAGCCGCCGCTAGCAACAATATGGTTGAAAACTTTGTAGAGATCGAGATGAATCAGACCAACCTTGGGCTCGGGGTCCAAGACGGTGCCACGGTTGTTGTGAAATTCCTTAAGCTTCTCCATGAACTCTTCATATTCTGGCGTACGGTCGATGGAATGAGGCGCCACCTCTTCACTGGAAGTCGCCATTGTGATAACGGCTTCAAATTAGAAGCGAGCTTCCAGAGAAATCTACTTCTGGTTGGTCGAGGGCGGCGCAAGACGGGCGTTGCGCGCAATCCGCGAGTTGGACGCGCTCGTATCCGCCGCTGATATGCGGTTGAAAGTCGGATGGTCGCGCTGGCCTCGTGCGCCAATTGCGATTGGGCAAGGTCAGGATGCAGATGCTATCAAAGGTTGTGCTGTACTTGACGGGCGCATAGCTAGCTCGAAAGTGACAGGGAGACGTGTTGCGCGCTGGCGCGACGAAAATCAGGCGGGCAGACTCTGGCTCCACGTGACCCACAGCCAATCGGCAGCTCTTCCGTCTTGAGGCAAGAGCAGATTGTCGCTGTTTGCATTGGTGAGAAACAAAGAAATCATCCAAGACGAACATCTTCGTTGCGATTTGGTCAAGATACATCTCGTACCCGCAATTCGCCGTGATCGAGTCAGTACTGCACCATGGCGCAGCAAGCTCACCCAGTTTCGTACGCGCCGCTCAAGAAGTTAGAGCTCAAGACTGGCTCTACCTACAAGGTGTTTATACCAAATCACAATGCAAGGCAAATGTCATTCTCATTACAGCGATTTCAACCTGGCTCCTCAAATCATGACGTTCTCATACTTGTGGTCCATAATGATAGGAAGCCCCTCGTAAGCAATGAGCCTGGGAGTCAATTCTCCTGCTAACATCAGTCAGATTTCCATTCGATTGATGGATGTTTTGCGGAATCCAAGCATTGCATCCAACGTGATATCAGCCGATACATCAACGTCTGTCATATGCGTAAAGATACCTAGCCCAGACTGTACGATTTTCGCACACTTCGAGGAGGCCAGAGACTGCCATGTCTGCCTCTCCGTGCTCGAAGGAGTCGGTTTCCCTATAAGCAGCAGCCTACAATCTTCGTCTATTAGTCTAGTCGACCCGGCTATTCGCACAAGCTCGGATAGTATCGCACCGATGAGATTATCCTCAGTCATGAGCTTCCCGTCCTCGCGCCAGCCCGAGCTCTCCCCTTGCGGCCAACTCCCGCGAGTCGCCAGCAATAGCCTCGTTGATCCGTTTAGCAGCTATTCGCTACAAAGAACAGTCTCGGTTCCGTCACAAAACTTCAGTAGCTCATTGATGTCAACTACAGCGTCGCAGCTTCCAGTCGACCTCAATCCTTACAACCACTTCGCCCCCGACAGGCCCGCGCCACTCGGTAATCTCTCTTCACAAGACGTATATTTAGGGGATTCACATGTGGCAAATACTAGACTGGAAAAATTGCCTTGGAATCCAACACCAAGCATGACGCCAGCAAGATCGAATCCACCGCCACATCAGTTTCTCCCACCACACAGTGGCAATACTAGTATGAGAAGCAGTCTTGCCGTAGAACAACTAGACCCCGACGCTCTTTGCAAAGCCTCCGACTTCCGACAGTACATGCCTCAGGCGCGCAGTCTACCTTTCACGAAGACCAGTCGCAAAGTAGGGGAATCCAACACTGCCACCACGTTTAGCGCTACCAAGCGCAAAACCGTCGGTAATGCGGATTTGAAAACGGAATCCGATAAGGATATATCTGCTAGTGTGCCAGGCAAACGGCAAAAGGCTACCAAAAGGTCGGCAGAAGCCCAAACGGATGCATCGCGCCGTCAAAAATCGGCACGAGTTGAAAGCCAGTCAACCGGCGACCGCAAGATCGTAAATAGAAAACGTACAACAGTAGCAACATTGCCAGCGCAGAAGAAATCACCCGCAAAGAAAGCTAGCAAAAGCTCTTCGTCCAAAGTTACATCATCGACCAAGACAAGGTCACCGGATGTGGCTCCGACTGCAAAACAGAAAGGAAAAAGGTTGACTGCAAAGAAAATACAGCATGGGGAAAAGGCCACGAAAGTCACAGCGTCAACACCATTTGCAACGAGCGCCGCGGCTAGCGTCATGAGCGCGGCTAGTTTCAAAAGCACCAACTGTACAGAGATATCCCCACCGCCTCTGAATGTATCAAGAAATTCAAAGAAAGGCACCAGTACCGGATCAAATCTTTCTAGTCAACATCCAGGATTGGAAGCCGGGTCTGATTCTACGCTCCTAGTAACAGAAGCGACGGTTCTCGATGCTCTGAACAAGATGACGTCGAGAATAATAGATCAGTACGAAGCAGATATCGAATATGGGCTGAACCGGTTCGAAATCGCCCAATACTATGTGGACAATCTATACAACACTCGCTTGGAATTTTGGTATGATAAATTGACAAAGTTGGGGGGCACATGCTCTCCATGTCTGGCAGCCAATATCGTAGGCACCATGTAAAATTTATTTGAAAGAACCTTTACATCATGGACTTGAAATAAATAATATTGCTTGGCTCGACGGCTAGCGTCTCATGACTCACTTAGTCCGGCGCATTTACTAATAAATTGCAAACTCTACATTTTAATATTTTCCAACAGCCGTCTTCCCGTGACTTCGTAGACAGAGTCTCCTTCCTGGGTGCCTGCTCTGAAATATTTCATCCTTCCTGGGTGCCTGCTCTGAATTATTTTCTCCTTACCCATCACTTCCTCTTCCTACCTACCTAGGTGCCTTTGGGTATTCCTGGTGCTCTTTCACTCTATCGTCGGTAACTTGGCGTATGTATAACAAGGTTGTACAAAACGGCATTTCTGCTTGTATTGCTTTTTCGTTAGCAATAACGATCAGCCAGTAACAAACCCCGGTCTGCATCAGCCATCGACTCGGTCAGAAACTCGCCAACCAAGGCTACTACGAGCCGGCTTGTATCACCCATCCCTAGTTTTCTGATCACCTCCGCCGGTACCCTCAATACAGCGGCACATCAAGCATCCTTGCGCTCCATCGGCGGTTAATTTGATCAGTCTGCATCATCTACTACTAAGCATTTTGCATTCTGTACTTTTTTCAAACGTCTGCATCTCTTCTCTCCGACATCGGACCCTTACGACAACGATAAGCCACGACGGGAACCGCATCATGCCGTCGTCCATGGCGCTACGAAGCAGCCGCTCGCCACCTTCTCAGGTGAAGCCGGCTCAAAAGATTATGGAGCATACCAACCGCGTTAAGAAGCGGTCGAAAAAGCAGTCGAAAAAGGAGTCGAAAAAGCAGTCGCAGGCTTCTCTCGACGTCAAGAACCCTGCTAAGAAGCTCTGGGTCTGCCGCCGCGACGGCCGCTGCGAGCTCTTCCCCGACATGGACCCCGACGACGTCAGCGTCGCCCGCGTCAGTGCCCAGTTCCGGCTATTTCAGACCATCCAGGCGCAGGCCGACGACAAGCCCGACCACGTCCTCCAGTGGGGCGAGTCCCGGAACGATGGGCTTATTGTCTGGAGCAAGTTCGCCTCCAAGACCCGCCGCCGCAAGGGCAAGCTCAGCTTCGTCGTGCCCGTCGACGGCAACACGGACCATGAGCTGCGAGAGCGCCTGGTCCGCGCCATGGAAAAGGCCTGCGCGAACCCAGAGGGCCGTCTTCACAGACTCGGCTACACAAGGGTCATCGAGTACAGCAACGTCGACAATGAGGTTGAATGGCACATTGTCAAAGCACGCAAGCCCTCCACGCGACTAAATTCGACTCCGGCCGCCATGAAAGCCTAGAAGGCTAAAAATGGATACTGGGTGCCTTGGTAATGGACAATCACGTCTATCGCAGTTTGGAATCACGACGATGGCAGAAGCGTCTTGAATTTCAGCTACAATGTGGTTGAGTCTTTGCCTTTGTTCACCCCCCCCCCCCCCCTGGGTATACTCTCTGTGTTTTCTTTTCTGTTTTCGTTGTCTTTATTGGATTTCTGAATCTCTTGTGGCTTTCTTGGAGGACGCTGTGACTCATCGCTGTCTATTTGGATGGCGTCACTGTTTGTGCTTGTATTTCTTTGTCTTGATACCCCAGTGCCAGCTTTACCGTTGGCCTTTTTTTGTAATGGTAGTGAGTTTATTGTTTGTTCTAGAGATACCCAGGTAATAAAATTCTGCGCATAACTTTCGAGGTTCAATGAAGTATTACTTTGTCTTGAGGAAGGTTGCAGATGTCAAACACTTGCACACTTGTCCATTCTCTCCTCTCTTTCACCAACCAGGATCTGTACGCCACCACGTTACGATTCCGTTGCGCAAGGGTCAATATAATCAATTCTGTTCTAATCATTTTCATTACGAACCGACGTCTGCGTGAGCAGCGGCTCGTCCAGAGACTTGTCATCAATGAAGAATGCTCGCAGTTCTTTCTTTTTTTCCTCGTCATATTCATCATCGATCCTCTAATCTGACCTCTGGCCATGCTTCAGCAAAATTTCATTTCATCTCAGAGCTAGCGAGAAGAAAGTAGCACCGGTCCGTCGCTAGGTCAGATTACTAGACTGCCAGCTTTCGTGGAGGTGAAATGGTATCATTCTCGCTAACAAACTCGTCAAAGGAGAAATAGTAGACAGAAGGAAGAACAAACAAGAGACAAGAAACATGAGACAAGAAACAAGATCAACAATGATGAAGAAAACTTCGTTGCCCAAAACAAAATCTGCAAGACCGTGAATCAGGCCAGGATAAAAAGCATGGCACATCAACTCATTTTCCTCCCTGTTCGACCTACGCCCTCATCTTTACGTAATTGCTGGGGAATATACCGTGCTTTGTACCAACCATGCCGGTCCTATTTGTTTCTTGTTAGCGTTTTCTGTTCCCTGCGAGAATGGACGAGACGAGTCATAGCATACCACCAGTCATTGTCGCTGTCCGTCTTCTTCAGTACCGTGATAACGTCGCCCTTTTTGAAGCCCAAGTCGCCGGGCTGATCGGCGTCAAAGTTATAGAGCGCAATAGCCTCGTTTTTGTTTAGCGAGGCGGCTGTGTTGAATGTGGGTTTCGGGGCCGAGGGGCGGCCGGGGCCCTGCTTGCGGTCCGAGGGCGGGTTGTCGTAGTAGCCATTGTTGTTGCTGTTGTGGTGGTTCTCGGTAGCGTGGTTCGAGGAAAAGGTGCCTGCTCTCGCCGGGGCGTTGTAGCCCGAGGGTCGGTCGTAGACGTCGTCTTGCCAGGTGCTCGTCCGTCGGGGGCCCGCCGGCCCGTTGCCGCCGGCGCCAAAGTCGTCGCGGCTGTCGCTGTAGGTGGGCACATCATTGTACATGGACTCATCGCTCATGCTGGCGCCGCCGCGCATGCCACTAAAGATGCGCGAGTTGAGGACGTTCATGAGCGGGCCGGCCTGCGGCGGGGGCGAGACGGCGCCGGTGAGGAGCTGCTGGGCAGTGTACCGGGTACCGTAGAGCTTCTCGTTGGCGTCGCGGCGCTCGATGATAGCAGATCCCTCGAGGGAGACACCAGCAAAGAGGCCCTTTGTCTTGGAGTAGCTAAAGATGCCGGCGACACTCTTGAGGGAGGCGGCACCGGCGGCTTCGGCGTTGCGGCCGACGGGGCCGGCGGCCAGGGACACGTTGCCGCCGAGCGTAAGGGAGCCGGCCTGCGCAAAAGTCTTGACGGCGCTGGCATCATTGAGGATGAAGACGAAGTCGGTCAGCTCAAACCCGATTTGGCCGCCAAATCCGGCGCCAGCCGTGGCAATGGCGCTGGGCGCGCTCCAGGAGCCGTCGGGTAGGCGCGCGACGACGAGGCCACTTCCGAAGCGGCCGGAGCCGAGGAAGCCGGCCTTGAGCACGGTGATGATAGCCAGGCCCTTTGCGTTGGCGAGGATCGAGGGCGGAATCACCTTTTCGGGGCCAAAAGCCTGCCGCGGGTTGACGAAGGAGGCGAGAATCTTGCCGCACTTTTTGCACTCCGCTGCAGCAGAGGGAAAAGGGTTACGAGGTCAGTACTGATCGTTATTAAGCAAGATGGCGAGTTCGCATTTGGATTGTGCGCGGCTTGGCGCGGGCAAAATGGCCGCACGCGAGGCCGCACGAGCGCACACGCTCGCGCACAAGTAGGTGACTTCTGTCTACTCACATTGCAAGTTGGAGGGGAGGGGGTTATTGATGCCCATATTTGCGAGTTTACGTGTCAAGGATACAAGAGTTGTTGAAGAGGGATTTGGTAACGTTCGCTCGAGAGGTCGAACCTGTTTGGACCGAACAGGACAGCTATCGTTCGTTCAAAAGGCCGCGTCGAAGTTCGGCCGAATTGGTTTGTGGAGGCGGGGTGAAACGACGGGTGAGAGCCCTGCGCGCGGAGGAGTCGCTTTACGATATTGGAGTGCGACGGAGATTGGAGGAGGGGCGACGAGGGGTTAGGTCGGGAGGTTTAAAAATCACCAAGAATGAATGGCTGCTGCGCAAAAAGAAAAAAAAACACAGAAATGTTAAGAAGGGAGTTTCAAGGAAAAGAAGGGCAAGTGTGCTGAAGACAGAGGTGGTGCCAAAACCCGATGTCATTGAAGAAAGGTGGTGCCCAGCCCGCCCAGCCCCGCCACGCTGGGCTGGGGCCGCGTGGATTGTGGCGGTGCGCGACAATGGACGGCGGCGTTTGAACCTACAATGGCAGCGAGACGTCACAGCAAGTTATCATGGCCAGGACGTAAGATCAACGCGATTCGAGTGTCGGTGCATTCTCGCTCGCGTTCACAATGTCCGGCTGCTCGGGGACACTTTTGTAGTCTAGACTCGGGGCGTGGTAAGCGAACCGCTGAGGATATTGGGCCTTTGAGTGGTGACGTTATCGCCGCTGTAGTGTTTAGCAGTCTGTGCCTGCAAAAAGGTACCTAGCGCCGCTGGGGGCCAACTTGGCTGTTGCGCCTGACTGTGGCTGTTCCAGCGTACCTAGGTAGGTAGTGCATCGGGGGTGGCTTTACGTTTCGGCATTGCTTCATGCACCTCTTCCCTACCACTCTACACACCACCAATCACCAAAAGACACAGTCATCTGCAACGACCAAGACGCCCGGCGCGGCTGAATCAGCGATACAAGCACACATCTGCCTATTATTCCTTTACCCGCGATACCGCCAGCGGCCATCCTCCATCCATCGAGATCCAAACCGCCGACCCCTTCCCCCCCAGACGCCTCCTTCTCCAACCTCGGCACAATACACACGGCCAACGACCAATACCCCCGTCATCCCTCATCAAACATCGCGCGCCTTTAACCAGGGCGAAACAAAAAAGATACAGCAAGCGCCGCCGCCGCCGCCGCCGCCATGTCCGAGTCCTACGAGCGCGAGCGCCAAAACAACTCCCGCCTGGACGAGCTGTCAGCCAAGGTGTCGGCCCTGCGCGGCGTCACCATTGACATTTACGATAATGCGCGCGCGCAAGACGTCATCGACAACACGGTACGTTTTCTCCCCCCGGCGCCTCCATGTCGAGGGCTCCCTCGCCAACCGGTAGAAGACTTCGTCTTGCTAATTTGCCCCCCCCTCGTGCTCCTTTCTAGTCCGAGACGTTCTCCTCCATGGGAACCCAGATGCGAGGCTCGGCCGGCCGCCTGACGCGCATGGCCGCCTCGGGCAACAAGGTCGCCATCCTGAAGCTCTCGGCCATCTTGATTGGCGTCTTCATCTTTTTATACTATGCGGTGCACATGTTTCTCTAAAGTGGAGATAGAAAACACAAGCACAGCCGAAATACGCAATGATGGGGTGCGAAAGAGGCGAGACGACAACAGAATACCTACGGGCGTCGTACGGAGGAGATTTAGTTCACGCTACATTGCACCGGGCAGTAGAGACTCGAGTATAGTCTATGAATGAGCCGGTACGAGTGTCGTCCCGAACTAGGGGGGCGCAGGTTATATATCCACGGGCATCGGTACGGCGTTGATCCTATTTTTAGTATTTCGAAATCCTCGGTTGAATATACAACAGTCTTTTTAGTTTAAATTCGTTGCATTTTTTTTAACTTCCATTCTTCTCATTCTAGTCCAGTCCCTTCACTGCAACAGCTTCAAACATTCGCGAATTTCTTCTTCTTTCTCGTAGCTATACCGTATACCTAGGATACTTGGTTATAAAAGAATACGCAAAAAAAACGCCCCGTGTACATGCTTGCCCACTCCCAAATGCCCTCCTTGTTTTCCGCCCGTGTTTATAAACGAAAGTATGCAAACCCCCAGAACCAAGATACGAGACCCCTCTCCGCTATTCAAGGAAAGTGCCTCCCCTCCTCTATCAGCGACTTATTCCTGGCTCTACTGCCAAACGTTGGAAAAGAGATCATCGTCACCACCAAAGCCCCCAGCCTTGGGCGCGGCCGACGTTGTCGTCGTCGTCGTCGTCTGGCCGTCCATGCCGGTGCTGCTCGCCCAGCCACCAAACTCCTCATCCGCCGTCACCTTGGGTGCGGGGCTGAAGCCGCCACCCGTGCCGGGCACAATAGCCGTGTTGGTAAAGGCACTGCTGCTCATGCTGCCACCCCAACCCATGTCGCTGCTGACAGCAGGCTTGCTGACCACCGCCGCCGCAGCGGGGTGGGGTGCCGCGGGTACGGGCGGGGTGCTGGCCGCCGCGGGTGTCGCCCACTCATTGCCGCCCCAGGCGTCGAGGCCAGACAGGCCGCCGCCGCTGAAGCTACCTCCCGTGTTGCTGGTGGCGACGGCGGCGGAAGCGGGCTTGCTCTGCGGTGCCGAGAGGTTGAAGACGGAGCTTGTGGATGCGGGCTGCTGCGGCTTCTGGTAAGCGGTGGGGGAAATGGGCGGCGGCGAGGACTGCGACACGGGGGCCGACAGGTCAAAGAGATCGCCCATGGCGGAGGAAGACGACGTGGTAGCCCGCGCGGGTTTGGAGGGAGCGGGAGCGGAAGCCACGGGGCTGGCAAAGTCACCGAAGCCACCGCTAGACGAGGCTGCGAAATGGCTGTTGTTGCTGTGGAAGCCGCCGTGATTGGTAGCGGACTGCGGCGGCGCGGGCTTGTTGTCGAAGAAGCTACCGCCGCTCAAACCGCCAAAGGTGCTGGTGCTGCTTTGGGAGGCATGCTGTGAGGCGCGGTGACCGCCGCCCAGGCCGGCAAAGGGGTCCGCGGCCTGCGGCTTCGGGCTCGTCGGGTTCGAGAGGCTCATACCGCCGAATGCATCAGAGAACCCCCCCTGGGAGGCTTGCTGGTGGTGGTGGCCCATGGGTGGCGAGCCCCAACCGCCGGCCTGCTGGCTGTTTTGCTGCTGCTGTACCTGCGGCGGCGGCTTTGGCGCGGCAGCGTATAGTGACAGGATGGACTGTTTCAGGTCCGGCCGGGACTGCGCTTGCGCCGCCGGCGTGCTAGACGGCCGAGGGGGCGCCGAGCTCTCGCCCAAGAAATCGAGTCCCAGCAGCGAGTCCTTGGTCGTTGTCGTCTTTGGCGGTGCCGGCGCCGCTTTCGCGCGAGGCGGTCCAGCATCCGCGCTGCCGCCACCACCACCACCAATAAGGTCCCCGACGGTCGACGGCCGGTCGACCGAGCCCTTGCGCGCCGTCTCCTTCTTATCCACGACCTGCTTTTCCCGCACGAGGCTCAGCGGCACGTCGTCGTCGGCGTCGGCGTCGAGCGTGGCCGGGTCGGGAATCGGCCCGTCCATGACCCAGCGCTTGAGCTCGTACTTTGTTCGGATAAAGTTTTCAATCTTGGCCTCGGAGGGTGCGTGGCCGGCGGCCAGCTTGGCCTCCCAGTACTTGTTGGCGCGCGCGTTGCCCCAGCGCAGCACGCTCTGCAGCTGCTCGTCCGTCCACGAGTCGAGGTCGACCGACTTGACGCGCGAAATGTGCGTGCCCATTCCGCGGTGGATGCCGGAGCAGCGGATGCAGACGAAGACGCCGAGATTCCAGCTCGCCCATCGGGGGTCTGTAGGCGCACCGATAAGGTCAGCATATGGGGTTTTGTTTTTCGTCCTGGTCGTGGTGCTGGCTCAATGGGCGCGGTGTGTACCGGAACCGGGTTCACCTACGCTTGTTCTTCTTGCAGTCGGAGCAAATCTTGTTGGCCTCCAGCTTCAGCAGGTTCTTGAGCGTCACCAGGTTCTGAGCCGCCCGCTCGGCCGCGGGGTTGGGCGCCCGTCTCGACATCGTTAGGTTCCGTGTGTGTGTGTGCGTGGGGATGGGTGTAGATTGTATCCGGAGTGAGGTGCGAGAATGATTGATAAATTGTATCGTGGAAGTGCCAGATTTCGGGCTAAGCTGTTGCCTGGGGACGAATGCCGCAAGTGTTTGGTCTGGTGCCCCTTGAATTATGTGACTGCCTGGGCCTTGGGACACATCCCACCGCTAGTAATTTAGCCACGAGCCGAGTCGCTCCATCGAGAGCTGTGGCGTATGAGTGGCTGGATTTCCACGGCCCACAGTCACAACGGGTTTACCAGTTTGTGAACAGGAACGGGGAATTCTCTTTGTTCTTGTAAATTATTTTGAAATCACTTCTTCTCCTAATCACTTGAGATTGATTAAATGTATCTATTGCTACTCTTTTTCCCTCGATTTGGAAACTTGTGATGAGGTCATCGACCGGTTTGGAGCAATGTTCGCGGTGGCGACATTGCAGTGGGTATACATACCCGTGGCTGAGGCCGAAGCCACCTTAACTTGCAACAATTGATTCCTCAACCTCTAAGCTCTGATTTGTCACTCCAAGTCTAGTTATAAGACAAGCTCAATCTCATCCATCTTGCTTCCTTCTTGCTTCTCAGGCTCCTACATCACCCTATTCCCCTCATGAGATTTAGACCAGTCTTTGCGACATTTGTCCAAACGCTCTCTCACTTTAGACTCCGTACCCCGCCGCCACGAGCCGGGTTGAGTACATTCCATCAAACAATCCCGTTACGTTCCATGTCCGGCATCCCGTTTTTGGGGGCCCTTTTCGGATCATCAGCTTCCAAGTCCTCTGACGACATGTCGTACCCCGATAAGCGAAGCAACGACGAGTGGCGAGCCGTGCTGAACAAGGGTATGTAGCACAGCCATGCCCCCCCGCATATCTCATCTCATCTACAACCAGATGCTAATCAACCCTCCCGCAACAGAGCAGTTCCGCGTCCTGCGCGAAAAGGGCACGGAGCGCCCCGGCACCGGCAAGTACGACAAGCACAGCCCGGACGCGGGCGTCTACACCTGCGCTGGCTGCGAGGCGCCCCTCTACAAGGCCAACCACAAGTTCCAGTCCGGCTGCGGCTGGCCGGCCTACTACGACAGCATCCCCGGCGCCGTGACGCGGCACGAGGATCGCACGCTCGGCATGGCGCGCACCGAAATTGTCTGCACGAACTGCGGCGGACACCTTGGCCACGTCTTCAAGGGCGAGGGCTACGCGACCCCGACGGACGAGCGCCACTGCGTCAACAGTGTCAGCCTCAACTTCACCGAGGATGAGAACAAGACCAAGGAAAGCAAGGCGTGATGGGCGGCCGTGAAAGGCATATTGCAGGTGTGTTGCAGATGTATTATGATGTAGATTGAGTTTTTCGCGTTGAGAAAATTGAAGCGAGGTGTTGGGGTGAGGCGGCTGAACTTGGCAGGTTAGGATCAGAGCAGACTATGAATGACATTTCTCCGACAAATCCATGATACACCTCTCGTTGTAAATAACATTTCGTCAATCTTGGCAAGTGGAAGTGTGCACACAAGTGGGCCAGCGGCCAGAATAGAAGGCTCACGCTTGAGCCATTAAAACGGTGCTTCACGCAAGAAAGTACCTAGGTTTCCAAGATTTCTCAATACTTTTCTCAAGGGCTGGTATCTAGCTCAGCTCTCATCGTAGAGTGAATCTTAATCTCATGCTTTTTTTACACTCCAACCCCATCTCTCACCGTCAACTTTTCTGTGTGCAATGAGATTTCTCCCCTTCTGGTAGTAATCGATGCTCTAAACATAGAAAAGGGAATTTTGTTGTCGCTAAATGCCTCCCGCCATGAATAAAAAAGTCCGGATCCCACCAGTTCGTCCCTTTTCCATGGCCTCCCCGATATACAGTGAGCGGAGAAAGGGGGAGATATCATGTTGTATAAACAAAAAGAAATGGCCAACTGCGAGCGCCGAGGAAAATCAACGGCACTACAGGCTTTGTATCCAGGCACTTCGCTATGAATAGGGCCTATGATTCAGACCTTGCAAACGCTTCCATGCCCAACATTCCACGCATTCAGACACCAGCCGAGAAAATATATATGATCAACTTATCCAAGACATCAAGTTGGTTTTAGAGCTTGCGCGCCTTTTCTTGGGCTCGTTGTTCACGCGCAGATCGAACGAGAGGTGACAGCTGTCCAAGTTCCACGCATAGCTTCATGAAATCGTGCTGCAATGCCTGTCAGTAACGTGCATAGGGGCTGGCATGCCAGGGAAACTCACTCTAAGCAAGTCATGAGCGCTAGCTCGCTTCTCGGGATCGACCTTGAGAGCAAAGTATAGAAAGTCTCTGAAAACGTCTGATAGTTCACTCTCATTTTTTATTTGCGGAGTACCATTGGTTGCGATCAGCCACAAGGCGCGGAGAGGTGACTCGGTAAGGTACGGAGGCTCGCCCTCAATCATCTCAATGGCCATGATACCAAGTGACCAAATGTCCACTTTGCGGCCGTACTCTTTGCGAGTGACAACCTCGGGTGCCATCCAGTAAGGTGTACCAACCATGGTCGTGCGCTTATTTTGCGCTTCATTGATCGTGGCACAGAAACCAAAATCAGCTGTTCAGGTCAGCAACGGTACAAGGAACTGTCAGGAAAGGTGACTTACTCAGCTTAATATTGCCCTCGTTGGAGAGTAGAATGTTGTCCGACTTGATATCACGGTGAATGACTCCCTTGGAGTGCAGATGTTGTAGACCCTTGAGAGTTTCGCGACAGACCGAGGCAATTTGCCCTTCCGTCATGATGTTAAAGGTCACAACATCTGTCAAGCTTCCACCCTCCATAAACTCCATAATCACCCAGAGCTCACCGCCAGTGAGAAAGCTGTCGATGAAGTTTACAATGTTTGGATGCGAGCTCTCCTTCATCACAATGATTTCGTTGATGATCAGATCCTTCTTAGGTTGTTGCTCAAGATTCATTTGCTTGATGGCAACCAACCGATTGCTATTGCGCTCATGCCCGGTGTAGACACCGCCAGATGCGCCCTGACCAATCTTAGTTAGGCCTCTAAAGATCTCACGGGGATCTCCTTCGCTACATATACGCTTGAGCGCTGCAACAATGTCGATGCCGTTACTCTGTCGTGAGCGGTGGCGAGGTCGTGCCTGTGGGTTTGGAGTCATGCCAGGCTGATGACGGGCTCCATTGGCTTCGCGTGGGGAGTATCCTGCAGCGATAGGGGATGGCGCCTGGGCAGGTAGCCTCTTGCTAGGAGCGCGTCCGATCTGACCAGCCATGGCTCCTTGGGCCTGGGCGATGGCCTGCTCGTGTTGCTGTTGAATCATTTGCTGCTGTTGGAGAAGCGTGGGCTGTGTAGCAATTGGTGAACCGGTCTGCTGAGGCGAGAAGGGCGCAGGACCAGTGACTCGCGAGTTTGAGCGAGATCGATGCTCCTCGGGTAACATGGGTCCACTGTCGGACTCGTTGTTCATGATGCCGATACCCGAGTCCTTTGGCGCAGTGTATGCATTTGGTGGGGTAGCACGGTTACCCATACTGACGGGCGGCCGTGGTGCAGGTCGGCTAGGCACCATGTCTTTTGATAGTGGTAGGCCAAGGCCTTTGGCGGGAACAGGAGGTGCAGCTCGGGGGTTCTCAAAGCTTCCTGTGCCATGGTTAGCAGGAGTTGACAGGCGAGGTATAAAGAGAACAGCCACGTACCCATATAGTTGGTAGGATACATGGTTGGTGATGCGGAATTCGAAGGGTTAGGGCTGGCGTATTGCGATCGGTCCGCCGCATGGCCGAATTTTTCGAGAACCTGGTCCTCGGGGGCCTTTTCAGTGGTCTCTTTATAGAACTGAAGAATGTCGACCATGGTTTGGGGGTTCTCGCGGCGCTCTTTTTCGGGAATACCACTTTCGTTAATTAGCCGTTGCCATTCTTTGGGCAACCCCTTCGTAACAAGTTAGCAAGCGTAATCACCAGTGTGGTTGGTGGGCGGGGTCGATGGCATACCGTGAATTGGCCAGTAGAGCTGTCGTAGCCTACATGGGTGACGTGAATGGGGTTCTCTGGTGCGGAAATCATGGGCTTCTTCTGGGAGCCGACTAGACTGTTCACAAAACCAGACAGGCCCGACTTTTTGCGAACGGTAGGCGGCTTAGAAGGAATGCCGCCAGACTCGTCTGAATACCTGTTGGGGGTGGCGGCCGGCGCCGTGCCCGACTTATCGACGAGGGTGACACTTGAATCCATAGTGGTGACGCTGTTCGAGGGTCGAAGAGGGGGTTTGGGCTTCTTTGCACTAACGGCACGAAAAATGGGTGCAGCAGCAGCACGAGCAACGACAGTCGTTGTAGGAGACGATTGTTGCGGCTGGGCGGGGAGGGATGTGCGTAGACTGGTAAAGGTGGTAGTGGCTGAGGTGTTGGCAGTGTTGGCAGTGTTGGTGGTGGCGAGGGTCGAGCCGACAGCGGGTGAGAGAGCGGCGGTCGGCGGAGGATTGTACGATGCCGACTCGATGCTGCTCAGGATAGCGGCGCCGTCAAAAGGAGCGCCAATGAAGTCGTCGGCGACGGGATTTGGGGGTGCGGGTGCGGACACGGGTGCGGGCTGGCGAAACTGAAGTTCAGGTTGCAAGGACGGACTGTTGCGGTAGGGCAGGCGTGAGGAAGAAGAGGACGAGGGTGCGGCGGCGGCAAAGTAACCCTGCTGCAGCAGCGGCGATACATTCGAGGGCTGAGCCTGGGAGGGATGCCGGGGCGAGGGCGAGGTCGAAGCAGCAAAGGCACCGGCGATGGTGTTGCTCGGTCGCACGGGCGGGGGCGCGCTGGGTGTGCGACGGAGACTATTCGATGAGCTGCGTTTGCTGTGGATGGAGTGTGCGTCGTGGGCGCTGTCAAGGCCGGAAGAGGAGCGCGAGTAATGATGGGACGACTTTTTGACCAGACGGCGACGCTGCGAGGAACTGCTATTGCGGTGGGACGTGTTCTTGGTGTCCATGTTGGGGGGGAGGAAAAGAGAGGGCAGGATGGGAGGAAGAAGCAAGAGAGCGGCACCAGGTGGATAACAGGATGCTAGTAGGTTAGTAGGTAAGGTTAGGTAGGGGAAGAAAGGTCTCAGAGCAGGCCGGTATCTGTTTGCCGGGTGGGCTGTTGCTTTTCGCAGAGAATTATTAAGGCAACCGGGACTGGGGACAGTGGGATGTGAATCGGACGAGAGAGGGAGCGTGTGGGTGTGGATGGATGGATGAGCGTTTCTCACGAGGATTTTAGTTTGTTTATTAGATGAAGGTTGGGGTGGTTTCGGTGGATGTATTGGGCCAGGTTGGAGCTTTTCTACTGGCTCAAGTACAGGGCTTACAGAGGGGTACCTGCAAGTTTGGTGGGCAATTCAGGTAGTGGCCTCGGCGGCTTCCAGTGATTTCTTAGTGGGCTTGCAAGTTGCAGGACTCTCATGCAGCGCCAGTTGGCAAAGTGCCAGCGACATGGTTGGTCGCACAATTAGAGGTAGGTACCTCTCTCTACCTGGCAAGTACCTGTCCTACCAAATAAGCAGCCAAAAGGTACAGAGAGACACGCGCAAAAGACAACACCGAAAAGATGGCAACAATCCAACTTGACAATCTCTACCTAACTACTAACCTACCTCTATAAGCCACCACTACCGATGTTGGCTTCCATTAATACTGACGACTTCACTTCTTCGACTTCTAGAGCATGCGCACTCGAGTCACAACGCAGTGGAACCGCTCCCAATCGTTACAACCCGGTCCTCCCAATGCGCTATCGCGTTGGCCAAGTACAACGAGGCCACAACATACACGTAGATGTAGTACTGTGTCGCCCGACTGGAGAATCATTATCAAATACTACACCTCGGACATGGGGAAAGGCCTCGAACATGTCAAATTGTACCGCAAATACTGTAGCTTGGCTCCTTGACTGGCAAACTGGCTGCCTCCTGTTCTTGCACTGGGCTGGCCAAACACCCTTTGAATTTCACATATCCTAGGTATCAACACCCGCCGGGGTCCGGCAGCCCGTGCGTCAGGTACAGAATCGCTGCGTTTAGATTGACTTGTCTGAGGTTCTAGGCGTTCATCGGTGCGGGTAGTTGCAGGAGCCTCGGACGCTGAACATCTTTTCTCTACTACAACGTCCCACAGCAAGCAGAACATGATTCAGTACATTGCTTCCGCCCACAGCTTCCCCAGTCATCTTGTACCCGCCCTGTCTGATGATCCTCTGCGCCTTGAGTGTCCCAGCATTCTACAATCCACCAGTGAGTGAGAATGCTGCAGAGAGTGTGAGTGGGCTGGCCTTGCTCCCCACGACTTGCCACAAGTTTGCACCATCAAGAAACTGGAGTACAAACTGGAGCCAGCCAGTAACTGCAAAATAAACATTCACGTACCAAGACGAATTGACAAAGTAGTTACCAGTCATCTGCAGTAAACCGTAAGAAGTAGGATGCGCTAATAATTACTACGGAGTTGACTCCATAGGTACTTTGTGGTGTTGGTGGATCGAGGTGGCTTCTGGCTGTTATTCACGTCTTGTCTTCTTTGTCGCATCAGTCATTGGCTGGAGGCCCGGGTTATCACAGTCTTATCCATACAACAGAGGAAACATGCTCCCTCCTCTCATCTCCTCTTCTGCCGTTGTCTGGTCCACAAACCCCCAAACAGCATTGGCTCGCTTGGCTCGTAGTGTCTGTTGCCCGAGACGCGTCTCACAGTGAGCCAAGACCGGGGGATCGCAAGAAAAAAAAAGGCGAAACACGGACGGGACTTTGGCCCAGTCCTGCGACAGACCCATGGTAGATGAAGCAGATGAAGCCCCGCCAACATGCATCTTGCAGCCGGTGCCATCATTTACAGATGCATGTGTAATGTCACAATGGTACGAATACTGCCGTACAGAGTACTAGCCGTGTGTATGCATGTCTGTGCTGGTCGTATTCCCATGTACAATATATTAACGCATGCCGCCACATTTAGCCTTCCGACAAGCAGAGAAATTGCTCCTGGTGATGGGCATCCTCAATGTTACCCACGACTCTCGATTTATGCGCAACGTTGGTCGCTTGACTTGTGTGTGGGTTTCCATGCTGAATCGAGGCGTTTGGCTTTAGGTAGGAACCACTCTTATTAGTCCGCTATGTACATACTATTACAAAGTACGTTGATAAAGAGTCTTTGCCTAACGTAGATAGGCCTTGTTTGTTTTTCTATCTCGGCTTAATGGCCATCTCTCCCCGTCTTGGCTTTCGACTAGTTAGTTATTTCTTCCAGGTCACACTGAACATGTCGTGATAGGTACGGATACTCAAATTTGTTACGACTTAAGAGATGGCGTGGAGATGAAGGTAGACACGACACCTCAACCTCAACCTCCCTCTATGGCTACAGAATTGTCACTGGTGCCTTTTTGGCAAAGCAGCACTTCATCAGGCACCTCATGCTCCCATTTGTCGGCATAGCTCGGTCATTTCCGCCTTGCATGGCAATTTGCAGTCTGGCCATAGCACACCTAATAATAATACGTGGTCCAGAGGATAACATGTCGGACAGCCGTATGGCAATGGCCGTGGGCCTTGGCCTAGGGAACATCAAGCCCACCCGTGCCATCTTGACACGTACATTGGCAACCTTTTTCATTGCAAGGTTACACAAGCGCCGTATAGAGAGAGGCAGCCAAACGATGGGCTTGGTACTGACGGTCTTTGGGCCCTTGGAGTGTCTTTGGAGGACACCAAATAGCACAAGAGTCAACTTTTACAACGGATCGCAGCTAGACTGTCGAATATCTACGTAGCAAGAAGGGGATTTGGGGTCCAGTTCGTCCATGAATGCCGAGCTATTTCCATCCATCTAGGGTAGCGTCATATGAACCACGCATCTTTCAAAGACGTCTACTCTGGACTTTGTGAGACAAGTGTTGTTGATGGGATATAGGGCGAAGTGAGCGGGACACAGATAGTAAGAATAGTTGCGAAGCTTGGGTTTTTGCTGGCAGCTGAGTATGAAGATCAGTACTAAGATAGTTGATACGATGTCGAGACCGGGACTTGTTTTTCTCGAGGCCGCTCTTGGAGAATTGGATAGACACGTGGCCGTAGTTGCGATTCAAATTGACACTGATTATAACTAGAGGTTTAGCTAGCTACTTCGACTGTTCATTATTTAGAGGCAGGCCGCGGCCGAACCTCGTTTATCTACAAGTTAGGTTGCGACATTTGAGCCTTATTTAGCCAGCGACGGCGAAAGCACCGAAAGCACCAGTGTATCCCGCCTACCTACATACGCGAGTGAGGCCTGTTTTTGGACAGGGTACTAGACAGGTCTCTTTTTTAACAGCTAATTTTCCCCTGTCACAACGCTGTCAGGCGTCTAACACGGCTTCTAAAAAAACATAAAAGATCTTTAACACATAGCAGCAGCCTGACAGCGTTGTGACAGGGGAAAAAAACATGTTGAGTGGAAAACGTGTCCAGTGCCCTGTCAGAAAACAGGCCTCACGCGCGTAGGTATGTACCTAGGTACATACCTACCTCCTACCTGGTAGTGCTACACAGGCTATGAACGAACACTGAAAAGTGCGTACGCCACAGGTGGCAGTGCAGCCCAGGGTACCAGGTACCTGGTACCAGTAAGTCTCTCGCTAGTACCTGTTTTCCAGCACCCTGAATCCGCTGAAAGGTATGCCCCTCTCATGCGCAAGCGCAAAACAGACGGGCGATGAGGTTGCACAGGCGCCGCCGAAACTATAATTTTTCCCTCCAGAAACGAGTCGGGAAACTCTGTAATAAATATAGGAAAGCCCGTACGCTCCTTGAATATAGAAAAGTGACAGGAGAAAATCAACATTATAAATATAGAGCGTGGTAGGATACCATCACTGCCTACCTTACCTACCTCTAGTACCAGGTAGTACCTGGTACCGTAGGTACGCACTGTAATACCCTGCTGGTGAATCTGTCCCCCACTGGCAGCGCACCGCCACCCGCTCAAGCCGCTCGCCACCAAAGCCAAAATAAAAACCAAGGGAGAAGAAAAGTGCTCCATCAGCCGTCGGCTCGCTGCCCGCCCAGGCTAACTTACTAACTAGGTAGGTACCTCACTACCTCGGAGTACCTACTAAGGTACTAACCTAGCAATCCAGCAATCCAAACCCCTGCCCTCCACCAGACTCTGGACGACTCGACTGCGCAACGTGGAGAAAGCTGGAGAAACTTCCACATCACCCTCTAGTTACCACCGTCTGCTCTTCTGCCAACCCCCCCTTTGCCATCACCTGGAATCATCGTCAATTCCTTTGGCATCCGCCTCGTCTCTTGGTCTATTCCTCTGGTCACCGGTTATCGCTATCTATTAGCGTCTGCACAATGTTCTAGGCGCCACCGGACTACACACACAATTCTACTCGAACCGCATCTGATACTTTCGTCCCCTCGAGATTCTGCCCCCGTCCTCATTGGTCGGTCGTCTCTACCTACATTAGACCGGCACTGATATATGTATGTAAATCGTATCCCGACCCGCACCGTGCATCCTTGCATGCTTGCCGCGAGTACCTGCAAACCTCAATGCATCACTCGAAGCTGACCCCTGCCTCAGACAGTGCCTCGCCTCTCTTTGGCCCGCCCCGATTCTGACGTCTAATAATTCGACTCCTCGCCATGGCTTCCGTCGAGCCCGCAAACTCGGGCGAGCTCTCTGCCGCCCAGAAGCTCCTGCAGAAGCATGCTCAGCACATTCCACACGCCGTCACCATTGAGGACGTCCCCGATGCCGACCTCCCCAAGCCAGTCAATGATGCTTCGGGGTCCTGGGCCGCCCCCATTACCTCTACCGCTGCCGGCAAGCAGAAGGAGAAACAGTCTTCGCTCGACACCCAATCACACGAGCTCTTCCCCGAGCTCGGCGCCCCCAAGGGCAAGGCTGCCAACGTCGCCCCTATCTGGAGCGCCAAGAATGGTGCCCCTAAGCAGAATGGCACCAACGGTACTCCTCCGAGCCCCCCTCCTCCCGTTTCTGCTACTGGTCCTACCTCTGCCGGTCAGGTTCCGCCTCCTGTCATGTCTATCCCCGGCCGCAAGGTCGAATCTGTGACTCTCGAGCCTCAGTTCATCATGGAGCGTAGCAAACTCAAGAGACCCATCCCGGAAATCCTGCGAGACCTGAACCGCAAGTCTCGCGCCAACATTACCATGTCTAGTATTAGCAACGGCCGTATCAAGTTCGATGCTACTGGTCCTCAAGATGTTGCTCAGCAGGCACTCAAGGACCTAGTCACTCACATTGGCCGACGCGTGAGTATCATGATGGCAATGTAACCTGACGGCTGCTAACATGTCTTCTAGACTGTCATTGAAGTTCCGATTCCCTACTCCGCTCGCGCACACATTATTGGCAAGGGCGGTTCCGTGATCAAGGCCTTGCAAGAGAAGACTGGTGCCAGGATCCAGCTCCCCAAGGCCGACGATACCCAGCAGCTCGACGATAGCGAGGATGCTACCATCAATGTTTCCGTTGAGGGTAATGCGCTCTCTGCTGCGTCCGCTCGTAACGAGATCCTCAAGATTGCCCACGAGCGCTCGGCCGCTGCCCAGACCAAGGTCCGTGGTATCCCCGCCGCTTTCTATCCTTTCCTCGCCGGCCCAAGCAACTCGCTTGCTCAAGCTCTCGAGGAGGCGCACGGTGTCCAGATTCGCATCCCTCCCCACCAACACCTCAGCTCCGGACCTGCGCCCGTCCCGGCCGCCCCCGGCCAGCGCCCCGTTTTCCACCCCGCTGGCGCCGACGACGAGCACATCCAACTCGCTGGTGATCGTATCGCCGTTCAAAATGTTCGCGCCGAGATTGAGAGACAGGTTGCCGAGCTTCACAAGCAGCTCGAGCTTGAACAGCTGTCGATCCAGCGCGGCCGCCACCAGTTCATTATCGGCAACCGTGGTATCCCTATGGAGGATTTCTTTGCTGATACTGGTTGTGCCATTCTCCTTCCTTCGGATGATGAAGATGACCTGATCACCATTGTCGGCCCCCCCGACCAGGTCCAAGTTGGCGTTGAAAAGGCCATGGATCTTGCCATGGGAATGCAAATGTCCAATATCGACCTGTCCAGATTTCACCGCACTGCCCCCAGCGGTGCGGCTGTTCATGCCGCCAATATCACCCGCTACCTTCGCGAGCGCCGCGAGATCGACCGTATTGAGAAGCTTTACAGCACCCATATCAACACACCATTCTCTCAGGACGGCGCTCTGCCTTGGGAGCTTTACTCGCGAGATGGAAAGAACGCCATCCGTGCGCAGTCTGAGATTACCGGCATCATCAACGGCCACCCGCCCGCTAGAATGCAAAATGTCAATGTCGACCCTTTCTTCCACCAACACCTGCGAGTGGATGTTTCTCCCCGTCTAAAGAAGGAGCACGGCGTGCAGCTGGTTATTCCTGAAACCAGCGACCCTAGCGGCGCTGTGCTACTCGTTTTCGAAGGCCCCAGTGGTGCTGAAAGCGACTATCAGCCGCCTCGTGTGAAGCCCTCCGAAGCTGAACTGGCTGATTTCCAAAAGGGCCTTGCTGATGCCCAGAAGTACATTCTTGACTTGATTGGCCAGCAGGAGAGCCTCACCAGTGTTGCCCTTGATGTTCCCGCCAAGTTCCATGAGAAACTTCGCCGCTTTATTAAGAAGGAGCAGGAGAACCGTGCTGCTAACCAGATCCCCATCCGTGTCACAAAGGCTGGCACTACCGTTACTCTCCGCGGCCCCAGCTCAGCTGTCAATAGCCTTGCCGCCAAGGCAACTGCATTTGTCGAGCAGGAGAAGCAGGACGATAAGGAGCGCGGCTTCACCTTGTCGTTTGAGTTTCCTCAGAAGTACGCCAACCATCTTATTGGCAAGGGTGGCAGTAACATCAAGGAGCTTCGTGACCGCTTCGATGTGGAAATTCAGGTGCAAGATGGCAAAGTTGAGCTGAAAGGCCCTAAGGCCAAGGCTGAGACTGCCAGGACCTACATCCAGAACCTAGGCCGGACTCTGGCTGACGAGACTTCTTACACTCTCAAGATCGACCCCAAGTACCACCGTGAACTCATCGGTACACAGGGCACTCAAATCAACCGCCTTCAGAATCGCTACAAGGTCCTTATCTTCTTCCCTCGCTCTGCGAAGAACGCTTCCGATGACCAGTCCAACGCCGATGCTACAAGCGACGCTGGCAAGGCTCGTCGCCAGCAGGCCCCTGACGAAGTCATCATCCGTGGCCCCAAGAAGGGAGCTGACGAGGCCCGCGATGAAATATTTTCTCTTCACAAATACCTCGAGGAGCACTCCGCAATTGCTACTGTCCCCATTCAACAGAAGCAGGTTGGGTCCCTCATTGGACAAGGCGGTGCAGCTCTTGATGAGCTTCGCCAGCTGACTGGTGCTCGTATCGACGTTCCTGCCGACCGTGATACTGATACGGTGGAGATCTCGATCAAGGGTACCGCCTCGCAGGTCGCCAAGGCCAAGAAGGCGCTCGAGGAGAAGCGCGCTATTTTCGACGACACTGTTGTCAAGACAGTCGATGTCGAGAAGAAACACCATCGTGCTCTGATCGGAACTAGTGGTATGTTGACTTTATTACTTTAATGTGAGCGCTACTGACATGCTACAGGTTCTGCCCTGCGCGATATTGTTGTTGGTGCTGGTGGATCCGATGACCGTCGTTCTCTGGCTAGAACAATCCAATTCCCGAAGCAGGAGGCTGATGGCAACACTATCAAGGTCGAAGGTCGCACTGATATTGTGGACAAGATCATTAAGCGCATCGAGGAAATCGTGGCTGAGCGTGACAGCCAGCTGACTGATTTTATTGACGTGCCTGTCGACCAGCACCGAACTCTTATCGGTCGTGGTGGTGAGGCTAAGCGTCAGCTGGAGACTAAGCTGAGTGTCACTATTGACGTCCCCCGCCAGGGCGATGGCAAGACTGGAGTCAAAATCTCTGGCCTTGCTGAGAACGTGTCCAAGGCGAAGGAGCACATCGCTACTCTCCTTAAGTCGCAAGAAGGCGAGACTCTCCAGATTCCTCGCAACGTTCACCACACCATCTCCAATGGCGGCCAGTTCTTCCGTCAGCTCCGCAACAACCACCAGGTCACAGTCGACCATGCTGGTGAGAAGCTGCCTAGCAAGTCTGAGGCCGTAGCCCGCGAGACTAGCGGCGCTCTGCCTTTGATTACCGACGATGCCGACTCTACTGTCGATGCCCATTCTTGGCGTGTCGTCAAGACGGCCAGCGGCGAGTCTGGCGATATTCCCTGGGTTCTTCGTGGCAGCCCCGAGGGCGTTGCCAAGGCCAAGGAGCTGATTGATAAGGCACTAGCCCAGGCCAAGAAGCAGGATGCTACGGGTTACCTGGTGCTTCCTGACCCCAAGACCTACCGATTTGTCATCGGCCAGGGCGGTTCCAAGGTGAACTCAATCCGCCAACAGAGCAACTGCAAGATCCAGGTGCCCCGTGACCAGGCCAAAGACGAGGCCATTGAGATTATCGGCACGGAGGAGGGTGTTGAACAGGCCAAGGAGCTGATCCTCGCTGCCATCAAGGAGGGCCAGCGAAGCAGAGACTAGGCCGTGTACGAACGACAGCGAAATGTATGAGCTAGCAACTGGCGCAGGCTCCAGTCATTTATATTAAAAGTGATTCAAAGTGACGCCAATCAGGAAGGACACAAACATGATTCCGATAGCTACAACCTATAGAATGTAAAAGATGAATTCATTTATAATACAGCAATTTGTAGTTGATTCACTCGTACAATACATATTTCTTACCAAGTCTTGCCATTCATTCTCTGCTTGTGACTTGTGTGAGGTGGCATGACCCCACCTCAATCGGGTTAACCCTTTTTCACTAACTATTACCTAGCAGGCGACCGTACTTTCCCAACTCACTGAGCTTCCTTTCCTGTCCAACATTCATTTTTCATTTCGAGGGTCCAGCTCACCGGGTAATACTGGCTCATCGACGGATATATCAAGTCGACTGGCCTTCGTAATACGAATCTAGAACAGACGGCGGCAATGGTCTCTGCCGCCCCCATTGCACGGGCGGCACCGTGGGAAAAGGTCCCCGACTTTGACCAACTCTTTGTGCTGATCACAGGAGCAAACAGGTAAATATCACGTTGGGAGATGATTGGAAACCTGATCGGAGCACGCCATAGGCCGAGAATGAAGGAGAAGCGAGAGCAAACTCGAGGACACGCCAATGGAAGCAAGACTCGACGAGGGGCTCCCCCGTCTTGACTCTCGCTGTCGTTTTTGTCCCCCTTAATGCTTGCAAGCTCCCTCTCTCGCTCTTTCTCTGCCGTGTTCTTTCAGCGACTCCGATGCATCTACCAAGTCATTGCGCCGCCTTCTGCAGATGAAATAAGCTAACATATTGTGCTTCCAATGACGCAGTGGTATCGGCCTAGGCATCGCCCAGCGTCTCATTGACGAGTTCCTTGCCACGCGATCCCTCACGTCGCACCTCGTCCTCCTCCCTACGACGCGCAGTGCCAGCAAATCGCGCGAGACAGTTCGCGTGCTGCGCGCATACGCGACCGCCGCTGCGCAGAACCCCGCCCCCGTGCTGCGAAGCCGCGCCGGCGGCCCGGCCGCATATCGCTGGCAGGACACCGTGGCGCGCATCCACATCCTCTCGCCCACGCTGGACCTCTGCGACCTGCGCGGCCTGTACGCGTTCGCCGACACGCTCTGCCGCGGCACGGTCAGCAACCCAGAGGGTCTCGAGGGCGAGTACCTCGTTGACGTGCGCATCCCGCGGCTCGACAGCGTCGTGTACAATGCGGCGTATGGCGGGTGGGAGGGCGTCAACTGGGGCGGCGCTATCAAATCGTTCTTTGTCAAGGGCCTCCTCGAGACAGCCACCTACCCTGATTTCAAAAAGGCGCTGCCGACGTGCATCCTCAACGAGCAATCAAGCTACAGCTATGTACGTGCCATCCATCATCATTTGGGGGCCCCTCTAGGGCGCTAAGCCGGATGGCGGCTCTGTACTGCATGCTAGGGGTGTAACTAACAAGAATCTGATTGCAGCCTGAGAAGCCTTTGCTTGGCGAAGTCTTTACCGCCTGCACGTTTGGGCACTACTGCCTAACGCACAAGCTGCGGCCGTTGCTGAGCCGCCGGCCGGACTCGGTTCTCGCGCCTGGCCGCGTCATCTGGTCCAGCAGTATCGAGGCGCACCGCAACACCTTTGCCCTCGACGACGTCCAGTGCTTCACCCGCCCCGCGGCGTACGAATCGGCCAAGCGCCTCACCGACATTCTCTCCCTCACCAGCACGCTACCACACGTGCAGCCGCACGCGCGTGCGGTCCTTGGCAGCAGCGCCAGCGCCTCAACCACCACCTGTCCCCGCCGGGCTAGGTCAGCACCCTCGGACTCGGAGACGACGGACGTTGACGACAACGCCTCTACCACCACCGCAACCCTCGTCGGCCCAAAAATGTACCTCTCGCACCCCGGCATCGTCGCCAGCACGCTGTTCCCCCTACCCGCCTTCTTGTTCTGGCTGTACGAGTTCGCCCTCGTCCTCTGCCGCTGGTGGGGCTCGCCCTGGCACACGGAGACAGGCTACCGCGGCGCCTACGCCCCCGTCTGGCTCACCATGCAGGAGCAGCCCACCCTTGATGAGCTCGCTGCCGAGCGCATCAAATGGGGCAGCGCCTACGACCGCGCGGGCCTCTCGTTTGTCAAGCCCACCGAGGTAGAGGGCTGGGGCTGGACTGGCGCTGTTGACGCGGACATGGCGGAAGATGACATGACGGGCTCGATGAACAAGCGCTGCGGACGCCGCCATGGCGCTGCGGACGCGACGGCCGAGGACGTGGCCGAGTTTGAGGCTCTGGGGGCTGAGTGCTGGCGTGAAATGGAGCGCATGCGGCATCAGTGGGAGGAGATTTTGGAGTTGTAGGCTGCAAGGTACAATAACGGCGTTGCTTTTACTGTAGAGATGGCAACGAAAATATTAGAGGGGAAAAGGCTGCTTTTGTACAATATTCTTCAACTAACTATTACGAGCTGTAATGCAAACGATGTGTTGCGAATCACGACTATATTTTGTCACTTTTTTTCTCAATTGAATTGGTCAAGGTGGTATATACAACTTCTTTGTAGAAATAAAAGAGTACACACAAGACGAGATCATGCCTGGCACAAAAATCATGTCTCGGGCATCATTCGAGGTATATAGACATGTACAAAACAGCAGTGGATATTCAAGCAAAAAAGGAGGAACAAAAAAATGACTAGATTGCTAAGAAATCACTTTAGGCGTTGCTGTGGATAGATTCTAGGCCGGCCGTGTCGCCCTTGAAGCGGCGCAGAATGATCTTATCCTTGCGGCCGAAGAGTCCGAGCATGAGCGGGACGGGGACGACGACCATGCTGACAACAGCCTGGAAGATGAGATAGCGCTTCATGTTGCGCGGGGGGTTGGCGGCGTCACCGTCGACGAGGTGGTTGCCGATGATAAGGAAGACGGCGCCAAAGATCTGACCGCCAGCCCAGGCCACGGTGGAGGTGACCTCGGGGCCGAGGGGGTGGCTGACCTCGGTGAGGAACTCGAGGGCGACGGGGACGAGAGAGAAGCTCGAGGCACCGAGAACGGCCATGATGACGTATGGGCCGGCAACACCAGCAGCGGCGTGGGTCTCGGGCATCCAGAGGAGGACGAGATAGGACAGGCCGAGGACTGGGATGAGGATCTTGATGGAGAGGATGAGGCTGTGGGTGCGGGCGATGATCGGGGAGGTGATGGCAGCGCAGATGATACCGACGGCGATGGAGACGGCGCCGCCGATGCCGGCCTCGTCGTCGGTGAAGCCGTAGGGGACGAGGATTTGATTGAGGAGCGAGTTAAAAGAGTTGAAGAAGCCGACAAAGACGAAGAAGGGGAGGAGCATGAGCCAGAGCTCGAGGGATGAGAGGATGGCGCGGGCCGAAGAACGGAGCTTAATCTTGGGCGTCTCACCGGTAGGGCCGGGAGGCGAGGGAGGGCGCGCGGGGATGGCGAGAGCGGGCACGCAGGCGGCCGATGCGATGATGGCGACGTAGAGCACCATGTTGGAGACATCACCGACGGAGGACACCCAGAGCGGGTTGATGAGCTGACCGAGGGCGGAGCCGAACGGGTTAGCGAGGGAGGTGACGGCCGTGGCGGCGAGGCGGCCGCGGGTGGTGAACCACAGATCCGAGTAGGCGGAGGGGGCGCCGAGGACAAAGGGCTGGGCGAGGCCAATAACAATGGTGCCGGCCATGGCGTAGCTGTACTGGCCGCCGGCGCGGTCCTTGGAGCCGGCGTAGCGGATCCAGTTTCCAATGAGCATTAGCAGTGCGGAGCTGATGATGGCGATGCGCGGGGAGCGGTGCAGGGCGATGATGGCGGGGACGGTGGCGACGACGAAGGCGAAGAAGAAGGCGATGCTGATCCAGTTGATGTCATTGTTGGAGACGCCGTAGTAGGTGGCCGACTTGTCCGCTACGGGAGCGTATGAGAGCCACTGTGCTTGGTCAGTATGCGTTTCGAATGGGAACTAAAAGAACCAAGGAAAAACCAAGTTAGGGCGCTTTATCACTTACACACCAGGAAACAACGATGTTCATGAGCACCAACTGGACGAGGCCGAACCAGCGGCGCTTGTAGGTGCGGTATTGGGTGGCGGGTGTCGCCGTGGACGAGTCTGTCAGGCGCCTGTCGGCGGTCTGCTCGCGTAAGCTGTAGACGGGCGAGACGGGCTTGCCATCGGGTCTTTGGGCATCTTGGTCCATGATGTGTGGTGTTTGACACGTGCCGTGTCTGTGAGAGCCTGGTTGGCGGCGGAGCGGTGTCCGGGGGGAGACTCAAGCCGTCGAGAGGACAAGCGGTCGGCGGATCGAATGAGACGGCGTGAGAGAATCTACCCAATGTCTCACGCGCCAAAAAAAAGAGACGAGGGCAGTTTGCGGCGAGACCTTGAACTCGGTGGTACTTTTTGCTCCTTAGCGGGCGATTGATCCCAGATTCTATAGCGGAGAGTGGTGAGACCTTGGTGGTAACTGAAGGGGGAAAATATCCGGGGTCAAGACTGATATAATTGCTTGTGGGATTCGCAGAAGTATTTGACAGCCGAATAAAAAACAAGTTTGACCAGCCCAAGGGAAAGGCAAAAAAAAAAGTTTCCGTTTGGCAAGCGGCGGGAACCTAGAATCGAGCGTGGCCAACGTCCTTTCTGGAGGGCGAAGTGGGAAATGGAGCCGACTACTGCAAGCCTTGCAGCAACAGAAGGTAGCCGGGGGGTTGTCCGTCGCGAGGGCCCTTTTGGCGCGGAATTATTTTTAGTGAGCCTTTAGCAGCCTCGGTAGGCTTCAATTTTCCAAGAGGCCGGGGTAATCGGTAAGATATGCTCGGGTGATGATGCTGCTGGTCGATGTTGGAAGGGGGGGGGGGAGGGAGCAAACGGTGGTCGGTATGTAATAGCAGACGAGAGAGGTCCCTGGTCGATCCGCGCTTCGGTGACGGAAACAAGACGGGCTGGGCGGAGGATGGTACCCAACTTCAGCGCAGGGCTTTGGTGATGATAGGTAAATACTATGCTCCGGGGGCCAAGGCAAGAGAGAGAAAAATCGAGGGGTGCGATGAACTGAGAGGAGGGGAGGCGTTTGTGTTTTGTAGCAAACACGAGACCGCCGGTGATGTACCAATGTAGACGGCGCGCGTGAGAAAGAGGAAGGAAAGGGACCGGACGGTTTGATCAGATGGGCCAGCTACTTTTTAGTGGTTTTGTGGAGGAGCGATTAATTTTAGAGTCTGATTTCCCATGCATTATTTTCTTCCTCTTTATCTTACCGTGCCCGCGCAGAACGGCGCTGCGAGAAGAGAAGGCCCCAGGTCAGGTCGTCCGTCTGGTGGTGAGAAGTGTCCATCTCCACTGGGGCATCCACTGTAGATGCGCCCCGTATTTAACGGGGAGCCGGGGGTGGTGGTGCCTTTTTTTAGTGCAAGGGCCAGGCAAGTTGGTGGCGTCAGACAAGATGTCGAGCAGAAATTGTGCGACTTGACACGGGTTTGCCACTTGATAGTAGAGTACACATGTGCTGACTACTTTGGGAAGCAAAAACTGGCCAGTTCAAAACTTCTTCTGGCCCGGAACTATTTCGTCCTGCCAATCCGCGCAACTTGTATCAATAGCGCAGCAAAGGTGCATCAATATTCCCCTCCTTGCCGGGGCCACCCCGCCAGAGGACCTCGCGCTTTCCAGGGAGCACCCGCCTTGCCTGTAATTTGTCTACTTGGGCACTAAAAATGAAAACCTTGCTTCTTGCACCTATATTATTTGTGGTGCAGGCGAATTATAGGGCGGAGGTGTAGTTAGGACCCCGGTGGCCCAAAAGCCACCACGCTTGACAGCCGTACGAAGCTATGGAAAGCCATAATGACATTGTGACCCTGATTCGTTGTTCAAGCAGTTCCGCTCTTGACACGACACACCTTTGTTGATTGCAACCTGCCTATGTATCCGCCCCCCTGTAGTCTCTAGCTGGCGTCGTATGGCCTTGCCTATTTGGCTCGCCTTGCCCCCCGCCACCCGTGCTCGATTCCATCGAACCCTCGGTCCCTCACGAGTCACCAGCGACCAGCAACTTGTTGGTCGCGACTATGCGGTGGGTGGTCACAGTGCCAGCGTTTTGACTAGTTAGCTCGACTCGATCTTCTTTTTCCTACAAGGTTTCTCGTGTGCGAGTGGCGGACCTCGGAGAATTACCACACCAGCCACAAACCAGCGCCAAATCAAGATGGCTCCCGAAGGACGTGCGGACACCTTCCATCACTCTTCCCTTCAATCCACCGAATACAGCATTCCGCGACAGGTTCCGCCATCTCTATGCGCCCGTCACACAGCAGATTAATAAGCTGCTTTTTTTTTTTTGACGCACCGCACGCTCGGCTGCGCGTCTCACTCGCAGCTACACACTACCACGTGCAGTGCGGCCCGCACAGACATTCGCAAAACCATGGACTTGGTTGAGCCGAGATGGCAACTCGTCACTTCTCCGTCCCATATGTACAAACGTGATTTCCGCGCCACCGTCCCATCATCATCAACAGCTCCTTTGGCTCAATTTCCCTTCCAAGGCGCCACCCGCCCGCAACAGGAAAGACAACCGCGGGCAGTCCACTGTAAAACGCCTCCTCATCAAGTTGACATCTTTGCTGATATTAGCCATCATTCGTCCCTGTCGCCATCAACACGATAATAGTTGCCATGGGAGTTGTCATTTCTTCAATAGCGCTATTACTGATATTGCATGAGCTGCAGAAACCTGCCAGGCCTCCAACCCTGCCATCAATGCCTGTCACCTTCAAACGCGTGGGGCCTTCAGGGATCATCAGAACGTCTCGAGTCGAGACTCGCGAGCTGTCAACACCCCCCTGCACTTTGGCTCCAGCACCATCGCAAGTACCATGCGAATAACAGACGATGTTTATTTTCCTCATTTTGCTTCTCCGTCTTCCTCCAGGTCGCTAATCGACTGCGCCCTGGACGGGACATTTACTTTCCCAGATCAAGTTGCATACGAACTGCTTGGTTTTCACCATCATCGTCACTCTATTAGCCCCTCTTGACTCGCACTCTTTTCAAGATTTTGACTCGTCTAAAGTTGCTTGACTCGCATATGATTTTCTTCTATTCTTCTATTCTGACAGGCATCAGCCATATGCCAATCAACATGCTGCAGCCGCTGAAACGAGCCCACACGCGGTGTTGCCTCCGCCCCTCTGCCCGCTTTTTTACCTTCTTTGCCCACCTCGGGCTATTTGCGAACAAGTATTTGAGCCTCATGCCACCATCAGCGGCGTTTCGAGTCCATGAGCTTGGCTTGACACGCCCGTCAAGCGCAGTTCCGGGCCCTTTTTGAGACACGCCGCCTTCTTGGATGCCCAACTTTGAACACTGTTCCTGACTTTGCACCTGTGTAGCCGCCGCGATACACCCGAGCCGGACTGCCGGGTGCTCCGAGACAATGAACTGAGAAAGAGAACCAAGTCAGCAAAACTAGTTACCCCATCCACCTCGGTATTGGTTCTATTATCACATTCTATCCCGTCGATCTCACATATTGCATCTCCTAGTACCTAACCATGTTCAAGCCTTCTCCAGAATGCTCTCAGACCGGGATACGAACTACAACTCCCTACGCTATAAACCCAGGTACGCAATCACCCCTTGCCGCTAGTGAAAACAGACGACCGAGTATAGCTACTCCCACATGTGGCGTCAAGATAGCCGGCGTCTCTAGCCGTAGTCACCCAACTTCAGTCGCATATCAGTGTTGTGAGAGTGTTGAGATGATGCGAGTGAGTGGCTTCGTACATCTTTCCGTCAGGGCAAGTATTCCGGTCGGTGGCTTTGAGAATCCATAGTTACGAACGTGGTATGTAAATAGTCCTTTCATCAGTTGCGGTGGCTTGCGCCAATTTGGCAAAGCGATAGCCCTGGCTGGTTAGGCTTCAACGGCGACGTAGAAGAAGCATTAACCATGTGGTTTCTTGCCTGCTAGAGAATCTGATTTGCGGCCTGTCAATGACACGGGCTCGGTTTGCGCGCAAATTCCTCAACACCATCCCCTGACATGAACATTTGTCCCCTCGAATCTAGCTGTGATGTCACTCCTCACCGGGATCGCAAGCTCGGTACCCCAGTCACCCTCGCACCAACAAAGGCTTGAAATCAGTAACACATAATCAGAGAAAATTCTATTGTAGGCGCTGAAGCGTATGATACAAAAAGTCCCCAACCGTACGTGGAGGACCGCGGCCCGGGCAGGCGTCCCGAGAGGCTCTACCGACTTTGTTACAACAGCAATAAACGTGCGGCCAACCACACTCAGACGAGGCAGGCCAAAACATGCTCTATCGCCTCATCACATCTTCCTCATGCTTGTATTCCCCCTTCTTCAACATCTCTCTCCCCACCCCATTCTTGTCGCTCCGCTTTTATACATCATCAGAGTTGGGAGAAGAGTCAACCATACATGGTAACCTTTTTTTTTCGATTCGGCCGGGACGTAATACCGTGTCAATTGCTACTTTTGGTCGTGTGGGCATCGGATTTATTTCAGCTTCGACCACAGCTTGGGGGCGGCGCAGGCGGTAGCGCAGTGAGCGAGGTGGAAGACTAAGACGACAGACATTGTTAGCGCATGACTTTCTTCGTAGCGGCGGGTTGGCGCGCGACAAGCCGCCGTCGCGAATCAACTCGAGAGGGGGCCAACGTACACTCCTCGACGCAGTCCTCCTTGGCCTCGCCGTCGCTCTCCTGCTGCTGGACGCGCTCGACGCAGTCGTCAAAGTGGTGCTTAGGACCGGAGCACTGCTTGGACTGCTTGCACTCTATAGATCATGTCAGTACATGGATAGGCTGGAAAAGGATTCATCGCAAATGCTGCTGGGAGTAGTCGCCGGCCAGATCCGCAGTCGCAATGGTTAGAGCGCGCTTGTCCAATGCGATGTGTCGATGCAGCAGAGACGGGAAGAATAGACGCACCCTCTTCGATGGTCTCCTTGGGGTCAACAATCTCCTCCTC